GTCTCTGTCTCTGTCTCTGTCTCTGTCTCTGTCTCTGTCTCTGTCTCTGTCGCCTCCTCCTCCTCCTCCTCCTCCTCCTCCTCCTCCTCCTCCTGCATCCCCTTGTCTGCCTCACGGCATTGCGTCATGTCCGTTGATTGCCTCATCCCCGCTCAACTCTCACTCCTCTTCACTACCCCCACACCTGCCACCAACCTACCACTACCACCCTACCTCAATACGGCATATTATCCCCTGGATAGCCTAACTCTGATAACCCCTACCCCCTAGGACACCTCTCTTTTCGTGGTAAAGTACCGGTCATTCACACTACCCCTACATCCCTTTGGACCCTTCCCGGTTTGAATTTCGCGCCACGCCTGGAGAAGCACCAGGCAAGTGGCGTGCGAGTTGCGAAATGAGGGGCGGGGAAGGAAGCGGAGGAGAGGAGAGAAGCGAGAGAAGACGAACATGCGCTGAGAACTGAACTTGAAGGTTGCCACCACGAGGGCAGGTAAGCATTGACTGCTATCGTGATGAGAAAGGTGATGGTTCTGACTACATAACCCAGTCACTCGCAGTGTGCCCCCCGTCACTTTTTGCAGACAATCTCATCAAACCCCTTGTGACCAGCAGGAAGATATCAAGAATGACATGCTGGTCTTCTGTATATATCAAGATCATTCTCGTGTTTGCCTTTGCAAATGGATCAAGGACTTTCATCACAGAGACTGTGTCTCCACACATCAGTACCTTTTCTCGTTACAGTGTAGAACGAAATTCTCTTGGCTTTTCCGTTTGTTGTCTTCGAGGAGGATTGGATGGAGTCGAGAGCAACCTTCCAAATCGGATAAGTAGTACGATGAAGGCCCAAACAAGGCTTGATGCTCAGGATAGCGTGAAAGGCATTTCAAAAGTTGCGAAGATACGAAAGTTTACATCGTCTTCCAAATCTTTGAAGGATAAGAGGTTCGAGATTAAGTTGGTACTGACAAGCAGATACAAGTTTGCTGCAGTATCGAGTTTTCCGCCTCGAACAGTTACAGATCTATACAAGAAAATGATGGGCAAGTTCGAGATTGAGAACAAGCGATGGGTGTTTCCTTTGTGCCAGTATTACAAACTCGTGAATGAGATCTCAAGAATGAATGCGACTCAGCCAGCAAATTCCACCTTCAGCCTCACTCCAGTGCCAGAAAACGTCTTCAAGGTCCTCAAGAACGACCCTTCGGTCTCCACCTTGAACCACACGAAAGCGAAGATGCTGTTGGAGGCCCTACCGTTGACCATCAGCAAGAAGCTGCTCCCTTTCCAGCGAGAGGGAGTTCTCTTCGGACTAGCAAGAGAGGGGCGAGTGCTCATCGGAGATGAGATGGGGTTAGGGAAGACTGTACAGGCGATCGCCATTGCAGCAGCATACCTGGATGAGTGGCCTCTGTTAATTGTATGCCCCTCCTCAATGCGGTGTATGTGGGCACAGGAGCTGGTGAATTGGCTTCCAGGCGAGCTGACCCCTCAAGACGTTAACACCATCTTCAGCGGGAGGGATGTCGTCGGGAATCAGCTTGTCACCATCATATCCTACGACCTCTTCTGCAAGTTTGCGCCGGAGATCAGCTCGATGCAGTTCAAAGTGATCATCGGCGATGAGAGCCACTATCTCAAGAACCCCAACGCGAAGAGGAGTAAGACCATCCTCCCCTTCATCCGCTCGGCCAGAAGATCGATCTTGCTCACCGGAACGCCTGCGCTCTCAAGACCCGTCGAACTGTTCAACCTCTTGAATTCCCTTCACCCTCGTCTCTTTAACAATTTCTTGGAATTCGCATATCGTTACTGTGATGCCCACCAGGGCCCCTTCGGCCTGGAGACCAGCGGGGCATCAAACTTGGAGGAGCTTCACGTGCTCTTGGATCAACACACGATGGTTCGAAGGCTCAAGAAGGACGTTCTCACCCAGCTGCCCGCCAAGAGAAGGCAGAAGATTTTGATCAAGATCTCAGAAGCTGAGAGCAAGAGATTTGCTACGGAGATGGATAAGCTGAAAGAGCTGGAGCGTGTTACTCAGGATGAGGAGGAGGACAGCGAAGCTCGATTTCGGGCGCAGTCACGCAAGAAGGCGCTGATCATGAAGATGTATGTGGACACTGGAGTTGCCAAACTTCAAGCGATCCAGGAGTATGTTGCCGACCTGATCGAATGCGGAGCAAAGTTTCTGGTGCAAACTCTCTTTTTTTCGCCTACCACCCTGCCCCACTCCCTCCTCAAACTCGCCTTCCTTCTCCTCTTCCCCGTCCTCTTCTCCTTCCCGTCTCTTCCTCCGCATACCAGCCCCCGCATACCAGCCTCTTTGCCTCCTACTGATGGCTGTACTCAGGTGTTCGCTCATCACATGGAGATTCTGGATGGGCTGGAGGACGTCGTCTCCAAGAAGAAAGTGCAGTACATCAGAATCGATGGCTCCACCCCCTCCCGGGAACGGCAGCTGAGAGTCTCTTCCTTCCAGGAGTCCAGCTCTGTCCGAGTAGCCATCCTCTCAGTCACAGCAGCTGGGACAGGGCTGACCCTCACGGCCGCAAACTTGGTAAGGGCGAACAACTTAGCTGGGTTTTGACTGAACTCTTCTCAGGTGGTTTTTGCTGAGCTCCACTGGACCCCAGGGATTCTGCTGCAGGCAGAGGACAGGGCTCACAGGATCGGTCAGCAGTCGTCGGTGAACGTGATGTACCTGGTGGGTCAGGGGACGTGCGACGAGCTGATATGGGACAGCATCTCCTACAAGGTCAAAGTGATAGGAAGAGCCCTGGACGGAATGCGAACAAGCTTCAATGCTGCGAGGATGGAAGTGAACCGTTCCTCCGCTCCTCCTCCTCCTGCTCCTTGTGCAGATGACGAGTGGCCTGCAGAGGAAGACAAGCTCAGTGCTCTCCTACAACACCCGGTCATCATCGCAGCCATGCAGAATCCCCTCCTCGATCAGATCCTTGACAAAGTCCTCCAAGACCCTTCCCTTGCCAACGATGAGAGCGTGCTGGAGCGCTATGGCAGCAACCCTGAGATTCGCGAGGTCTTCGCGGTCATCAAGGAGTTCATGAAGAGCAGAGGAGGGGAGGAGAAGGAGGAGGCGCCGGACAGCGGGAACACCAGCAGGTGCCGAGGGAGAGCAGCAGGTTGCGGGGTGAGGAGTGAGCCCTTCAAGATGCAGAGGAGCTGCGCCATGAGCCTCCGAGGGGGAGGAGGAGGAGGAGGAGGAGACATTATCACGATGAAGGATGACGCTGGTCTGTTCTCAAGGGATTTCATGGAGAATTGTAGGCTAAAGGACGAGCTGAGAAGGATGCAGTCGGAACTCGAGAGGAGCAGGAGAGAAATCGAAGTGCTGCGAACAAGGAAGTTTGACCCAGTCTGCTCGAGCGTATCAGATGGCGAGTCTTTGGGGTATAAGCTTTGCTCCTCCGGCTCGCCTCCTCCTTTCTCTCGTCGAGATGATGTCCCTTCCATCGAGAGCAGTAGGGGTAGCAGGGAGCAAGAAAATCAGCTCTCAAGCGTCTCGAGAGGTCCCAATGAGATTCAATCCTTCACCACGAGCAGGGGGAATCTCGTTAAGATCGAAGAGCTTCCGGATGACGCTGAAGTCGATGGCTGGGAAGAGGAGGAAGGGCGGAACGGATTTGTTCTCGCTGAGGTGCCACCACTGACAGGAGGTTTATCAGATGGAGCAACAGCGGGAGCAGCAGAAGAGGCGGGGGCGGAGGGAGGAGGAGCTTCGCGAGTGCTGGACGAGCTCAACTCGCTCGCACGAGAGTTTCCTTCCTGCGTGCAGTACCTGAAGCGCGAGTTTGACAACCGACGGCTGCTGACGGAGACAGGGCGATCGATCAACGAGGAGAGGCTCAAGGGCATCATGAAGCGGGTGGCGAGAAAGAGCGGCAATCCTGACGTGAAGCTCATGGCGCTCTACATCGGAGCCAAGTTGGGAGGGGAGGACACTGCCGGGCCCTCTCGCATCATCCCGACTGACCTGCAGCCGCTGGAGGGGGGCGACAAGGAGCAAGACAGCTTGCTGCGCTCGTGCAGCTGCAGCCTGTCCAACTCCATGAAGTGCACTTGCCATCAGCGCGGCAAGGGCCACAACCCCTTGCAGCCGTCGCTGGCCAGCAGGAAGAGCACAGTCATCCGCAGGACGTGGGGGGAGGTGGTTGTGACCCCCCAGCAGGTCTGCGAGCAAGTGGAGAGGATGGGGGGCATGGAGGCTGTGGATGGGAGGCAGGGGACGAAGGGGAAGGGATGGAAGGGAGTCGCAAAGGCCCTGGGAATCGACACGGAGAAGTACCGAGACGCAGGATATCAGATGAGAAAGATCTACTATATGGAGACTTCGGGCTTCGATACGCGGAGGAAGAGAAGGAAATGAAACAAGTCAAGCCAGCAGCATGGCCCCTCTCGGCCCCTCTCCTCCCCCTTCCCTCATGGCTGGACGCGGCCCTTGGCCCAGTCTTTCATCTCCTCCTCCTCCTTGCTCGTGGACGCGAACGCTCGACCCGAGTCGACCGCTCGCTCCTTCCTCGCCATCTTCACAGCCTCATCGAACTTGCTCTTCGCAAGCCCGTTGGTGGGGTCCAGCCGGAAAGCCTCCCAGAAAGATGCGGCTGCTTCCGTGGGGTCCTTGAGCCCCAGATACGCCTGCCACCATTCTCAGCTGACCTGCTGGGGATCAGCTCAAGCGCAGCACCTGCCCTTCCCGGAAGCAAGCCTTTGCCCAGCTGCTGTCCATGGCCTTCGCTGTCTGCCACAAAGAGCTCAGCACCTCCTTGGCAAGATGAAGGAGCAAGTACCTGTGCGTCGGCCAGTGCTTCTTCATGACGCTGGAGGGCGAGGAGAGCTGCGCATCGGTTGGAGAAGAACTCTTTCCTGCTGGGGTCCAGTAGGATAGCTTCAGTGTAGAACGCGTACGCTTCCTCCATCTTGTTGCTACGAAGAGCCTCGTTGCCTTTCTCCTTGAAAACGACAGCCTGTGAAGTAAATGAGACTCTGCCGAGCTTCACACTCTCTCGCCTTCTCAGCTCGTGACAATTGCTGGCTGCTACCCGACGTCTGCGCCGGTCCTCCAGTCTGCACAGTGCCGCTGTTTCCCGTGCTCGACATGGTAGGAGCAGGCTCGGGCTCGGAAGAATCTTCATCCTCTTCCTCCTCATCACTATCACCGCACAGCTCTGAATCGCTCAGATTCCTCCCCAAGGAGATGAGAATGTCGCGCATATTCTGATACCTCTGCGACTTCCTCCAGCGGTAGCGTGCAAGTTGCAACGGCGTCTGCCCAACATCGTCAACAGCGCGCCGCCTCCTCTTATCCCCACAAGGCCAGACCTTGCCATGCACGTTTTTCGCCGCTACGTCGCATCCCCTCTCGACCAGCAGTCGAAACAGGTCTACGTTGCCAGTCTCAGCTGCGAAGTGAAGCGCCGTGAATCCCTCCTGCCGCGACAATGAGCCGAGAAGCGGGCACGAGGCTGCACCTGATCGCACAGGGACAAGTTTGCTCCTGCCCCAACGTAGAGCTCGCACATCTGAGGTAGAGGTGAGGGTCTGCTGAGTTATCGGCATTCCAAGCTCACCCTGTGCTGGTTCATCGAAGCTGCCATCACGAGAGGTGGAGGTACCTTCCTCCCTCCCTCGTCCGAGGGCAGAACGTTGGGATCCGCCCCCAAGGTAATCAGCAACTTCACTGCCTCCTCGCACTCCGACATCGCAGCCCACTGGAAGGAGCGAGTGAGGCGATCGAAGTGGAGGAAGATGGAGGAGAGGAAGAAGAGGAGGATGCACGGGACAAGGAGCGAGGGGAGGGAGAGGGAGAGTTGTCAACCTGAAGAGCAGATCCAAGAATGGAGGTAGCATTCACGTTTGCGTTCATCAGCATGAGCATGTGAATCATCTGCAGGTCGCCGTTGCCAGCAGCGTGATGAAGGGGTGTAGCTCTCAGCCCAGCGTCTTTCTCGTTGACATCCACAGAGACATTTCGAGCTACAAGTCTCGCAGCCTCCATGCGCTTGTTCACAACTGCAATGAAGAACGGACTCTGACCATTCTCATCCCTTGCCTTCATGTCGGCTCCCGCCCTCATAGCAAGCTTTATCACCTCAACATGACCCTCTGCTGCTGCCCAGTGGACCACTCCTCGAGCATTGGCATCCTTGAACGCGTCGAGAATCACGTTAGGCGGCTCTGAACGAGCCTTGCACTCATGCTCTAGAGCCTTTTCTAGTTCAGCGAGTCTATTTTCCTTGGCAGCTACAAGCAGTCGCTCAAGCGCTTGCCGTTCGATCATCATCGTCTTAACCTTGGAGGAGGACTCAAGATCTTGGAAGCTTTTGTCTCGTTTGTCTTGCCTGTTATCTTCTGTCGGATCCGGCTCTGTTGAATTTTCCCCCTCCAATCCGTCCGCTCCATCCGCGTCATCGTGCCACGAAGCTGGAAAGGTGGGAATATCTTCAAGAACGAGCTTGGAAACTTTCTGAAGTTTCGGCCAAAGAACATCTATATCAGCTTTGGGGAGGCGAATGAGAATGTATTTGTCTTTGATCTTGAAAGTTGCTCTAGACGCGTCGATTTCGAAGAACAGCTCACTGATAGTAAGATCCCACCGTGAGCACACGAGTGAGAACCCTGTAGTTCTTGCTTGGAAACTGAAATCATCTGCAGAGAGCTTTCGTTCAGATGTCTTGTTCTCCTTCGATTCATCATCAAACACAAAAATTTGCACCTCTCCGGCTGTCTGGTCCCATCCATACCTGGGGATTTCAGTCCCCCCCCGCAAGCGAATTGCCAAGTTCCTGCTCGTTCCAAGAGAACAACCATGGAGGGACAAGGCAGGAGCTGCTGCTCTTACTCTTGTGTGTGATCCTCCTGCCATCATCCTTCCTCCTGCCATCCAGCCAACCGCAAGCAGCATTCCTGCCAGCAGCCGCTGTTGTCCCCCGAATCCTGCTGCCATTGCCGATCTCCAGAGTAATAAACCCTCAAGTCGCCGACCCGGCCCGGGCCGGGCCTCGGACTGGCGGCCGCCTCTAAAAAATAGTAAAACAAAACAAATTAGATAACTTGGTGCCATGAAACCCGCCTCGGGATGTCAATAACAGGGGTGGGGTACACATGTCCTGCAAGGGGTACATATCAAGCCATAGATTCATACCACCGGTAGTCTTTGGGGTACCCTCCATCACCCTACCAATGTCCCACCTACTGGTACCCACGTGAACTAGCTGATGCTTGCAACCCTCACCAATCATATGACCCTACCTAGGTAGAATCTTTGATCACCCTGGTCCTATGTCTGAAATCTATCGAGAGGGTGGGGTACTTGCACCGGGGGTTAGGTGGTGTTCTAGAGTGAGCAGTATTTTACCACAAATGGTCTTCGTGAATCACCAGTTTCATATTGAGCCTTCCTGCAACTGAATTTTATAACTTGAGTAAATATTTTATAATACAAAAGCTGTGGTTTGGGGTACTACTATCAATATATAGGACATATGTTGGCAAGTCATCGAAAAATGAAAAAAAAGCAGTGAGCACAGGGGGTAGGTAGAATGGAATGCAGACGATGCCCGGAAATGAAGCGAGGGGGAGGCGAGGAGAGGCGAAGGAGAAGGAGCGAGATCGAGCGAAAGAAATGTAGCTGCAATGAAAGGGGAGAGGAAGAGCAGGAGCAGGAGGGTGAAGTCTTGGGAGAGGGAGTCGGGTGGGACGACCGGAAAGTAGCACAAGATTGACTGGAGGCAGTAAAAACAATTCATGCATGCTCAAGGGAGAAGCAAGGTTGAAGAAGCAACAAGGATTAGCATGAAGAGGCAATTGAAGATGTGTTTCGTTTTGTGTCTGAGGATTTAGTGTAAACGAGGTGCACATTTTTATACCTGTAGGCTTTTGCGCCACAAGATTAGTGGAATGTTGTAAAACCAGTGATAATCGGACCTGAGGCCATGAAATCTGGTCTGAACAGGTGTCAAGTAGACGTAGCTTGAGATATCAAGATGAATCTCCCCTTCCTCTTTGGAAGGTTCGAATATGAACGTTCAAATGACAGGTTCGGCCTTCGACTGCTGATACGTAGGATGGTTTGATTGCAACGTCCAATGACGATACAAGAAGTTGACGTTGGACTCAAAACGACGTAAAATGTCGGTTTTCAGGAGCTCCAAGACGAATTTAGGTGAATTCTCATCATTCTTTTACGTTTTGATGAACTGATCTCTTGTTGTTTGAAATTCACAACCCTCTCCCTGATGGCTGTTCCAAAGGTGCCTGTGTCATGGTGAAAGAAGAGAAGTCGTTCGTTGCTCCACCCTCGCCATTGCAGGATTGCTGGCCTCGATGCAGGAGAGGCCACAACGTCTGTACCTCCCTCTTGGATCGTGAATGCGGAGGGAGGTCTCTGAGATCATTCAAACAATTCCCTCAAAGCATGGTCACCCGGCTGGACAAGGAGTACGACTCGATCCCAGGGTTGGTTGCTTCTCTGAATGACGCATATGTTGCCGGAGACGTGGGACGGCTGAAAGAATTGTTGAAGAGAGCGTGGAGAAATGTCATTGCGTATGAAAGCGAATCGAACATGCAGAGAGATAATTTCATCGTTTACGGGGGTTCTAATGTGTTGATTCGCATTCTTTTCCTTCCTTTCGACTTGATTGGAGCAAGAAACAGTGGATGGAGGGGCCAAGTTGTTGAACACGATCTATGGGAACTGAAGAAGCCTTGCATTCAATTGCTGAAGGAACTTTGCTACTTCACGCCATTTTTGGCTGAAGAACTTGGAAATTCGACAAAGCTGATTGTGCAGCTCTTCACTCTCATGAAAAACCGATCGATATTCGAGGACGTGATTACTCTCACTGAAGATATCATAGCTTGTTCGAGAGAGATCTTCAATCTTGCCCTTGTACCTGATTTCGAAGGACTGCTGAATTCCTATTCGAAAAGACAGCTTGCTTGCTTCTGCCGCATTCTTGCTCTTGTTGTTTTCGAAACAGAAGATAGAACAAATGACGATTGCAAGGTTGTGAATGCTGCAGATCTGTTAACAATCCGACGAGAACAAGCACTTTCGCCCGCGATCAAGAATTCAGATAGGAATCATGCTGTTCTGCTCGGAGTTGAGGCCTTTCTTCCGCGTACTATAAGCTTGATATCTGCCAATACAGCGCCTATACTGGCAACGTGGGCAAGCGACGTGATCATGAGGTTATCTAGCAGCAGCCATCATCACGAGCTACTTCAGCTGGTCGATGTGGAGGAAGACGATAGCTGGGAGGACACGCAGGATGAGTCAGCGATAAGCGACCCGCACGCAAATATCAAGGCGCTGTTTCTTCTGGTGCACAGAGTCGAAATCCTGTTTGTGCTTTGTACATTGCTAAGTGGAAAGCGGAAATTGCAGGTGCAGGATAAGTTATACAGCTTGGGTATCGTGGAGACGTTGTCACAGGCCTTTGAGTGGCTGAACTGGAGTGACACGACAGTCTCTTTGTATCAAGAAAGAATGCATGGCCCTGGTTGTGAGTGCAACCCAGAGTCAGCCTTGCGTATACAATTCTTACGATTGATACACAACCTGTGCGACCGGGAAAATGACTTTACAAGGGTGAAAGACCAGATGCTTTCCGCGCAAGAGCTGGAATCTGTTCAAGAATATGCCAAGTACGATCAACTTCGGCAACTTATCTTCTTCGACAACCCAGCAACATGGTCAACTGATGCGATGGGTGGAAGGGGACAACAGCCACTAGATTCTCACAATCCAACATCCAACAATGACTTGTGGTTTTCGAAGCTCAGTTCCAGTCCAGGTGGAGCAGCGAGTCAAGGGGATGCTTCAAACCGTGATTCGTGGACGAGCCTTGACCTCGAGGGGAATGAGGCTCAGCCGGAGGCATCTGCCCATTTTCGCAGCTCTCGCAGTCGGGGTACAAAGGTTCAAACAGGCACCTGTCACGCGTCATCTTCTGCAGCGGATGTTTCAAGTGTCAGTCTTCAACGCGGAAGCGTTCAACGGCCTCTCGCTCAGCCATCTGAGAGCTCAAGGGCTGCAAGGGCCAACCCTTGCGATCCTGACAATTCTAATAGAGGTCTCATCACCAAAGTCTTACTGGTGTTTATGAACGAGAAGCCCGACTCTACCTACAGGTGCTGCTGCCGGCACTGACTTTCCTCTCTTCTGAGTGTCGTCCATTGTAGGTTCTGGCTAGCTTCCTGTGTAGAGGCCTTCTTGCGAGGTTCCGACGCACGAGCCCAGGTAGATGACGCTGATCACTGTGAGATTGTTGACATTCCCAAAGGTTTTCATGGCGAAGATGGGATTGCTGGACCATCTGGTTGATGGAATTTTGAACTTTCAGATTTCTGGCAATTTGCAAGTAAGACTTGAGGTTTAGTCCCTAGACTTCTTAACACTTTTGCAGACCAACTTTGACTTGCTTGGCGAGTTGGTCAAGTACAACCCGGAAGTTTTCCTCATGTTCAGTCAAACTGTTGATGATGCGAAGTACAAGGTATTCATGCAGGTAAGTCACAGACTGAAGAAGAAGGATTGTGCGATGTGACATTGAGCACAGGTCGTGGTTTCAAATTTGGTTGATTCCAATGTATTCATTCGAGCTGTCGTGCTGTCTCTGGAGTTCTTTTCATTCCGATGTCGGGAGCTTGCTGCGCTCGGAAGTCGTTATGACATGGAGTCTTGCAAACTGCACAAATTCTTGAAGCATAATACTCTCCGGCTCCTCAAGGATTTGATGACAGTGATCACTGTCGAAGATATCAATCAAGAGAACATCTGCTGTCTCAACACAGGTTATTTCTGTGGCATCCTTGCACCCTCATCACTGTTGTGTCGGCAGCATTGTCGCTCTTCATATTTGTCCGACTCCATGGCCGACTAAACGATTATATCACGGCGATCAGAAACTGGGAAATCACTCACAACAAGGTAGGAATGATTTATTTTCCCCTTCTCCCCATTCAATCTAATTTGACTTCTCTCCTTCTTGCCGCTCGGTCTTGACTGCTTGCCTTTCTGTTCCTACAGGTTGGCTTCGTGACCAGCAACTTTCTAGCGCTTCTCAAGTTCTGGTTAGAGTACTATCTATACAGGTCATGACTTCTCATTCAGCCATGGTCACTTAGAGTGTGTGTGCAGGGGCAAAGACTGCCTGTCGCTGGAGTTGTCTTCCAACATTCGCTTCAGCGTCTGGCGAACGACTGTAAATGAACTCTTAGAGGCAATGTCCAACAAGACAGAGTCCTCGAGCTTTTAACGTGTGCGTTAGCAGCATGTGTCAAAGTTCTGTATATGAAGAATCGTCTGATCACAGCGATAGAAACGAGTGGGAGGGAAAGGAGGAAGCATGTTGACACCTCCCCGTACACACGCATGCTAAATCCGTTACTGGTGTCAACTGGCGAATCCCTTCCCTTCTTCCAAACTGATGACGTCATCAGCTGCAAACGATCGATCTTCCTCCATCAGTCCATTCACGTTCCCTCCTGGCCCCCGAGCTCCAGCTCTTCCCGAACTCAGACAGCGCTTCCGGCTTGATCCTGCCCAGAGCTGACCTGGTCGGCGCGCAACTCCCCTTACCGGCAGTCTTCCCGTGTAATCGTCGTCCTCCTCCTCTCCCTCGCCCTCTTTCTCGCCTAGACTTTGAGATATCACCCTGTTCCGCTTCAAGTTTGTCGACAGCGAGTCGCTTCCATTTATGTTGGCGTTCTCCGTTCCAGGTTTGTCCGGGAGGACTGAGGTGGGACTGGTCTGCAGAGGTCCTTCCTCTCCGTGAACTCCGGCTCTCCTACGCTCAATTGCTCGTACGACTGACCCTCGAGTCATCTTGAGCATGTGCAGGTATTTTCTGCCGCTGACACTCTCGGCTCGCAGTTCCTCGTCCCCGAAGGCAATGTCGTACAGCATGCCAGTCACGTCTGTCAAGCGCTGCCGGAGGCAGCTCAGAGTGGGCAAGTTCGACTCCAGGTCGATGCGGAGGAATCGCCCGGGCAGATTGCTGATGCCGGTGACGAAGATGGGATAGGAAGGAGGTCTGTTTGAGGGATGCAGCCTGCCATCCTCGTGGGAGAGCAGACCGGGTTGCCATGCAAGCTCCCTCACAGCTTTCTGGTTGGTCACGCGAGGCTTCTGCTCCCTTGGCGTTGCTGGCTCGTTGCAGAATCGAGCGAAGCGAGGCATCACGATGGAGACCATGACAACGTCATCACTCCCTACGTCCTCCCCATGGAGCCTCTGCTCTCCATCGCCTCCTCCTTGGTCCCTTCGATGCCCATCATTGCAGTTACCCTCAACGGTGCAGCCTCGTTGTGAAATCTCAATCCATTGAGGGCTGAGGCAGAGGCTCCTTCCAACAGCCTTCTTGACCTCCCACGTGCTCAGTGACGCCGTCAAGCATGTTCTAACTTGGCACTCGCCCACCAGTCTCCAAGAGAGGTGGGTGTTTGTCATATGGAGCTGCAAGAAAGATCTATCTTGCCCAGGAGGATGGAAGCGAGACTAGAAGATATCATGCACAACAAGACATCTCAAGATATCATGCACAACAAGACATCTCAATGCGAATATTCATGACCTTCTCTTCTCTTCTCCTCTTCCTCTTCGCTCCTCTCCGCCATCGTCGCGAGGCTTCCCGCCAATCGAGCCCTTAGCATCCGAGCACTGAGATGATCAAGAGTCGTCCGGAGGACTCCGGCCCGCGGCCCGCCGGGGGAGCCGCTCCCCGGGCCGGCGTCGTCACCTCCGCCGGACTCTGAGTCCGAGCGGCTGAGCCGCTGAGCCGCCAGGCCGGGCTAGACGGCGGCCGGAATCACGGGGACCGTGCGGGCCCGGCCGGCGGGCCCGGAGGGCTGCGCCGTCCGTGCGCTCCGAGCGGCTCCCGAGGGCCGGAGTCCCGGAGTCCGGTGGACGAGTCACCGCCGGGGGCACCCGTGACCCGGCGTGGCATCGGTGATCATGATCGCCGGGATCGGGCCAGCCGCCGCTCCGGAGCAGCCGGTGCCCCCCGCCGCCGGGGCCACGGCGTGACGGTGCGCCGCCGGACTAGGCTACTAGCCATGCGCCCGGCGTGAACTTGAATGCTATCATGGATAGCGGCTCAGTCCGACCCGGGTACCGTACTATCGGAGGCCCTCCGGCGATACTCCGAGGCACTGAGGGTACCGTTCAAGGGGCCGTAAGTTCACTGCGGTTCCCGGAAGTTCCATATATCATCAGTGGCATGATGACATCGCGGCCCGGGCCCGGCCGCCGTCCGAGTCACTGGAGCCATCAGTCGGCTTGGAGCCCGGTTCGGAAGTTCACTGACTCCGGAACTCCGACCGTCGACAAAGTTAATTTAGTTGAATCAGAACGAGGACAATCTCCGAGGCTCGGAGCCTGTCGGAGCCGGCCGCTATTATTCCCCAGTCACACCCCCATCCCGTGCTCCCCACCCCCTAATTTCCCAGTTACACTACCCCAAAATGTTAAAAGTCACACTACCCGGTACATTATCGTGACCATTCACCCCTGTTTCCTGCCATCAATACCCCACCTCTCCTCCCTACACCCACCCTGTTTCCTCCATTCGTCCAGAATTGTTCGAGTGGGTACGAGGAAAAATTGAATCAGATGCTACCACCCCGGTACAAATCTGACTACCCTTTAATTGTTGTTTCGAAATCAGCCTTGATACTACCCTACCCCCTTGTGAAGCTGAACTTGTACGATATCCCGTGCAATGGACCCCATGCGTTTGAACCCCACCCAGTAGGTAACAACTGCTGACATTGCCCCACCCTCATGGTTGACGGGATTTTATAATTTTTATAAAATGCAATTATCATGGGGTGGGGTCAATTCTTCTGTACCCAAATCTACAACCCCTACCCCCTTTTCTTGATACCTTCTCGACATTTTTTTGACCCCTGGTGCGGAACATACTCCATTCAAAAAGTCAACTACTACCCTACCTTTCATACTCCCCCCAGCCATTCTTCATACCCCTCCTGGAACTGTGGCCAACAATGTACCCCGTCAATACACCCCACCCTCGATCCAAACATTCAGAATTCACTACATGAACCCCCTCTCCATCGGTACCACCCACCCATCCTACCTCCCACCCACCCCTTCAAATTGATACTTCTTCAACTTATTGGGGGAGTAGGGTGTGGTATCTCCCCACCCACCCCATTCCTTTCTGCTCCCCTATTAGCATCTTTTCCTAACAAATTGCTAGTACCGGGGTCCTATCATGCCTACGAGCCGAAAAGTGAACCATTCAGATATCAAATCCCTAATAGTTCTAGGATTCAAAGATATTCAGTTTAACGAGCCCTTGAATAGTTCTTGTGAAGTTCAGTGCATCCGTTGGGAAGGTCCATAGTTAACGATGGCAGCTGTGAGGGGAGGAGTGAAAGAGGAGGAGGTCATGGTGAAGAAGGATGAATGGGCGATTGGGTGAGAATGAAAGAAGTCTTACATCATCACTGGATCAAGAAGGAGAAGACTTGCAGTTTCATTTGAGGCCTTGAATGACTAGGGAGTGAGGATAAGTCTATTTTGTGAAATTGTATCGAACGGGGCGGTTAGGACACAAGTAGATGAAAGAATTGTGTTATAAGCAGGATAACCATACGAACAGGTGTCGATAATATCAAGATAGCAAGTAAGATACAGATATAAGCAAGATGAAAACTTGCTCATCGATTATATCTGGGTTGCGTAGTGGAAGAGATAAGGGATGAAATCGACTTGGAGGTTGAGATACATTTCACAACAACAAAAACAACAAAAACAAAAACAAAAACAAAAACAAAAACAAAAACAAAAACAAAAAAAACAACGAAGGATTGTATTTAGACCAGGCATGGCAAAATATGTTGTAAATCTCCCAGTGAGCAGATGCATGTTGATTCTCTTTGTTTGATGAAGTCCTAACCGTAAATAGATTGAACTTGAACATAGGCAAGGCTAGTTTCGAGCGTGTACAGGGCCACATGTTCCGCTGCCGAATTATGAAACACGTGCTTTCACGCTGAAACAATGCTCACAGGTCGAATGTCTGCGACATGTCGGAAGCGGAAGGCCTAGCAGCCTCTCTGAGATCGATTGAAACCAGCGACGCGGGTCCTGAAATAGTGCATGCAGAGAGCCATCAATCTACTCCCGATGTAGACGTGCTCAAAACTTCAAGCAGCGGCAGAGCTTCGGAGCAGACAGCTACTGCCCATCGAGAACCATCGGACGAGAATGCTGATGAGCCAACACAATCCCACGGCGACCAGCCGTATCCAGAGAAGCACGAGAACGACATCATCCCATCTGAGGGGGGTCAGGGGCCGGGAGATGGTGCGAGTTTGAATCCGAACCACGAGGTCCCTGATGGAAGCGAGAAACATGAAGGCCAACTCGCAAGCCACAGCGACGAGACAATGATGGAGGATCTCAACCTGCCTGCGGAGAGAGCAGGGGAAGAAGCGGGCAAAATGGAGGAACAAGCCGTGCGCGAAGAACCAACGATGACTGTTGACTTGACCAACCAAGCTGGGGAGAGTCAAAGGGCAGATGAGGGGTTGGGGGACCAAAGTGAAGTACATGCACAAGTGCCGAGCAACACTGACGAGGCGATGATAGACGAGTTGATCAAACCTTCGGATGGAAGTCGTGGAACAGAGGAGGAGGGAGGTGGAGGGGCGGAAGGGGTGAGCAACGGAGCAGCCAGTGCAGAAATAGAGGACATGAGGAATGGGGCAGCACAAGAGCCGAGCCATATCGACGAGAAGATGATAGATGATCTTGTGAACCCGCCTGAGGCGAGTCATAATGCACCACAAGAGGCAGAGGAGTTGGGGAAGGCGGAAGACGGCGTAACAGGTGACGAGGGTGAGTCTGGATCACATAGACGGCAGCATGTAGAGATCAATCTCAACCACACAGAGATGTACATAGATGAGAGAGGTGCTTTAGATGCTCATAAGTCAGATATCATTCCCAACGGAACGTCTCACTCCGCTCCTCCCAATGGCATTGTAAGTTCCCATTCGCTCCCGTCTCAGTCTCGGATCTCAAAAGCAGCCAAACAGGTGGACGAGCTCTGCATGAAATCGCCGCACGCGGCCGCAAGGTACAACACGTTGAGTAAGCTGCGCAAGCACATCGAGGAGCAGAGATTCAACGTGAAAGACGCAAGCGGTTTCACTCCCCTCCACTTCGCCGCCTGCTACGGGAACAAGGAGGCCGTCGGCATCCTCCTTCAAGCCAAGGCGTTGGTGAACGAGGTGAGCCAGCAGGGATGGAGCCCGTTGCACGTGGCGTCGAGGAACGGACATCACGGCTGCATGGTCGAGCTGTTGGAAGCAGGATCGAACCTGACCTTGGAGGACAAGCAAGGAATGTCAGCCCTGCACAACGCCAGCTGCTGCGTGACCGATCAAGGGTACCAGTGCGTGGTGGAGCTGCTGAAACGAGGCGCGAACGTGAATCAGCTTGACGCGGACAACTGGACTCCCCTCCACTTCGCTGCAAGATTCAACAACGTGAGCACGCTGCTTAAGCTGCTCGAGTACAACGCGGACCCCAACAGAGCAGACAGAGACCGGTGGACGCCCCTGCACAACTCAGCGAGGAACGGGAGGAACAGATGCGTGCAAGAGCTGATCGACCACGGAGCTGATCTGTTCCTCACGACGAGGTATGGGGAGACGGCTCTTCACATAGCTTGCAGGAAGGGCAAGTCAAAGGTGACTGGATGCCGACCGCACGTGCGCTCTGCTGAAACTCCTCAGGTTGTGGAGAAGATCATGAACAGCATAGAGAAGCTGGGGACAGGCAAGCTGACGAACCTGCTGATGTGTCAAGGTAGGAGGAGGAGTGGGCCGACGGGGCGAGCCTGACACGCACTCGCAGACGTGGAGGGCAGGACAGCAGAGGATGTTGCATCGTCGGAATACATCCGCTCGCTCCTCCGTCGAGAAACAAGGAGAGGAAGCTCCTACGATTTCGTGCCCGAACTGACCAAGTCGCCCTCGTTCGAAGGGACTCGAGTGAAGAAGAAAAAAGGTAGGACATGGCAGTGCCTTAGACCGTTTCTCGAGGCTCCGATCCTCCCTTTCTTTTTCTTGCCCTGCCCCTTTCAACCTGTCGTCAAAGTTCCCCCTCCCCTCCCCTCCCCTCCTTCCCCTCTTCTCCCCACTGGTCCTCGCCTCCTCTGCTCGTCTCTCTTCAATATCTATGATCTACCTTGTCTCTCGGCCTTGCGCTCTTCTCACCGGATCTAAGTGTCTGTCGCAGGATCAGCAGCCTGTACGATTCTTTGACCTGTCTGTTTATATTCATCTCGCACTCTCTCATGCCAGATGCCTTTCGGCCTCTTTCCTTCTTGTTTGCAAGTGTAATGTTTCTCAACCTACACTCTCCTCGAGTTTTGTCTATACAATGAATAAATTCAACATGATCAGATGCACTTGTTGAGAGCTCGTAGATCGATAATTGTCTTCATTCTGGACGAGTTCTACAGCACGGCGAGTCATCTGCTCCCTCCTCTCATGAGGCTGGCAGCCTCGCCTCCTCCTCTCCCTCCTCCCTCTCCTCTCTCTTTACCCTGCGAGATTCTATTCGTTCCACTTGCCTCCCTCGACGTCCTGTCTTGTGCTGTCCTCTCTCCTTCTCCCTCCACCCCCCCTGCCCTCCTCCTGTCCATGACGTCTTTCTCCATGGCCCACACCTCACTCCGCGGCTTCAGCTTCTTCTTCCTTATCCCCTCCCCCGGCTTGATGAAGAGCACAGCAGTCGAGAGACCGTTAGCCGACGCCACCTCCGCATGCTCGATCACCCGCTCCTGCTCCATCACCAGCTCCGTCTCCTTCCTCTCCTGCAGTGTGTTGCTGAAGATGACCAACTCCGCCTTCACTGGCCTGTCGCTGCTCCCCACCGACGAGCCTGACGTCTCCTGCGAGCTTGCCTCCTTCCTCTGACCAATCGTTTCCTCCTCGCTGAAGTCACGGCTAGACCAGCTTTCCTGCGGCTCCACATGCCGTGCTCCTGCTCCTGCTCCTGCTCCTGCTCCTGCTCCTGCTCCTGCTCCTGCTGTTCTTTCTGATCCTCGCGGGCTCACAACCTCCTGCTCGCTGTTTTGATCGTAGAAAGTTCGCATCTTCGACTCATGGAAGCCCAGTCGCAGGCACACGGCTGCTGTTTTGCTCATGCTGCCCTCCCTCTTCTCCAGCGCGATCCACCGCTCCATATGCTGCAAGCTCCCGAGCTTCTTGCTCGTCCTCCCCGGGAGGTCAACGTATTCCTCCAGCTTCAGCCCAGCTCTTGCCAACTCCCTGTTCGACTTTCCGTCGATAATCTTGATCGTCACCTCCTCCTCCCCCGCGTCATGCACGGCGAAGGACATGCGCTGGTTCCAGTAGGGGGAGCCGGACAGGACGAGGCGCGTCCGCTGGATGACCTGACCGACCTCCACCTCGCAGAGGAAGCCGGAGGGGCTGGCGTGCTGCTTGCGCGAGAGGTTCCTCGCTCGGACCACGACGATCTCGAGGAAGCCGATTGAGCGGCTGTCCATCTCCGGGGACTGCAGCGTGTAGATGGCGTCCTCCACCTGCAGGATCATGTCGGCGTCCGGGTTGGTGATGACGTAGGGCATGGGGGAGGAGCCCTTCCATGGCCGCTTGCGGTGGACGCCGAGGGGGAGGGCCATGCAGCGAAGGACGAGGAACTCAAAGAGCTGGACGTAGCTCTTGCCGTGAAATTCCTTGGGGACGGGAAAGAGCGCAAGCTGGGAGGGATGGACATTGGACTCGGGGAAGGAAGCGAAGGTGCCTGCGTTGACGACAAGGGCGCGGAGGATGCGGACGAGGTTGGGGTTGTAGAAGGCTTGGCAGGCGAGCTTGTCGAGGATAGAGTTGATGTAGACCTTGCCCGAGGCGAAGAGAGGCGAGGAGGCTGGGTCGAGGACGACGGTGCTGTTGATGTGCTTGCGCTCTTCCTCGGAGAGGAAACTGATGTTGCTGCTGTTGACAAGCTCGCACACTATTTGAGCCTCTGGCCGGACGCGTTGGATGCATTGCTGGATGAAAATGGCGTCTGCGTCCACCAGGTACGACGACTCGGCCTCGTCCGATCGCATCCTTGAGCTAGAGAGGATGATTGCCTTGCTGAGCCCGAACACTCCAGCTCGAACAAGGTCAGCAGGCTCAAGGGGGGACCCTTGGACGAAGAATACATCCTTGAAGAAGCAGATCTCAGCCCAGGCGAGCGGCGAAGGCTCTTCGGGATGGAGGATAACAATCTTGAGGAGCGTCTCCTCCGGGAGGAACTTGGGGCGGAGGGTGGCGATGAAGTGATTGAGAGCCGTCAGAGAGCCGCAGATCAAGACATGGCCCTGCATGTCCTCTAGAGCGTCTCGCTTCACCTCCTCCAGGCTCGTCCTCGTCTCCCTGCAGTGATACTGCTGGCGGAACTTGTTCATCATCTCCTCTGTGCTCTCCATCTGCGCGTCCTCGTCTGCGTAGTTGACTGCCTGTGCGTGCCCTTCCTCCTCCTCCTCCTCCTCCTCGTCCTCGTCTAAGATGCCGTAGGAGCTCACAGCCTCCGCGTCCTCCGCGTCGTCCGCTATGAGAAACACGACGGGCGTGGAGTTGGGAGGGATCACGTAGCGGGCAGGAAAGAGGACGACGCGGGTGCATCCGGAGCAGTCTTTGATCTCGATGGCAAACAGGATACACTTGAGCTCCCGATAGAGCAGGGAAGAGACTTCACAGAAGAGTTTCCCTCCGAAGCTCCGGCTCAGCCTCGTGCAGTACATCTCCTTGCCGCAGCCGGGTATGTACTCCTTCTGCCAGTCGAGGCTACTCTCGTCCACGTCTGAGCTGGAGGACACTAGGAGGTTGCAGATGAAGGTAGTAAAACCCGGGCAGAGGCAGTTCTTTCCTAGCAGGTTCATCTTGATCTCGTCCATGCAGATCACCTGGTTCTGGTGGCTGCCATACATGGACGCCATGAAGTGATGGCGGTTGTCCGGCCGCAGCAGCTGTACGACTATGGGGATCTCACTCCCTGCTGTCTGCTGGCTGACAAACTTGGAAATGCTGATGGCTCGGATGATGTTGGCCGTGTCCTCCGCGTACGCATCGTCCGCAAACTTGTCACAGAGGATGAAGGCAGCTCGGCATCTGGCGGAGTCAGCACGGAACAAGTCGTTCTCCAGGAGGACGGAGCCTTCGAGGTAGACTGTCTTGGTGGCGTAGAGGGGAGAGCGGAGGAGCCAGAGGAGGCCGGCGGAGGGGACGCCGCTGCCCATGATGACAACCTTGAACTCTTCCAGGTCACCCATCTTATGATCCTCGTGAAAGAACTCCTGCAGGAAGTCCTGCGTGGAGGCGACGGTGATGTTGCCGCAGAGGAGAACGTGGGGATGCTTGGAGGAGCGGAAGGAGGCACGAGCCCAGGGAGAGTTCAAGGAGAGGAGAGCCATGAGCCGGTTGACCTGGACAGGGATGAGGGAGTGAGTGAGGTCGAGGAGGAGAGAGGAGCAGGATGAGTGGAGAGCAGGAGAAGGACGGCAACTGGAAGACACGACATTGACATGGCATGAGGGGAACTAGCTGACCTGGTCACTGATGGTGGCAAGCGATGCCAGGATCATGAACATGACGAGAAACTTCCCGACGATCGTGGTAGGATAATAGTCTCCTGCCGACGATATCAATCCTCCTCTCCTGTCTCCTTCCCTCCCTCCCTCCCTCCCTTCCTCTTCCTCTACTTCACATGACCCTCAAGACTTACCGTAGCCCACAGTGCTGACGGTGATGATGGTGAAATAAACCGAGTCATGGAAGTTGAAGGAGGTCACCCCCCTGCAAAGCCTCAGCCTCTTTCAACTCTCAGAGTCTCTTCACCAGATGTCGAGCAACTCGTTCAGACTACGGAAGGACAGCTCCACCACCTGAAAGTTGATCAGACATTATTCCTCCTCCTCTCCCTCTTCTCTTTTTCCCTCCTCTCCTCCCTCTTCTCTTTCTTCCGCTTGTTCCCTTCTCACTCCCTCTTTTTCTTCCTCCTCCTCCTCTCACTCCCCTCCTCTTCTCCTGCATCTCCTTCCTCTACATCGGCTCATACCTGAAATAAACCGGCGAAGCAGAAGATGAGGCTGATGGAAGTGAGGATGATGGTGTAGACCGCACGTGACACTTCAGCTTGTCCTGTGCTGGGCTTGTTTCTGTTGATCAGACTGATAAAGAAAATCAAGAGAAAATCCAAAGACAACAACAAGCCCAACGCCAATTCATAGAGATAGCGGAGAGAGAGGAGGGGGGGGCGGGGGAAGAAGGGAGAGAGGGAGGGAGGGAGAGAGGGAGGGAGGGAGGGAGGGAGGGAGGGAGGGAGGGACGACCCATGTAGAGAGCATAAGAGACGAGCGACACTTTCGTACTTGAGCAGCTTGAGGATCTTCAAAACTCTGATGACTCGAAGGAAATTCAACTTTGAGATCCGATTAATGTCATTCTTGGTGTAGCCCGAAGTCGCCGCGTTTGACGAGAATGTGATAAGGGGTGGGATGATAGTGATGAGATCTACGACGTTGGTGAACGAACGGACGAACACAAATCTTGATTCTGCCGCATAGAATCGAATCGCGTAATCTAATAAAAGAAGATCAGCATGGCGGGTTGTGATAAGGTTTGCCTCACCTAACAAGAAGAAGAAAGTAATGTACACCTCAGCTATCGACAAAGAACTCAAAATTTTGATTTTAGCATCTGTCAGCTCTCCTTGCCAAGGATCGTAATACGTCTGCACGATGTAGAGACAGACAGACACCAGGCTGAGAAAGCAATTGACCATCTCGAAGACAAGAGCGTAGGTTGAAACCTGCAACGACAAGAAGGTGAATGAAACCGATCGCTGAACTTGTTAGTAACTTACATGAAGCCAGTGGTTAAAATCTTTCCTGACCCTTGCAGCCACCTGGTTCTTGTCTTTGATGAACCTGATCAGCTTCTCTGTGTAGGTATTGGTAGGCATCGCTCGTCAGTGAATCCTTTGAGTCCAGACGTGATAGTTCGTTGCAGGAAAATTGTTCTTATTCACCTCATGTTCTGTTTACAACCATCGTCCTTGAGTCTTCCATGGTTTTCTGCATCCCGTCGGTGCCACCGCTGCTACCTTGAAAGCTTCACAAAGTGGCCTCGCACCTTGCATCAGACCATCTGGCAATGATGGAGCTGTACAAGCAAGAGATAAGTGACAAGTGATAAGTGAATTCATGATAATGAAGTTTTCAGTGTATTCTCTGTCTTTGTTACTTTCTGACTCGGACACAAGCACTGATTCAACACTGTGCTGCTCTTCCACTACCACTTTCTCTCCCCTCTCCCTGTCGTCATCGTATCCGTCTCCATTGTACATCCTCAGCTCTGTCATATGCCGCTCCATCAAGGCACCCCCCCGATACTCCCCCATGAGAATATCCAATACTGTACTATCCCGGCACTCACCCTACCCATGGCGATGAATTACACCCCACCCACCTAATGAAAGTAAAGTGTCAATTGACCCCTACCCCCAATGTCTCTGAGAAACTAACCCCCAATATGAGGGGACAAGACTACCTTACCCCACCATTGTTCGAGTCACCCTGTGTCGACTTTCAGAAAATATAAAAAGTTTTTTATTTGTACTATAAGATCTCTGTCGGTACAATCATTGCCGGGATGTGTACTGCGATTATAATTATATACTTTCCACATTATGGTACAAAAGGAAAAAAGAGTCAACATTTCTTGACTGAATTATTCCGAGGTCAGTCACGCAAGTTCAAAAGCCCCGGGCCGGCGCCGCCACAGGCCCAGGATACTGAGGCTGCAGCGCGGCCGCGTGGCGTGCTTTTTACTCAAAGTTAAGGCGTGCCAGGCGCGGCAGCCTGTACAACCTTTACTCAAAGTTAAGTTAAAAAGCAGTACGAGTCCTGCCGACTGCTGTCCCCCAAACTTAACGGATACCTTCACTTAACTGCACGCGCGGGACAATCCCCCCGCGGTCTGTCACAGTGACTCAGACTCGCCCGGCCGCCGGGCGTTCCGACAGCGGCGGCGGCGGCGGCGGCGGCGGCCGGGCGTGGCCGCCCGGCCGGCGGCCCGGCGGGCCGGGCCGAGTAGTATTTCATCAGAGTCTTTACTCAAAGTTAAGTTAAAAAATCCGAGACGGTGCCGGAACCTGGGCTACAGCAGCCTGTGAGTGTTCAATATGCGTGAAAGGGTGGGGTAGTGTGAAGTAACGGTAAGAAAGGGGGTGGGTAGGCGGTCTACAAGGGGTAGGGGTGAGGATGGGGTGGAATGATAAAAGGGGTGGTTTGGAGATGAAGAAATGAGGAGTTGTGTGTTGGAAGCTCAACAAAGAGTAAGCAGCGCAGAGATGGGAGGTGTAGGCATAACAAACATGTGAGCGAACAACTAGGAGTAAAAGCAACCGCAGACTAGGTCGACGAAGTAAGAACAGGGTGATAGAGAGGAATCGAAGGTGGGGAAGGCGTCGTTGTGTTCAATGACATCCTGATAAAGTTAGGAACAACAAGCATGGCCGCAAGATCTATAGCACAGGCGATATTCGGGGGAAAGCAAGTGGATCCCAAGGAACAGGTATGAAAAACTGGGAAATCATGGTTAAGAGCCAACAATCTTGGCAGGTCAAACAATGGAGGCTCAAGATTAGGGGGGAGATGAGAACTTTACAGAGACAGTGTGACACAATCGAGCGGGAGGAGAAAAAAATCAAAGCAGAAATTAAGAAGGCGTGGAAAGAAAATCAACCAGCAGCAGCGAAAATGCTCGCCAAAGAAGTGATTCGAAGTCAGAAAGCGCGAGAAAGGATCTTGTTGGGCAAGGCAAACCTGAATTCGATGGATATGCAGCTGAATGGACAGTTGGCTTCCATGAGAGTTGTAGGGTCTATGGAGAAGAGTACAGAGCTGATGGCCTTGATGAACAATGCGGTTAAGCTACAAGAAGTTTCGCAGACGGTCAGAGAGCTTTCGCAGGAGATGGAACGAGCTGGGATCATAGAAGAATGCATTAACGATAGTTTAGAAAGCCTGGAGCCCGAGGACCTCGAGGCCGAGTCGGAACTTGAAGTTCAGCGCGTCCTGGCTGAACTTGGAGTCGGTCAAATGGATGCCGCACCTCACGCGCCTTCAGCGAAAGTCGGTGAGGTCGCACGTCCTGTCGAAGAAGTCTCCAACGAGGAACCGCTCGAGAGCGAAGGTGAGACTGCCGACATGGAAGCAAGAATTGCTGCCCTGAGGGCAGCATAAGCATAGCAGAACGGATCTTGTCTGTTCGAAATAGATGAGTTTTCGAGTCTCAGTAGCTTTGTGCATCAAAAATTGAATTATGAATAAGTTTGAACAAGGTTTAGTTCGATTTGTGCCTCAGATATTTACCAGGAAATCTACTGCAGTCAGATCTGCTCCTAGCTCAACCAGCCTTGAGATTGCATTGATGTGCCCTTCTCTGGCTGCATAATGAAGAGGGGTCCTCTTCCACATGTCCTGGTTAGCACCAGAGTTACATGCATGTCGTTGTGGCCTTCGCAAGAAGGATAAAAGCAGGCATAGCTAGAAGATTCATGCTTTTATGTTCACACCGAGTCGTTGATATTTCAATGCTGTGTCCAAAATTAACTGTGAGACTTGGGGCGAATCTCGTTCTCCTGAATGTGCATTCATCACAGGCATGAGCTTTCAGCTATAATGGACAGGACTGACCTGGACAGGATGTAGAAAGATCCTCTCTTCGGCTTGTTTAAAGCTATCTGGTCTGAAAGTAATGGTAAAAACGAAATCTATATCTGCATACAAGATCCTGATATCCTTACCCGCGGGACCAGTCATATGATTGAGCATATGCAAAAAGAGTCCCATCACGATTGAAATCCACTGAAGAAATTGAGTTCTTCATTGATATATCAGAGGGGCTGCAAACTGTATGAATAATATTTTCAACCGGAAGTCGTTGAAATCCTTTAAGCCTCTGCTTCGCGTCCTGTTTTCGGCTGTCAGCTCAAGCGAAGAAAGAATGAAGACATGGATTCAAGAGAATGCTCGGCATCACCTTGTCCCAGAAATTGAAAGTTCCGTCAGAACCCGCTGAAATATGATATTGAGTCGTATTTGGCACAATTTTACACTACTGTCCAACCTGTACAAAATGTTCCATACTTCTTGTGGAACACAATTGCATTGACGGCAAAAATGTCCTGTAATCGGATAATGAGACAAACATATTCGAATTTCCCTACAGAAGACCTGTGTGGAAGAATCTCTATGGCACTTGAAGGCAAAATTCAGCTTGGTGTCATCGTCGTTGATGTGCTATTCGACAATTAGTTTTCGTCACATCACATAGATATTTTCTGGACAAATCTACTCCTTTATTTGACACACCTGAATGTGCACGCGTCCTTCGATTGAACCGATTGCATATCTAAAGAAATTCAGCTATTCACAAAATTTCAACTCTCCTTGGATGGACCCTCGATTGTCATTGAAAAGGGCAACAGTTCTTATCTGATGTCGCAAGGGAGACTGCGAACGACGAATCAGGGCTGTTGGAATTTTTCACAATCTTTCATGGCTTGGACCTGATGAGACTTGACTGGAACAGAGAAATTGCGCAGATCAAAGACGTGAATATTTCTATCAGCGCTGCGATAAGGTCAAGGATGACAACAGGCCAAATCGGACTCAAATACCAGGCGACGACAGCCAGATTGCCGTTCACATCCATGGAGTAGACTCGCTCGTTCAAACCGATTGTTGCCACTGCATCTGTTCCCACTCGATTCACCTAGGATACTTTTAGACTCCGTGTTATGAATGCAAGCAACTTGTTCTATCCATACATCCCAATATTTCAAAGTCTTGTCCCAACTTCCCGTAACGACAAGATTTTGGTTTTGGATCCAATGAACGCTTTTGATGGGCTACAATGTAGAAGACGTCAACACACATGTAAGTGAGCCGGAAGCATAGAATCACTTGATCATGTCTGGCAAACTCCGAGGCCCTATTAGTGGAAATATCAAGAACTTTGCCTGTGTTGTCGATAGATCCAGTGAAAACGTGCGTGCTGTAAGAATGTAAAATTGTGATCGCACAGCGTCCGAAACGAGAACCTATCCGAGTTCCAGCATGCTGTCAAGACAGGAAGAAGATGAGCTCCCGATTGAAGGACTGAGCTGGAAATGATTTCTTTGCCTTTCCCAACTCAATTAGATAACGAAAGGAGCACTCCTGCATTTTTGCAACTTTACCATTCCTGGAGTAGCCATATATAGAAATGCTGCAATCCCAAGAGGTTGCGAGAAGAAGATCCTTCACCGGGCCAGCACGGTCAGCCGGGACAAGCGATGATATGCCAACTTCACCTTGCTCGGCGCAAACTTCAGGCACGAGACTGAATCACTTGGGGCGCCTTTGATCTGTCAATCACATGATGCAGTTAGCCCTTCCCCTCTCCCCCTCCTCTGCCTCTGCCTCCATGTTTCAGGACAACCTCATGATCGATAGATGCTGCCATTCCCTGGCTTCGGCGCTGTTCGTCTTCGAATGGCTGAGGACTCACTGATACCACTCCCGCACCGGGTGACCCGACCGGGCCACTGCCATCGGCTCCCCGGGCCCGCTGAGCTAGTTTGTATACTCGGTGTTGCTATCACATGTTTGTGATCTATTTTCATGCTGGAGCTCATGAAGCATGAACAGGAGCGATCGCAGAGCAGACAGACAGCGCGAAGGGTTTAGAGGTGGCGACTGAAGCATCTCACCATGATCAGCCACAGATGTCTCCTTGGCTGCTTCCTGTTCTGTGTTGTGTGCTTGAGGACCACCCGTCAAGAGCAAATCCCTTCCCTTACTGCGAAAACGCTGCCACATGAAAGGAAGACGTCTGCTCTAGTTCACTTGATGAACAAGAAATCTTCGTTTGCGAGAACTAGGAATGACTGGAATATGAAAAATGGTGAAGACGTAAACAGGGAGATTGAGAGGTACTCCAAGATTGCTGCCTCGGGATTCAATGCGTATGAAGAAGATAGAAAACATGAAAAGCATAGGATAACGGATAGGCATAAGCTACAGGAGGTTGATGCTAAGAAAGCAGCTAGGTATGTCTGCACTTCATCTACAGTGTGCACTGTGATTTATTCTGTTTTACCCGCAGTTCATTGCTTTCGCAATACAGAAAGATTGCTTCTGCGGGTATCTCGGTGCAAGGTTCTCAGATACAAACTTCAAGACCTGGGAAGCTCACCTCCATTGAGGTCTTGTCGCCTACTGGTATTGACAACTTTCTTTTCTCTCATGTTGAATCTCCTGCAAGAGCCTTATAGCTGAGTGAGAGAAATATACAGGGCATTGGCGACCAGTGACAGTCAATCAGTTTGAACGTGGGCGAGTGTTGGTGCATTACAAGGGGTTTGATCATTCGTATGATGAATGGATCAATGCAATGTCTCCGAGAATTCGCTTGCAGGTCAATCACATTTCTCAAGAGCTGTGTAATATGATGCGATAATTCAAATGTTGTCAGTCTTTGGGAAGTGAACAAGCGCACAGCGATCTGAGGTATCTGAATGTGTTTCCTTTATCATCTGATAATTAACAAGCAATGTCAACGGAAGATCTGATCGCCATGGCCCTTCGCGAGAGCAAGGAAAGACTAGAGTGCGGGGTCGCATGGTTGAAACTCAGCTGGACCGCATGTCTCACGGTAAATACTTGAGCTTATTCGATGAGCCTCGATCATATTTTCTCATTAGTTGAAACGAAATCGACGATGAGAACGAATGAGACTAATCCAGCAGTTGATCCTGAGTTTGTCAAGATATACAAAGATCTAAGGCTGGCTGCACGGGACGCAAAATCTCATGGGCTAACAGACATCGAAAATCAGATTGAGCTGGAAGAAGCGAAGCTCATTAAGTTATCAGAGCTACCAGGAAAACTGCCAACTTCAGTGATGGCGCAGCTTACTAAAGCTGTCAATGTCTTGCAACAACGACTTCGGCATAGAGTGCAAGCATTGCGTGAAGGGAGCATTTCACGAACCAACCATCCTACTGCTCCAAAAATTACTCATCAGGTTGTGCTATCGAAAACGGATGCGAAAGCAAATGCTTTGAAACGAATGGTGATGAGGTTTTCGAAGGGAGCCATTGCTTTGGCTAGCAAGTCAAGATCAAAGATTCCAATGCACAAACAACTTGCATCGCGAATCGACAAAAGTGTATTGTCGCGCGAGAATGCTGTTGGATATACGCCCAAGATCTCAGAAGAATTTTCATCTTGTTTAATTCCTTCGATTCCTGCAACGATGTCGCCCTCCTTTGCGAATAGAAAAGTGCTAAGCTTTGCTCTGATGAGCAAATATGGTATATCTTCAATAATTCTGAGGAAAGAACTGAATGTTGGATTCAGTTCCGAGCGATTCTCCGAAGATGCACCTGAAGGTTACAGGAACTGCTCTTGATGGAACTGCAGGAGATGATTATGGAGAAATCATTCTGGGACTTGATCGAAGAGCCGATGGTGCTGCTTGGTACTATGACTCGCAAATCATCGTTTCTTCATCTCCATGGAGCATGGTAACCTCTAATGAGATTTTTAGTGGTTTGTCACAACGATCTTGTCAAGGTTGGATTTCTTGAGGACGAACCAGATATGCTGGTTTCTGACTGTCATGACCGTTTCTTGTCGGTTATCAACATGAAGCCATATACATACCAAACACAGCAACATGGAATGAAGGTAGAAACACAAATTCTTAGCTATACATTGATTGCCGGTTGCAGACTGTTGCATCGATAGTCTTGGATCATGGAGCGGACCCTCTGTTTGTTACACGTCACAAAACTTTCAACGTCGACGATGTACAACGTCCCGACAGTTCGTATTTCGTCTGGTCTCATCAAAATCAACCACTCGCGATCCTCCAGCAGTCCGGAAGTGACGACGGCTCAAAGTGGGTGATTCAGATATTGCAGGGATCACCGCTCGATTTCCGCGTCATCGGCCTCTTGGCTGCACAAATCGAAGCTGAAAAATTCTTTCTACATTCCACAAGTTTCTTCGAACTGGGGGTGATCATTTTTCATTTGCGCCACATAGTCGTTAGTAAGTCTTTTTCTTTTGGGAGCAGTCGGCGTTTGTGATTGCACTGAACGTCTTGTTGGTATGCTGTTGCATGCCGAGCCTCTTTCGGTGGTGTAAGGGCACTCAAAGTGCCTCAGCGGATAAGCAATCAGTGATGCATGGAAGTCTGATGGAAGCAAGTGAGCATCGAATGCAACATTTGTCGATCCCGGGGTTGCGCGGGGACTCTTTTCAAGAATACCAACAAGGTGAATCTTACAAGGATCATACGTTGACATGTAAATGTTGAACATACGTGGTATTTTAACACTGATGTTGCCAGACTCAAGCAAGGTCATTTCCGGCAATGTCCACGCAGACAGCAAAGCACTTTCAACGAGCTCACTGTTGCGGAATCATGCTGCAGGTTGAAGACTGTCATGTCGACTTACAAGTCGCATGATCTTGGTCCTGGAGAGAAGTGACACTTGGCAACTAGGTCCTGGGAAAGGCGATTGCAGTGTTGAGCCCGACGGCTACCTTCCTCCACCTTCCATGCCAATTCAGGACCCGAACCGAGATGTCGTCGAGCAGGTGAAGCAAGCGTTGCAAGGGACATGGAGGGAAAGCGAACGATCAAGTCAGCGAGGTTGGTCCGTGTCGAGCTTCCGCGATCAATCGCGAGGATACGCCGACTTCAGAGGTGACTTTGCAGACCATTAGGGCAAGTCCTTGTTGTGACAAATTGACAGAGGAAAGCGTTACAATCGGCGTGTTGGAAAATATGCCGTCCCGCTCTTCGTGGAGGGACGATGATAAGGTTGACCAAGGACCTTGCCGTGGATTCTAATAAGTCTTGACAGGAGATTGCTCAAAAGCCGAAAAACCTAAGGGAATGGGCGAAGAAGTATGATCCTATTCAGCGACCGGGAAGCTAGCCTGAGAGAATATGAGACAACGTATGTTGTCATCCTATGTTGATACGAGAAGTTTTCTTGCGGGTGGGAATGGGGGCTGGTGTACAGAATGTTTGGGAAGCTATCCTTTATCTTTGTAAGCAATAACGATACTCAGCATTTCTTGTTTGCTGTCCAGAGCTGTTGTCCACTCGTTTACAATATGCTCAACCTGCAAGGTTTTAGGCTGTGAGGCATCATCCTGTCGTACCTTCAAGCATGTCCCGTTGTTTGCCTCCTTGAGTTGCTCACACGCGCTCTTGAATGCCGTGATGCCACTTTCCCTGCTGCTCGTTACAAGGCTTCACATCAACGCAACAATACCGCGATCGGAGGGGGGAGATGCTCAGAAAGAATGCTCCCTGTCCGCTCCTCCAGTCAACCGCAACAGAGGACTGGTTGATGTCCGGGAGGAGAGAAAAGACGGTCTTAGCAAGAAACGGCATCGTCGCCTCCTCGTGCATAAGTTCTGAGCCAAGAATCACATCAAACGGCGTGTTCACTTGCTCGCTTTCGTCTTCCCACCGTAAGATTTGAGCAGTGACAAAGTCCTCTTGCCGGAGCGATGCATCTCGAGCGCGGCGTCGTCTTATGAGAGGCAAGTTTCTTCGTACATTCTCTCGGAAATGTTCAATCAATTCTTCCCTCCTTTCTGTCATGCAGACATGGCTTGCGAAGAAGCACGCTACCAAGGACGGGAGGCCGATACCTGCTCCAAGCTCGAGCACCCTCCTCCCTTTGATCGTCTCTGGGTTCGACAGCAGCAGGTTTGAAAGAGCTTCCGCGGACCCCCACACGTGAACACCTGAGAAGGAGATGTCTCCGCATCCACCTTGTCCTGTCCGTCCAAGTTCATGTCTTGATGCTCCTCGGGAGGCAGTGGACAACTGAAGCACAAGCAGCGATTCCTCACTATGCGGCAAGGGGAAGCTAAACTGAAGGTAACGCTCGGCCCATGGCAGGTAGCCTCCAGACGCGTCCTGTTGAGCCCTTAGCTGTTCTTCTACCACTGCGAACTCTTCTTCCTCAGGTGTCATCGAAGCGGAAGAGGAGGGCGGGAAGGGCAGGGAAGGCTGAGCAGGAGGAGCATATTCGGTGATTTGCGGGGGTGGGGGTGGGGGTTGAGTGCGCGTGTATGACATGAAACCATCATGAATGATCTTTGAAATTTCATTCTCCTCAACCCCTATGCATACTCCACTTCCTCCGATTCTTCGTGCCAGGATTCCACTTCTTCTTCCCGTGCAGCAAGGGTTTCGTCGTCGTCTGAAAGTTTTATCCCACCCTTCTCTTCACTATTACAGAGGTCAGAAATAATTTCCAAATGCTCATGGCAAACCTTTTACTTCCGGCTGCATAGCGAGCTTGAGCTTTAGCAACGGCAGCAGCAAGAGTGTCTTCTTTGAAAGAAGTGGCACTGTCATGATTAGACCCAGCAAGCTCGATTTTCTCTTCTGCACGCAACAAATGATTTAGACAGAACCTAATCATTGATAGTCATCGTATTACCAGTAGTTAGCCGTGAGCGGCCTGCATTAGCCGATGGCACCTTGCTGGTCGTAGATGGCGTCGGTATTGTTTGCGGCTTGGGTGCTTGCTTTGCTGCCATGGTTTGCTGGATTGGCTTTGGAGGGACAGCTGGCTGTTGGGCTTCCTTGAAGATGGGCAGGTTCTGGGGCAGAGTGCCCCGAATAGTGGCCGCATGCAACATAGCCTGTGTTTCCACGTTGCTTTCTTTGGAGTTGGCAAGATTCAAGGGCTTGAGATTCTTAGAGTCGATCGCGTGCACGTCAGCCTTCATAACCAGCAGCACCTGCACACATTCAAACTGTCCACGACGAGCCGCCCAATGAAGAGGAGTTCGTTGCATCTGATCTCGAGCCTGTCAAAAGTCGCATTAGCAAATCGCAAGTGCACCAGGCTTCACGCCCAGATTCTCAATCGTCCTCACCTCCTTATTCGCCCCTAATTCACACAGCTTGTAGACTACCTCCGCATGCCCTTTGTAGCAAGCCCAATGCATTGGGCTTCGACCACCTTTTCATGAGATTAGCTGAATCATCCATGGGCTGCAGTTCTACTCACTGTTGTTGGGCCATGGATTCTTGTCAGGATGGTTGAGGTCAGATCCCAGCTGAGCCAAGACAGCAACAGCATTTGCGTGGCCCTTTCTCGCTGCATGGTGCAAAGGTGTCCTCGCCAGGAAGTCTACTGCAGTCAGATCTGCTCCTAGCTCAACCAGCCTTGAGATTGCATTGATGTGCCCTTCTCTGGCTGCATAATGAAGAGGGGTCCTCTTCCACATGTCCTGGTTAGCACTAGAGTTACATGCATGTCATTGTGGCCTTCGCAAGAAGGATAAAAGCAGGCATAGCTAGAAGATTCACGCTCTTATGTTCACAAAATGGTGCTCACGAACTGACATCCACAAGAGAATGTCAAGCCTTTTACCTGATAGTTGACGGGCGCTCCAGACTGCACTAACAGGTTAATTCCAGCTGGGTCCAACCCTTCAACATTATTCTCTGTCGCCGCTTTGATCAGCTCTTCGCCGGCTTGCTCCTCGGTTATGGCTTCTCCGTCTACACCCAGGGCATTCCCTCCTCCACGGAGTCGCATCAGGATTTCGTTCCCTCTTACTGCCGTAATGCATGGGGCACATGTTCTCGCTCTTGCCCCATCCACGCATCCTCCCAGGGTAATGAGGAGCATGCATCCGCTCGAGAAGAGGAGGTATGTGAAGGGCATAGTTCTTGTCCCCCGCTGCACTCGAAACTCACCTTTTCCTCCCCACTCCTCCTTGCCCGCATGCCTCATCGCTCCCATGGCCGCCGCAGTCCTTTTAACAGGAGGGGGGGTGGGGTGTCCGAGGGACCTGGAGGGGGTGGGACAGTAGTCTACCGAAAACTTGGAGTACGGGTGAATATGAGCAAAGGGTAACGGGTGGGGGTCCTCCCAGACACCCCATCTCCAGGGCCCGCATGCATGTTCCCTCATCCCCGCGCAATCACCGGAATGAGGTCCGGGCGCAGTCCGGGCGCTGGTCCGGTCGCTGGTCCGGGCAGGCCCGGGTCAAGGCCCGGGTCAACGTGCTTGACGATGGCAGACCCGCCCCGGGACAGGATATGAGCCGGTGTTCACAAATAAAAACTTTTCTGACTAGGCCAGGGTGTCCTGAAACTAAAATGTGAATTTTAGAGATTGTAGCACTACTGGTAAGTAATTGGACTTGAATGTAGAGCTATGGGATCTAAGTAGGATTCGAAGTAGGTTCAATACTTTTCCTTTAGTTTTTTGTCAATTTTATTGTTTCACAATATTTCAAACCACAAACTTCCATGGCAGGGCCATTGCACCATACGTCATCACTGTACTGCATCACTCTACTTGTACTGAATGAAGTGATTACTGTACAATCAACATCTCTACTTCTGTCTAATGTATCAACCATCATTTCTACTTGTGCTCTACTGAAGTATACCTATCACTGCTGAAGTATAACTATCACCCTACTGCATCACTACTCTACTGGTACTCTACTGAAGTATACCTATCACTACTGAAGTATAACTATCACCCTACTGCATCACTACTCTACTGAGTGCATCACTCTACTTGTACTCTACTGAAGTATACCGTATACCTATCAGCATTCACTCCACTGCATCCGACTCTGAAGTATATCTCCTGTTTAGTGTACTCTAGGAGGTGATCACAGTACAGTCACCATCTCCTAGTCTTCGTCATTCTACTTGTCATTCAACGGTTCTCGTCTGATTCTGACTTGCCCATATCTTCCAGTCACTTTATTACACTCAGTGATATGGTTATCGTGATTGATTGGAAATTAACAAGTCATTGAATTTATACTCAGCTACGATTCAACTCACTCTCCTCTCTCTCTCAGTTTCTTCACTAACGTGTTCCACTTCAATTGCCCTTTCCGCCTGGATCTTCCTGCGTTTAACCACGCAAAGAATGAATCCTGGTACATCACGAATATCTCCCGACATTCAGTCAAGCGGATGTCCACAGGTCCCCCTCCTCTTTGCAAGTTTTCCAACCGTCTCTGCACTTCTTCCCGTGTGTCTTGGTCTTGATTGGCTAGGATCCTTCTTACATGCTGCTCGAAACATTTCACCAGGTATTTCACATCTGAAAGACGTTTCTTGCAGTTCTTCGTGTGCAACACTGACGGGTCAACAGAGCGTAACATGGGTATCTTCTTCGTTCCATTTCCGCAGAACCACAAGTTCCATGCCTGCATCATGCTCCCAAGTTCATCCGGCAGGAAAACATTGGTGGGAAAAGAATCACTTCTTCCTGTCTCTGACCCTGCTCCATTGATGTCGGAGATGTTTTCGTCAGATGATTGTTGTCCTGGTCGCCTCATGCCCCCAACACGCTCTACTGCAGCTTCAGCTTCAAGGTTCGTGACTTGGCTGGTCCTTGTAGAATTGTCTCGAAACTCTCCCTCGCGTAGCACCTCTCGAAGGCACTCTTTGATAAACTCCTTGTGCATTGATGTATTCCCGTGGACTACTTGCATGTTATTCTGACCTGCTGCAATCCTGTCTGCGTACTCTCTGAAATGAATCATATCGGCCTGTATTTTAGCCAAAGACGTCAAAACTTTCTCATTGTGAATATACTGGTGAACATGAGGAGGTATGCCCGTGCCTTCAATCCTCCCCCTTGCTTCTTGCGGCATACAGCACACCACTTTTGGCTTCAACATGGGCACCATCCCTTCATCTTGAAAAAGTGTTGATTGCCATAACGGGTGACTCGGCTCCAGGTTACGTTTCAGAAAATCCAAATGATATACCACCGATGCCAGCACATATTCTGCGACTCCCTTCATGCATGCTGGCAGAGTGGGAAACAATTGATCGATTGCCTTTGTCAGATTCTCATCCCTGTCGACAAAGTGCGGAGGCAAAATAGCAAATTCTGCCTGGTCTATCGGTAGCCCCGCAACTGTCCGCCCTGTCATACTTCGTGAGCCCATGAAAAGCCTGAAAGATATCTGATGAGCTTACCTACAAAACAATCCCCTGCTGCTTCATATCTTAGATAAGTCTGAAAGATAGGGCCATTGGCCCATCCTGCTCGCTCTGAAAGTGACGCACTTGAGGGACAGTGCGTGCTTCCAGATGCACAAAATGTCGCAGACCCCTTTCGTATCGAGTGACTGCCTATGTCTTCCGGTTGCAGACCTAGGGATAATAAATGGGTCGTCACTGCCCTTTGAACTGTATCCATCTGATCATGAATTTCTGCCTCATCAACATCCATGTCATCGGTTGCCTCGCCTCTGTTGTTGGGCGGCTTCATAATTTGCCCAAGGACTTGCATGAATCGTTTGTATTGTGATCGGCCTGGGAACAAGCATAGATCGTCTGGAACATAGCACAAGAAGTAGATTCCAAGGGCCAGAATAGGGCAAATCTCCGGGCTGATGGGGTTTGCATATATTCTCCTGGGATCTCGCGGTCTATCTCCACTCTGATCAGTCTTGCTATGTGCAAAATATATTTGAAGATGGTCTTCATTCCAACACATATGATTGAATTGTATGGATTCTGCATTCCCAGCACGACACATAAGATTCCAGCAAATGATCAAGAACGTGCGTGCAAAGATGTAAACCCTCTTCTTGCAAAATAACATGTTCTTGCTGAACAAGCGATACGTTGACATACTCATAGGCTCTTTCCCACTCGTTATTTTGAGTACTCCAGTCGAATCCGCAAGATTGCAATCACGCTTCAGTCCAATGTAATATTCCTGTACCTCGTTCTTGAACTGTGATGGGACGTCATGTTGAAAGTCTCTGAATAGGCTGTTCAATGCCGATCGATGGTTGCTGTACGTTGCAAAACCATTGTCGGTGGTACCTCTAATATGTGTAATCCACAGAAGAAAGTCATCCGCAGTCAAGCGGTCGAAGTGCAGAGGATAAACTCTCTCTGTACTGCCTGTGAAAAAAACAAAGGTCATTCATTACTTGCGAACAATGAAACCCTCCTAACCTGTCCACTCAACCGAATTTTCCAGAAGGACTTCTCTGATACGTTTTCTGGAAGGCAACGGTGGATCCCCTTCCATTTCCATTTGAATCTTTTCCTTGAATTCATCAGTCAAAACAGCTTGCATATTTTGGTACAGGAATTGCAAAAAACGAACAATGCTAGATGTATATGCAGCTCTTGAATTCTGTGAAACTCTGCTAGCTCGAATTGCTGACATATTTTGTCGTACAGCAGCCAGATCAAATGGATGCGCTACTCCATCAGACCTCCTGTTGTTTCTTCGACCACCGACTTGACCTCGTCGACCTTGATCGGCGATATTCTGCTCAATCACAACAGCTGGTTGAAGTTCTTGTCTTGCATCATTATTCTGCATATCATTGGGAGAATCAGATTCTTCAGGAGACATGCTGTTCATCACAAGGCTGTCCGTGCAGCCTACACAAGAGAGTTTGTGGAGGCCACAGTTTATGGCTCGGCTATTGCCTATAAGAATCCTCCCATCCTCCTGAAATAACCCCTCCTAAATTCAAGATTACTCTTACTCATGGGGGTAGGTACCCACAGTAACTCCATCCTCCGAATAGAACAACAATTTGCTCAAAATAGCAAACGTGTAATTGTTTGTCATATTCAAAAACAATTCACTGTATGATCAAATAAGAACCAATGATTTCATCACATGGCTCCAATTATCTGAATATACTTGTAAGATATACCAGTATGTAGGATTTGAGATATGGTCGATCTGAGGCAGACTCGGAAAATGGGTAGGATAAGATCCTTCGCTCGTCCTCCGAAACTACTATATGTTTTGTACAAACATTATTATAAAGTATCCATGGATGGAGGACATGCTGGTACCTCGATCAGTACGTTCAAACGCTACCATGGTACCTTTGTATAGATTCAATGCCGCTAAACTTGATCTTGGTATTTTTATATATCTTGATCGTTTGTACTGTATTCCTTTGGCTACTTGTATAAATTCTGGTAATGATCAACTTTTAATAAATAAAATTTAGAGCTGCAACAATAGGACCCCCCGTCGTGGTACCCCCCAGGCACACTCATCATACCCCCTACAATCCCAGAGTGGTCTGTAGACAAAAACTAATGTGCCCGAACCCCGACCACCCCACCCCCACGTTTTATATCGTTCACATTCGTACCTCCTGCAGGGATCGGCGACAGCAAATGATGCGCGTCATACTGCTGCTCGCCGCCATCGCGGCCACATGTGCCATCCCAACGTCGCCTGCCAGCAAAACTTCATCAGTGGACGATGAAATCCATCTCGCCTTCATTTCATGGAAGAATAAGGTCAGCAGATCCTGTCTAACTGCACTGTCATTCAATCTGGAGTTTGTCCTGTGGTCGCATTGCAATGATCGATTGAGATGACTTATTATTGATTCTGTTGAATTGATCACAATATAATTTTGGGGAGAAATTTTAGCGAGTGTGCTATATCTTAATTATTGCGACTTTGTTTTGGTGTAAGTTTTCCCTGACCCCACCTCCTTTGCAGTTTGAAAAAGTTTATGATGGTGCAGAGCATTTGGCACGATTCGCAGTCTTCAAAGCAAACATGGAGATCATTCGTGCGCACAATGCTCTGTACGAACTGGGCGAAGAGACTTTTTCGATGGCTGCAAACCAATTTGCGGATATGACGGCTGAAGAGTTCAAGCGTACTGTGCTTGGATACAAACCAGAGCTGAAAGGCAAACGACTTCTGCAAGGCTTGAATTCCGGCAAGAACTGCACACATAGGAGCAATAACTCAACAAGACCAAAAGCTATTGACTGGCGTACGAAGAGTGCTGTTACACCAGTGAAAAACCAAGGTCAATGTGGAAGCTGCTGGTCGTTTTCGACAACGGGAGCTGTTGAGGGTGCATGGGTTGTCGCTGGTCACCCGCTTATATCACTTTCGGAAGAGGAGCTCGTTCAATGTGACACCAGTAAGAAGTTTTCTTGTTGTGCTTACTGTCGTGATTCACACTAATTCATATATCAGAAAGTGATCAAGGGTGCAACGGCGGTCTTATGGATAACGCTTATGCATGGATCATTCAAAATGGTGGTATCGCGGCAGAGGACGTATATCCATACATCTCCGGAAATGGAACCACGGGCGTTTGTCATGTAGCCTTCCTCAGCAAGAAAGTTGCTTCGATCTCAGATTGGTGTGATCTGAAACCAGAAGACGAAAGCGACTTGGAGTTGGCTCTCGTGCAGCAGGTTTGTTCCCTTCATGTGTGCTGGTTCTACATCATTTAATGGTTCCCTCAACAGCCTGTTGCCGTTGCGATCGAGGCAGATCAGTCCTCTTTCCAGTTCTACAACGGTGGCGTTCTACCCGCAAAGAAATGTGGAACGAAGTTGGATCACGGAGTACTGGCGGTATGATCCTTGGTGATGTTGTGAATTTGCTGATCTTGGAATGTTTTGCAGGTCGGTTATGGATATGACAAGAAACACAAAATGCACTACTGGATTGTGAAGAACTCCTGGGGTGCTGAGTGGGGAGATGAGGGTTACATTCGTCTTGAAAAAATGCCTAAGAAGACCAAGCACAGTGCATGTGGTATTGCCAAGGCGGCATCGTATCCTACTGTGTAATGGAGTTGTTAGTGTTTGCTTCCATTACTGTGGTAAAAATCGAATATGTCTGATGCGAAAGCAAGTGATAGAATCGAGTAGTTAGGGACTCTTTATGAATGGGAGAGTTTATCAGACTAGAAACTTAGATTCTGCTCCGATTCAGAATCTACAACGATGCGCTTGATGCTAGTTTTGATTGAATACAATCACATTCGTTTTCGCTGAATCTGTTTCTCTGCAACTTTTGCCCTCGCACTGCTGATTATTTCAGCGGCTCGCAACTTCGCCGCTTCGATTCGAACTTTGTTTTGCATTCTGATACGTGCGGCTTGCATTTGAACGGCTTCAAAGAGAGAATTTGACTTCCGGTAAGCGTCATCCCAATTCACATCTTCTCTAGTAGTCCTTCCCGGACAAAAATACGTCACATGCTCTTTGAAATATTTCATTCCAAATTCACCCTGGCAATTCGGGCATTGGTACACACCCTTTGACACTTCTTCTGCTTCAATGACTCTTGTATCTACTTGAGCCGATCTAGGCAATTGTCCCTTGCAGATTTTCATATGTCGAGAGCAATGGTATCGTTTCGAGAAAGATCTTTGACAGTGGGGGCAAACTTTCTTACTTTTCGACTGAATTTGGTTCACCTTAGACTTTTTCCTCGAATCCAACAGTTCTCCAATCTCATATAGACATTTTTTTCTTCTTTCACATAATTCGCCATTTCGGAAAAGATTGATTTGTCCATGCAGCCAACCCCTCAGGCGAGAGTCTGAAATGGTCACCACCGAATTGGAAGGAACTGATCGTACCATTTTCTTAAGCTTATCACAATTTTTTATGAATTCAATCAAATCTCTGTGCTCATGTTGAGACGATTGGGCATCAGCGCTCTGAGGATGCTTTCCCAACAGACAGCTGAGGTAAGTGGGAAACCTCTGTGAGTTCATGTTTGCTGGCGCACAAGAATATATTGGGATATTACAAACTCTGCATCCTCTCGTCGCTACACTTGTCAATGAAACCAGAGGAAATCAAGTTGCAGTACTCTATCCATGTCTCATCTACTCATCTCAGCTCTCACTGGTTCTTCGCTCTTCCCCCTGCCCTTCGTTCCTTCCGAAGTTCCCGCTTTCACCGAAGGCAGCAAAGTAACAACTACCCTCAAGCGACGCTGCCTCACTGGAGTCTGCGCCCTAGCTCAGCAGTGACGGTGTTTGCCGGTAGCCCGGCCTCACCCGGGCCCCGGGGGGGGGGGGGAAGGGGAGTTGGCGGGCCGCTCAGAGTCAGTCACTGACTGTGAATGATAGAAGTTTGAGTAAAGAATAAGGATAGAAGTTTTGTTCCGTATCGGCATATCAATTTATGTATCATGATGGAGTAAAACTTGAAATACCAAACAAGAAAATGATTTGAACAGGTCAGAGAACTTTCAGCTCCTTGTTGTTGTTACTAAAGGGAAAGAGCAAAGATTTCTGCCTTTCGAGTCAGAATTGCTCATAATGCGTCCGTCTCGCACCATGTGAAGATCGAAACCTACTCTTTGCACCGTCTTACATGATCAGCGATCTTCGATTTGAGTGCATCAACGAAGAAATTGCAGACACGCCCATCTGTAATGGCCACTCCTGGTCCGTTGAACCAGTTGTCGATGCTATCCAGCTCTTGCACTGTAAAGAGGCTTGCCTCCTCAGCGGTCTGTTGGCTTTCCGATGCCAAACCTCCCACGTGCAGCCTGATATCTTTGTTGGTCAGCATCATGAAATGTTCTAGATCAGACTTTTTCCGAGCGGCAGCTTCCTCGCCCTGTAGCTCCAGGCGTCCGAGGGAAGGATAGACACTGACGTCCCACTCGGTTCTTGCGGGGCCAGGGCCAAGCTCATCTTCATCTCGCTGCCATCTTGCTGATGCGATTTCTCGAGAAAACTCATGCGCCCAACTCTTGTTGACCTCGACACAAAAAACGTAGCAGTCCTTGGAGCTTTGCTCGTCCTCCTCTGTCGATGGACTCAAGGCACATAGCAGTGAGACGGTGTCTTGCTGGGCTCCATCGGACGTCCTGTACCACTGGAGAAGGACGAGCCCAGCTTCAGGCACTTGCACCTGCATGAGCTCATCCTCTTCAATGGGAGCACAAGTATCGGCATATGGAGTAAAGGATTTGATCAGAAACTGGTGGATCTTAGATATGCGCAATCCAGTATGATCAGTATCGAAGAGATAAAATCTCTGCTCTTTCAATTGTGAGAGAAGAGAGTAAATCATGCCACGGAGCTGACGTTGTTCGAGCTGCTCATTCTCATAAGACCAATAACTTTGAGATCTCTTCCTCTCATCCAAACTCTCTTCAAGCTCTCTTACAAGGAAGTCAGGAGGGTCCTCTCCGCTGCCTTGAGAATCCTTCAGGAGCTTTTGCAGAGATTGCACCCTCGTAGAGAATTCACAAGCGAGTTTCAAAAGGCGGATCGATCGGTGCAGATTCATAGGCTGGTCTCTGGATTCGAACCGAGTCCCATTCAAGGTTGCAGCTTCCAACAGAATACTTCGAATGGAGTCGAAGTCGAAAGCGTCTCTCGAGGCATAACGCAAAGCAGCCTTCAAATCAGAGACGATGGCTTCATACAAGACTCTTTGTTTGTTTTCATCCTGCTTCTCCTTCTCGGCATCATCAGTCCTGCAGATTCCTCCCCACACGAGAGGAGCAGATTCTAGCGAAGACAGTTGTCGCTTTGCTCGGGCCCTCGCGAAGTGTAGCTTGCTGATTGTGCGATCGGAAACATAAGATAAGCCGGACATTAGCGTTTCAGCTTCGTTGCATAAGAGCACACTTGTTTCAAGGTTATTCTTGTCAAGATCAGGTACTTGAATCTCGAGATGAGCACGCAAGACTTTGACCTTTACGAGTTCGAATGCATCTGCGATGTATTTGTTTTTCATATCAGCCAAACCAAGAGAGGCGAAGTGTTCATGCATGATGGTTTCAGCCAAGCGAATGGAATGTAGAGCAGCTCGAATATGTCTCAGTTCCTTTTGAACATCAGCAAGACTCGCATACAATACAGCCAAACCGAGATCGGTACTTTCAAGTTTAGTTGCCTTGTTGATGATCTCCTCGAGAGTTGCCATGCTCAAGTCAAGCTTACCCTGATGCAAATCGTGCATGGCTTGATAGGTCATGATATCTCGGAGCACAAGCTGTTCGTTCAGCCTCGCCATCTCCTGTAGGACACGATTGCTCTCCTGCCGCAAGAACGTCCACCTCGATTGCCTAAGGAGAGCCTGACAGCGCATTGAACGGACTTTCAACCAAATCTTGGGATCGATGCTTTTCTTTATAGCAAGACCTTGGATCGGGCCCTTGTCTTCCAGAAGCTTGCATAACTCAGCTGTAATGTCAAGCACAGAGGAGTAAAAACCGCGTTTCATCATGAGGTTACACTTGATTAGGTCACACTCTGCAGTGAAGGATAGCGCTTGATTCAAACTTGCATTCATCAAGCCTCCTTCTCCAGTTTGGCTCTGTCTTAAAGCATCCTCGTCTCCCGAAAGAGGTCCGAAGTACTCCTTGCGCAAATCTTCTAGCAGCCCTTCGGATAAAGTACAGAGTTCCGACACATTCTCATCCTGTTGGGGCCAAAATGGTTTCACACCGCAGTAGGTAATGATGAGCTCAATCTTGACGAGCTCGAGAATGAACTTCACCCTGTCTGGATAAAGAGATTGCAGCTGCTCAGACAGTTTCAGCTCAGAGACCATCCGAATCTCTTTATCGTTCTGCGAGTAAGACTGAGGCTCGTCGACCTTGAAAGCTGATTTCAGAAACGAGGAGGACGAGTCTCCAACGCTGGAAGCTTGACTGACCGACAAGATGCTGGGCAGCCCCACCCCACGAAACGTATTGACGAGGAGATTTATCGCTTCCGGCATCGCTCCTATGTGCACACACGCACGGGCTTTCCACGCGCAAGCATTCGCATAGGACGCTGGATCTTTGATCCTCTCCTTTGCAAGCCACTGGTAGAAGGAGGCGAAAGGGAGCATCTGCAAATAGAACTTGTACTCGAAGAGGACCTGGCAGCAGAACGAGCTCGCATCCGCTAGAGTCGCCGCATCACACATGGAGGAATCGTTGGCGAAGGGGTCGGAGGCTGTCAGCTCTCTTGGAGTGTAATCGGCAAAGTCCCTGGCACGAGACGGATGAGGCTGTCCGCATGTGAACGTGAGGGCCACCAAGTGAGCGGCAAACAGGCTGTACTCGAGTTGGAGGTGGAGATCAAGACGGTAAGTGAGGCTAGAGAGCTTGAAGCATAGCACGGTTGCAAGCAAGATGTTGTTTAGTCCATACTTCTTGAGGAGGGAAGAGCGTTGGGCTTGAGCTGGAGGGTTTGTGAGCAAAGTGGTTGGGATAAGATCTCTCCACTGACGTCCAACATTCATGACAGTGAAGATTGAATCCAAGGCATCATTCCACGCAAGACCTGCTTCTCGATGTCTTCCGCAGAAGTATAAGATCTCACCATATTCCTGCAGAGCGAGAGGAAGCAACTCTCTTTCTCTCTTCTCGCGAAGGACCGATATGCATCGTCCATATTGAACTTCTATGGCTCCTGCCCTCGTCATCGCCTCCGCTTCCCTGTCTCCTTCTTCCTGCACTTGCGCTTTCTCGGAGGACATCGATGCTGCCTCTGTTGCCTGAGCACCTTCATTCTCAGTCGCAGTGTCATCATTCTGTGGATTATCTTTCATCAGAACCTCCTGAGAGCTTTGTTTGATGCTCCCACGTGATTTCTTCAATCTTTCTTCTCTCATGAAGTTCTTTAGAGCCATACGGCATCGTTCCAGCTCAATCGCATGTTTGCTCTTGTCTCGTCCGATGTCGCTTTGAATTTTCAACCAATCATCATAGGTCGCTCGGATCGTCACGTTCTTGCCCGGAAGCTTTTGAATATTCAAGAATCTCAAGCTCAAGATACGATGATTGAGCTTGTCAATTTCAGCTGCGATCTCATCCATTTCTTGCATCGCCTGACTTCTTTCCTTTGCCTTAGTTCGCAAGCCCTCTGCCAGTCGTCCTTTGGGACCAGTTTCCTTCCGCAAATAATTCATCCGATTCTCTTTCTCCGACAGTTGCCCTCGCAACTGGTTAGTTTCGTCATTGGCTTGCAAGACTTGTTTACAAGCAGCGAGCATGAGCTTGACTAGCTTGTCCATCAGGTTGTCCATGTTGCTGACATGCGGGTGAAGTTCAAAGATTATGTTGATCGTGGCGACCCATCTCTCAGACGTCATCAAAGTTTCCAGGCAAACGATCAGCAACCGAGAGACAGCACTGACATCAAAGACGTCTCCTCCTGTCAGTATTCCTCCATAGACGCGATAAATCACTCCATCCGAGAACTTATACGAACGAAGGTTATAAGGGGGATTGAATGCCTGTCGCTCTGTCAGAGTCAAGTCCGCAGACGCAACTCCACGGCATAAGTCGTCCTGCTCCTTGATCATCTTCACAATGGCCTCAGCAATATCTCGAAGCAAGTGCGAGATGTACACCCTTGTCTCTTCATCGGAGAAGAACTCCTTGACCACATTCAGAGCTTGCATACAACAGTTAAGCATCAATGTCCATGCCCTCCCTCTGCTCGCCAAGTTTACAGCTTGAGTGAAGCTCTTCAATGCCGCATATGGTCCTCGAAGTCTCCGTGGTAGTTTTGGCTTCTTGATGTAAGCAGGATCTGAAGGATCTAATGCCTGAATCTTGGTCTTGCCTTCTCCTTCTCTGTCTTCCTGACCTTCAGCTTCGGCTTCGTCCTCCCCACCATCCTCCCCACCACCTTCAAGCCCCGCCCTCATACATTCGTCGTACAAGATTTGACCATGCTCGAACCGCAAAGCGGCGAGCCATGGCACATGACCTTTCAGCAAACGCCGAACTTCTCGATGCTCCCGACAGAATCTGATTCGAGCGAGAAGGAGCTTGGCAATCCTATCGGCAGCTGCTTCTTTTCTCACTGTCAGTCTATTCTCAGCGTTTTCCCTTCGCCTTTCTTCTCGCTCATTCCGAGAGATTTTCTTTTGTTCCCACTCCTCTACTTCTGCATCTGAAGGAGTGAGAAACTGCAACTCTAGATCTTTCTTCCGAAGATTGTCCGCTTTTTCCTCTTCCTTATCTGCTTCTTCTTCCTGGATTTCTTCTGGCGTAGGTTCAAGAGAAGGGAGAGGCGTCTTCTCGGGAGCAACCGGTGAGCTGTTCACCAGCCTTCCTCTCTGCTCTGTCGCCCGCGTGAAGGCTTCCTGGATCCACTCCTTCAGTTGGTCCTGCTTCTTCTCTGATATCGCCTGACGCACGGCTCGATAAGTGAACTCAAGGAAACGAGCTTCGTCCTCAGAGATGGCATCCTTGGCAGCCTCCGGGCTTCCGACAAGAAGCGGGTAGATGCTCACTTCAGAGCTTGTCACTTTCTCCTTCACTTCCGCCAGCTTCTCACGCACGGGTTCCAGGACCAGCAGGTACTCCCACAAGGCTTGATCCTCTCGCGAGAACTTGAAACCCGTCACGCCCCTCAGCCACAGCTGCTGGGAAACCTCAGACAGGACAACCTCTTTCATCAGCTCAGGTTCCTGCAAGTCAGAGACGAACTCAAGCAAGCTGTATGTCAAGCAAGACATCACTCTTCGAACCGAAGTGCTGACAACATTCAGTTCAGTCTCGTTCTCCAAACTCTCTGCGTGAGTTTGTTGCAAGCGACTTGCCATCATTCGAATCGCAGTCCAGGCAAGCAGCAGAGTCTGTCCGATGGAGTCGTGCTTGGTCTTCTTCTTCAGCGATGGTATGACCGCATGATACAGTTGCATGACTGCACGACACGCCAGAGTGTCGTCTCTGATGCTCATGCACACATAAATTGCCATCATAATCTTTTTGCAGGCCCGCAAACGTAATCGATCAACGTCCACACTTGGCGCCTGTTCATCTTGGGAGGGATCAATCGTAGCCTTGCTTAGACCGTAATGAGCAAGGTTACAGAGAACCATTGCAAACGTGCGGAGAAGTGGGGGAGGAGCTCGATCGAGGGCCTCGAACACCAGTGTGTCTTGAGAAAGAGCCGTCTGCTCCCAGCTTCTGACCATCGGTCCTTCATGCACGAACACGTTGTAGAGTTTGCGGCTCGAGGAGAGAGAGATCTGAGTCAAGCCCATCTCCCAGGCAGATAGAGAAATATGGCTCCAGATTTGGAGGATTGGAAGCGGAAGCAGGGCAGCAACGGGTAAGCTCGTCTCCCCTATCCCTTCGATCACTTTTCCTCCCTCGTCGAACGCAGCCACCGCAAACACGTACGTCTCATTGGGCTGCAACCCCTTCACACTGAACGTCTCTCCTGCAGCTTTCGGGATCCCACTCCCGTGACACTCGACATTGTTGAGAGAGACCGCGACGCCGCTGCCTTCCTCCTTGCAGTACAGAGCGAACGAGGCAACAGTCCTCCCGTCGCCCTTCAACTGCATCCATGAGTCTGCAGTGAAGATCATTTGAGTCGCACTGCGCATGAGCAGCCTAGGAGAAGGAGGGATTCGATGCCGTTGAGACGATGGCTCCATTCGTATTTGCTTCTCCAACAATTCTTCTTCCAGGCTTGCTTTCTCCAGATATTCGATTGCCTGGAGCAGCAGCTGTTCTCGCTCAGCAGACTTTCTGGGAAGACGAGCCATCTCTATGAGGAGAATGGCCTTCTCGTAGGAGTTCTTGTTGCAGGCAGCAAGAATCTCTCGCTCCCGAGAGGGAGGAGGGACCAACGGACGATACTTGTCTGACCTGGCTTGACGGATCTCCTCGTTCATCTGCTTCCTTGACTTGGTGCCCAAAATGTTCTGATCCTTGGTTCGTTGCAGCCTCGAATGAGCATGTGAAGCTTCTCTTGCCGCATAAACTTTCCTGTAGTCATCGACCGCTCCCAAGAGGATGTTTCGGTACAGGGCGTGCAGCAAATCAACTTGCAGGTAAGCCAAGGCTTGTTCTAGCGCAGTCAGCGTCTTGTGATCGCTTCCTTGGAAGTCTGTACTGATGCGGATGGATGGAAGGGCATGCAGATCTTCCCAACGTGTTCCCGAGGGCTGGTTGATGAGCAGCAAATCGGTTCGAGTCCGGTACAGCATCTCGATCCCATCCTGCAGCGTCTTAACTGCATCCTCCCGTCGGTCCCGCTTTTCGAAGAGGTTTGAAAGCCGCAGGCACAAACTTGCAACAAGGAAGGCGTCGTCAAAACGAACCCATCTTAACGTTTTGCCAATGGCTCGTAGAATGTCGGTAGCAATCTGCCGCAACGATGGTCCTACCACAGCTCGAGCAACACTGGTTGTGCTCTTCTCCCCATCTGCTCCCTCATGCACCTTGTCAGTCTCTGTGGAATCGCCTCCTTCCTGTTCCTCCTGCTGGTCGCCGACCTCTTTGTCTCCTTCCTCTGCCCCATCCTCTGCTTTATTCTCTCCTTCCCCCTTATTGATCGTTTGAGTTTGTCCGGGACTTGTTCTCTCGGGTGGCTGAGGGATGGGAGGAGGTTCTTCTATGCTTTCAGGATCAGTCGAGTCAGCAAGCTGCAGCAGAGAGTTGACGTGATTCCAGGCAAGCAGAGCAGCATCAGCAAAGAGATCAGCACCATCAGAGCTGTTGGAGCTCAACTCACTTGATTCGATCGTTAGCTCGATGAGAACACCAGTCACCGTCGAAAGACCGTTCAACTTCTTCCAAACTTTCTCATGTTGCTGGGTGTTTGGTGGGAGAATAATCTGATCGTTGCTTTCAGATGGCTTCGGATGTTCCAGGGAGGAGAGAGCACGAAGAAGTTTGATTTGAGCCACTTGTATGCTGGAACAACTCTCATGCCTTATCCTATTTTCACATACTTCCAGAAATGATTCGAAAATTTCCATCAGCTCAAAATTATAGGCAAATTTTGTAAGTTCAAGGGTCAATTCTATCGGTACTTCCTGAGAAACTTTATGATACTGTTCCTCAGTGATTGCATCTTCATTTTCTGCAGTTTCATCCTTAACGGGATGCTTTCCGAAGCTGGTAAAAGTGTCCACAAAAGGTTTCATGCGCTTGTACAGTGCATTGAGAATCGAAACCTTGGTAGCTTCCTCCTCTGTTGGAGGTAAATGCCGAAGCGTTCTTCTCTCTGTACTCCTCAAAATCTGTATCACTGCTGCGATCGTCTCAGACAAAGAGTCTGACAGGACAGCCAGAAGGTCATTCACAACGCTCTCACCATCTGCTGCTTTGCATCGATAAACGCAAGTCATCATCTCAGCCTCAGCTGAATTGATCATTCTGCGAATGCTTGCTGGCGGTGGAACCGGGTCGATTTCTTCGATCTGCTGTAGTTTCTTGACTTCAGCCAAGCCTCTCTCAGCGAAATGAAGCGCTTCTTCTTTCATCTTCACTTCTTCATACGCAAAGCATACTGCAGCATAAAGCCGAACCCGCCAGTTCAAATACTTGGCTTGATTCAAGGGCACTTGGGCTTCCATCGACAACGATGCAAACAAGAGATACTCGATCGCAACAGAGCAGTACCCACATGTCAGTAACGGTCTGCAAAGCGTGAAGATGGTGATGGTCGAATTGTACACAAGCCAATATGCTTCCTTCCACCTTGAAACCTGCTTGCTGAGACTCCTTGCCTCGTCCAGCAAGTGCAGGATGGTTCCTACACTATCTAACTTGCGTAGCTGAGGATCTGATTCCATCAGCAAAGAGAAGCTGCATGAGATTATCCCTAACTTTGAGCGAACAGTCAGCGAAATTTCCTCAGAGTAATTCATTTCAGGGCGAATTCCATGTCTTGATTCAGACATGTTGAGATACTTGTGGTAGCAAGAAGTGCTCGCCAATCGGTGTTCCTGCACTTTGGAGAACTCGTCTCCAAACTTCACGAGGCGGGGATAGTAAACTTCAGCAGGAAGACGTGGAGGCCTGTATGCCTCCATGACGCTGACGGCCTTGAGATACAAGACGCTGTGAGAATGTTCGCGAGCACTTGACTTCGTCGCATTCGGGATTAGGCCATTTTGCTTCCGAAAGATTTTTGCGAGCGAGGAGATCTCTTTATCGAACTCATTCAGAGTCTTCAAGACAGTCAAGCTCAGGGTGTTGCCCTGCTGCGGCTGCATTGTGAGATGCGACACTCTTACTTTTTCAGTGGTCAGATAAGAGAAACCTGCAAGCTAGTTCAGCAAGGAGATATGAAACTCGTCCCGTTGAGTTCAGAGCTTGTACTTGTCTCTCTTCGTCATAGTACCTCTGTCCTCTTCCTCCTCTCTTTCCTTCCTGCACTTGCGCCCTCCGCTCCCCGTCCTCCTCCTCCCCTCCTTCACCTGCTCTGCCATCGCGCACCGGCCGTTGATGTTTGTGACACCAGGGGGTGGGGTACTTTTTGATTATGGAATGGGGGTACTCTGTTGGACGTCGAGAAAACAATGAGGGGCAGGAGCAGGAGGTAGAGAGAGGAAGGGAAGAGAGGTAGGATGAAGGAAACCTTGCCTGGATGCAGTCTTGTCATTCTCTGTTTCCTGGTTGGCTTGTTGGGAGTTGCTCTAGGAGAAGACCGATGCGAATTCAAAGATCGTTACCCGCTTCAGTACGTTGCCTACAAGACTAGTAAAGCACCGATAGTCGATGGCAGACTGGATGACAAGGCATGGCAAGAGGTAGGATGGAGTGAAAGCTTCCAGGATATCACGGGGGATTCGTCAAAAACTCCGTATCATGAGACAAGAATGAAAATGAGGTGGGATGATGAATTCTTGTACATCGGAGCAGTTCTTACCGAGCCGGACATCTGGGCAAACATAACCACGGACAATCAAGTCATCTTTCATGACAATGATTTTGAATTCTTCATTGATCCTGCTGGCTCGACACACTTTTACAAGGAGTTTGAAGTCAACGCTGCAGGTGCTCAGTGGTCTCTTTGTTTGAATAAGCCATACCTCAATGGAGGATACGAGAATTCCAGCCGCGTCTTTCCCGGACATGGATGGTCGTTTTCCTCACACCTGCAATCCGCGATTTTCATAAGTGGAACTTTAAACAATCCAAAGGATGTTGATGACTACTGGTCAGTGGAACTTGCAGTTCCACTCGGTGAGGTGCAGTACAACAACTCAGCGGGGAAAGTAACATCCGGTTCGCTATGGAGGATCAACTTCAGCCGCGTACAATGGCACGTCGTGAAGGTCGGGGATCACTATGAAAAAGTAGCAGGGCCGGAAGAGAATTGGGTCTGGTCGAAGATGGGAGAGGTGAACATGCATCTTCCAGAGAGGTGGGGTTACCTGCAGTTTGCGGATGGGAAAGTGAACTCCACAAAGGTGAAGCCTGACTCTCAATGGACGTTACGATGTGTCTGTATGGCTCTGTACACGGCACAGCTGAGGTATAAGGACGTTCATGGCCAGTACACCAACTTAGTGGAAGAGTTGCTTCCCTTCGACCCCGATGCAGTGCTGCCCGGGACTTGCTCGAGCTACCCTGATATCAAGCTCACAAAGAATGGGGGGTAAGGTGATGAGGCGAGATGAAATATGCTCACATGTTTCTTTGCAGATATGTTGCCATGGTTACGTCCAAGAGCGGAGATATGTTGGCAACGATCAGAGACGACAGGTAGCAGACTCTTCATGTACACAGCCAACGTTCACATATTTACAACGTACTTTACATTCGAGTTTGCTCAACTGCCTTGCAGGTTCCTGCAAGTTGTACCAGCTTCGCCACTCGAGAGACTGTAATCTTTCGACGGGGAGCACGTGCGTCATTCACGCTTCTGCAGCTCTCGCTCCTTCCCTCTCAAGCCCTCCAGAAAGCGAACATGTGCTGCATGGCGAGCAACTTTGACCGCATCCTGCTGGAGGACGGCCTCTCTTTCCTCAAGGCTCATGCTGAGTCTGCTCGCCTTCTCCTCGCTTGCTCTGCTCCTCTTCGCTGCTTCGACTTTGGCCTGTGAAATCATCAACGTGAACATCTTTCCCTTGTACAAGTAGCTCAAATGAATACCACGATCGCCTCCTCCCTCAGCTTCGTCAGCCTCCGCTGCTCAGCTCCAGCACCATCATTCGGGTAGACATGCAAGCATGTACTGAGAGGAATGACATCCCACAGCTGCTCGCTGCTCTCGACGGGCCCATTCAAGTTGCCCTCGAAGCCGGTGGTCTCATCTCCCGTATGCCTTTCTGTCCAGTAGACGTACCAACTCGTTATCTTACTGAGCCAGGCCTCTTCTCTTCCGCGCGACCTCCCCTCGAGCAGGCGAGAGTGAATGAAGGAGTTGAGGGCGAGCATGCTGCATCCCGCGACTGTAGGGGCCCACGAGAGAGAGAGGAGAGGAGGGGAGCTGAGAGCGTTCTTGGCATGCAGCTTGATCTCGACGTAACGATCGCCGGACGAGGAGACACCATGCTCGTCAAGATACAAAGTCAGGGCATCAGCCCTGAGGATCTGATCGCTCCCTTCCTGCAAGACTTTGGTCTCGCTCCCTTGTGGTCCCTGTGAGAGACTCTCACGATCCATGAGTAAGAAACAAATCGCACCTGGTTGAACGTCCTCTTGTCCCTCTGCAGCCAATCCATCCTACCTCTTCCTCCATTCGAACAGAGCACATATTGACTTGACTTCCACTTCCCCACTGAACAATCCACACACTCCAACCTCGTCTGACTTCCAACAATCTGCTAACAGGGTTACAATCATTCCACAACAGAAGTGAAGAAGACCTTCACTTGTACGAGAGGGTTTGAGTTGTTGTTGTTTGCAACTTCGATGTCTTGCATTGTAACCAAGCTTCCTCCGGTCACATGCACTCCCTGTTTGTTGTTGCCCGCGATCCTCCCACCTTGTATTTGGAGCTCCGTGTGCATACCGTCTACCTTGAGCCCTTCAGCTCGGTTTGCTAAAAAGCAAGACTCGCGTGAGGAGCATGTTGACTGCTCGATGGCTTGCATGCCTGCTTCTCCGTTGTTGGAGACGGAAGTGCGATCGAGAGAAAGGAGAGAGTCTGATCCTGCCACTTGTACTCCATGTCGGTAGTTGGAGGTGACGCTGCAGTCGATGAGATTGGCGCCTCCCCCGTGAGCTACCATCACTCCGTTGAGCAGGTTCGTATGGAAGGAAGATGATTCTGCATGCAGCAACGGCTTTCCAAACGATTGAGTGGCCATGTGGCTGGATTGGACGGGCATGCCCCCTGGCTGGGGGCGAGAAGAAGCATCGTCCTCAACTCGGACATCTCTGTCGCAGTACACACTGTAAGCTCCATGGCCTCGACAATTCCTTACAACAGACGAGATCATTTTCACTCGCCCGCCATTGTGAGCAACAACTCCATGCTTTCCACAGTCTTCGATGATGCTGTTATGGATGATAACATGTGCGATGGGACCAACACAAACTCCATTGTAGTCTGCGCTCTTAACTCGGCAGTCGTTCAGTATCATCTCTCCCCCTCGCTCCACCATGATAGCGCACATTTCGATGTTGCTTTGGATCAGCTTAAACTTCCTCTCTACTTCCTTGTGTTCAACAGCAATGCTCTGCAACTTTTCTTGAAGCTCACTGATCTCCAACTTTGTCTGATGAAACTCACTCTCCAGTAACGACACGTGATCTCTTTGCTCACAAACGAAGTCATCCACAACTTGATTCACCATCTCTTCAATGAGATTCAGGATTATTGACCGTTGGCTGATGAACGCATCGGAGCCCTGTGAAAGAGAAAGCTTCACCGAAGATTGATCCATCTGCCCAGCAAAGTTTAAAAGAACAGCGACAAATTTCATCCCGGCCTTACTGATTCGGAGTTTTCTTTCAACCTCAGCTTTTCTTTCTTGAGCAGGCGCTCAAGGTGATGTATGTGTGTCTTCAGAGAAGCAGCACGATTGTCTCTCTCGGCGTCATGCAGCAACTGCAGGTAGAAGAGAAGCTGCTTGAGAAGCGACGCGTATAGCTTGAAAGAATCTCTGCAGCAACACGACAATCACCACAGGCTTCCCCCCTTCTCCCCCAAGGACTACCTGCCAGTTTGCTCTACTCGTGATCGACATGTCTTGAATCGATAGAAAGCAGGGAGCTCCTACTCGTCCCGTCATCATCTTCCCTCACTCGCCGCATGCATTACCTTTCCTTCGTCCCCTGGAAGCGACTGCCCCCTCCCTTCCGCCTCCTCTCCTCCTCCCGCTCCCTGCTCGTGCTCCCAGTGCGCCCCCATGACACCTGGTGCAAGACGATCCATGCGGAACCCGGCAGGAGCAGAGCTGGAGACGTCGCCCCCTTGAACCACCATGAGACCGTTGAGCGTCACGCCTGGCAAACATCAGCGAGCGGACGAGACAGGAGCTTGAGCTACCGGGAGACGAGCAAATCACAACAGGAAGACCAGGATCAGTCTGAGTAAGGCTGACGCGATCTCTTGTCATCGCGATGACGTTGAGGGGCTTGTCAAGGACAAGGCTCTCCTCAAAGATCCCCTCCGACATCCCCAAAGTTCCTCCAGGCGCCACCGCAAGGATGGCCGGGCGGAGCTTCTCATGCGGGCCCACGAGAATTCGAGGCACATTATGCCTGTACCCTCGAGCACCGAACTGTGTTAAGCCAACCCTGAAGGCCGCGAAGGAGGAGCGAACGTTGAGCTTGATGCTGTCGGTGATGATGGGATCAAGCTCCAGGCGCTGAGTCTTATCACTCTGAGCTTCAAGTTCAAAGTCGCGATAGTTTCCATCTGAAAACTCGAAAGAAAGAACAGAAATCCACTCCATCATGCAGTTTTCATGTGCAAATGATTGCACAAGGTAAAAGTCGCTAATCACAACGCTGTGTTTGAAACGCAACGTGATCCATGCCCCGATGTTCTCTCGTTGACTTGCCCATCTCGTGCTGCCCCTGCGCACAATCAGCTGTCAGACCCAGGACGAGCAGGCGGGGGAAGGGAATCTCAACCCTTGAGCAAAGAGCACTGGGAGAGCAACAAGGGCGGGTGATCGGGGCAAAGAGGCCAAGGGCTCTGAGAACGACAGACAACATGGGAGGGTTGAAAGAACTTGCCACAAGCAAACAGCCGAGAGGAAGCGAATGAGGAGAGGCAGGCGTGGAGTTCCTGGGGGAGGGAGCCTCACCTTCCATCGAAAAGCCTCTCGACACCACAATCTTCGCTCAGCTGCGAAGAAGCAGTCGCGCTCTCAAGATCTCCATGGTGAGGGTCGCAAAGATCGTGAAAAGGCTCAAAGCTGTCGTCCTCCAACGATTCATCCTCATCCTCCTCCCTATCTCCGGTGTCAGCTCTTGGTTCAGCTCTTCCTCCGTCAACGTCGCGCCCTGTCCTGAAGACCAACAGGTGGACGATAAGATCAATCTCTCCCTTCCCAAACGCCATGTTTGCTTCCGCCCACGAGCCCACAGCATCGACGTCACTAACGGAACCTGTTCGAGCACAGCCCAGGAAGCAGTCGAAAGATTTCTGATCGCGCAGGGGATGCATGCTTCCTCCGACTTGCTTGTAGCCGAACTCAGCGGCAGAGTGAAAGCTTTCCTTGAAGAGGTGGAGGAGACTGCTCCAAGAGGCATTCGCAAGCTCCATCTCAAGCTCACCCACACGTGTCCTACACCACCATGTGTCAACGACTTAACGAGGGAAGGGAAGGAAGAAACTGTCACTCACCTTCCTTCAACCAGCTTGATCATCAGGCGTGGGGGGCCTGGTTTCCTCCATTCGATACCATATGACATGCAAATGCGCTCAGAGACTTTGTCGATTGTTGATCTCACGAGTTGCTTGGACAGGAGATGAGAAGTTTTCTTCAGTCTCTGAGCCTCTTCAAAGTTGTGCTCGTCGATGAGTTTGCGATACTCATTCCGCAATCTCCTCCACGTCTCTTCATCTTCTCTTCTGGTTTCCCCAGCAAGCCCTTGCATGTCAAAAACCCTCCATTTGTTGGCAAGACTCGATGCCCACGAGCTGTGCTGATCCTGGTCGGGGGCTTGCAAGAGGCTTGCCTGGATCACCGTCATCACTTCCACCCATGGCGAGGCAACCGAATGCAAGAAAGCGAAACCAACGGCTGACCCACGTGGCACATCAAAGGCAACAAAGAGATTCCTATCCATCTTGGTCAACCTCGACATGTCGTCCAGAAACTCATCGATACTTGAATCGACTACTCGAAACTTACTCGAGCCTCCGAAGGATAAGATGACAGGTCCAGGAGCTTTCCCTCTGATCCCCAACCTCTCTTGAACCGCAGAGACTGATACCTCCATCGTTTCTCCTTCTTCGAGAAAGACGACCTGCTGTGAATTTCGGATGCATGCAGCAAGTTTGCGAGGGGCTGTATGCTGCCCATGCAGGATGAAAATGTCCTTCTTTGCACAACAAGCGAAGACAAGCTCTATAACATTGCGAGCGCAGAAGAAGAAATTGTTGTCAAGGAGAAGAACGAGGGCGGCAGAGCCTCCGACCCCGACATCCAACCAGTCCTGCAACTTGAGATCAGAGGAGTAGCAGAATGAAGTGAGATATCAAGTCAGATCAATCAAGTGAGATCTTCTCACCGGCATCGGAAGGGGATGATGGTTTTCATCAACAGGACGATCAGATTCTTGTACAAACTGTTCCTCACTCCAAGACAAATAATGCGAAGACCTAAAGCAGCTTGAAAGTGTCGCTCGCCTCGCTGCATCTGAGGAGGTTGAATAGAGATGTCCACCAGAAGTACATGTGAAGTCCCTCCACATCCTCTTAACCTTTTCTATCACCATTTCTGCATTCTCAGACAACGAACCGATGCACCAGTGCAGAAATCTGGCGAGGGAGGGCACCTCCCATTCATGGTGCAAAGAAGCTAGGATTTTGATAGGATGAAGAGCCGACGTCGCAATCTTTACCTGGCTCAGATTACCGACGAGCTCTAGCTTTGAAAGCAATTGATCATCATGCCTTGCCAATCCCAGCAAATCATGAGCAAAGATCGCCTGCAGTCAACATCATCCAACAACAGCTGATGCAAGGAAGCAATCAAAGACCTGGAAATCTTGCTCGATTGAATCTTCAATGTGATGAACAACTTGATCATCGGAGACTGCCGACACGTGGAAACAAGACAAAACGAAAGCATCCATGACGAGCCGAGAGATATGGAGGCTGTCGGCGTGGTCATCATCCGTCATCGTCCGAGAGAGTAGCAGCAACCCTCCTTGCTGGAAGAACAATGATCTCAAGCTCTCATTTAAAGCAAGTTGTCGCATCGCCACAGCATGTACAAGGCGCTTCGATAGACAAACAACTTCCACGTCCATCGACCTCTGTAGCACGTCTTGCGAGGATTCTCTCCCGACCTTGGCAGTCGTCTTTCGGCTCATTTGAGATTGAGAAGTCGTAGGTACTTCAGCTTCTTCCCAGCTAACTCCGTCAACTCCGAATGATGTGTTGTTCAATTCGCTTGTTTGCAGGGCATGGTCGATAAAATCAACAAGAAGTTTTTTCAGATCCGGAAGGAAAGAAGAAACGAAGCGAGCATGAGAGCTGGGTACTTCGAAGGAGTGAAACAACAAAATGAAGCTTGTGAGAAACGCAAAGGAGATTGAGTTGTCACTGTGAGCATCTTTTGTGGTGATCCGGGATAGGAAAAGAAAGAAATCAGAAGCTAACTCATCCTCGATACAGGCAGCTGGGAGCTCTGGATCCTCCAGAGAAATTATTCCAATGAGACGGAAGCAATCTGCTGCAAGGCGATAGCTGCTAAGCTCGAGGGCAGAGAATTCAACAACCTCTTGAGACGAAAACCTTCATCACAATGTCATCAATGCATACATAATCAGGGAAGTACCTATCATCTTCATCTCCGGCAACTGACTCATACACACGGAAGGTTGAAGTAGAAGCTTTGTGGTTTCTGGGCGTTGAACATATACAATTTCTAACAAACTTTTGAAAGCAAGACTGCGAAAACGATGGGAAATGCTGTTGAACGACACTGATAACCTTCGATGAGGACAACAAGAGATTATTCAAGAGCAACACGAGCGGATGTTTGTGAGCAAACATGTCGCTATCATCCAGAAGGAGTAGCACAAGCAGGTCTACACCTCCCATGCTGACGAAGGCATCCGACGCGTCTTGATTCTTGCAAATGATTTGGGAGATGGAGAAGATTGCCTGGTCCTGGAGAGCAGATAGGACTTGCTTGTTCGAGGCATGCAGAACAGTCTCGATAGGAACAAAGTGAAACTGGAGAGGCGGACGACCGCCATGCCCGAGAACAATGCCGAGAGCCAGGAAGATGAGGTGAAGCAAGGCATTCTGGGAGATCAGACGATCCTGATACTCCTTCCTCTGCGTGCTAATTTCCCCCACCGTGAACCCAAGGTTCTCTCTTACCTTGAGGAGGATCGGAAAGTCCACGACAAGGTGCCTGTCAACACGGATCCAACGCTTCTGACTGTCTAGGAGCAGCTGAGGAGATATCGCATTGACAGCGGGTGCCTGTCCATCTGAGTTGCCACCGGAGTTTTGCTGATTCTGTTGATCCTGCGCCTCTTGCAAAGAACTCAACAGCGAGACGAATTCACGATGAGTGGAAGAATGAGACGGACCCTTACAGCCTTTCTGGATATCTTCACCACTGGCGAACATGAGCAGCACTTCGCACATCTTCGTTCTTAAAACCATCATTCTATGATTCTTTCGAGCCAGATGCCCTCGAAAAACGCTCTGCAAATGAGATGCAGTCCTTGTCAAAGAAAGCAAAGGAAGGCATCAACAAAATTACCTGTACAAGACAAGCTGAGCCAGATTGCGCGCTCAGATTGATGCGGATCTTCTCAATTGCTTGGTCAAAGATGAAGTCGAAGACATCAACAAAATCAAAATTCTCTTCTGCAAGCGCCAGAGAGAAGATGGAAACGGAGATCTCCCCTCTTCGTCCCTCGCGACGTATCTGATAGCCTCGTTCATACGGCACGACCGCGATGCTGTCCGGACTTTCTTTCCAGCCGATGACACAAACTTTGCCCGTATGACTGTCATCATCTTGCCACTTGGCCAGCTGAAAGTCTCCTCCTTGTCCTGCATTGTAAACAAATTCTTCTCCTGTCGCGTTCCACTTCACAACTGCTCGCAAGGTGCCTGCTCGGACTGCAACACTCTCACACAGAAGCTCTTGATGTATCCTCCTGCCTCCTGCCTCCTCCTGTGCTCTTGCTAGAGCCACAATGACGCCTGGGCCATCCCCCGTCACTCGTAGAGCGTCAGGAACATTGGTAATGAAGCGAGAGGAGGGGACCACCATCATTCCCGTCGCTACCGGGCAGCTGGTAGTGCCCACTAACATTTCATCACTGATAGCGACGAGATCGAACAAGCCTCCTTGTCCAATGCTGTACTCCTCTAGCTCGCGACTGCTGTCCCACACGACCTGACATTTCCCCCCCCTCACTTCCACCATTGTCCCACGGTTGCTGGGGTTGACATAGAGCCTGGAAGTCGCTTCGTTGGATAATCGCACGCGAGTTCCAGGTTCAGGAGCGACATCAACTGCAATCAAAGGCGCAACGTCGTCCTGCTGCAATAGGTTGGATCTTGAGATTAGGAATCTAGCCAGGAAGCTTCTCTGCAAGTCCAGAATCTTTTGGATCACTGCAATCCTGCTGGTTTGAAAAGGAGAGGAGATCAGTGAAGGCAGCAAAGCCACGGAGGACTTGGAGAGACAGACATTCAACCCGATATCCGCCTTGATCTATAAAAAAAATCATCACAGTGCAACGCAACGCAAAACATAAGTCTTTGGTCATTCAGGGGAAACGCACTCACATGCTTGCCCAGTAGGACTTCGGTTTCAGACGGCAAAACTAGGCAGAGATGATATTCCTTGTTCGCACCTGCTTTGTACAAGTCTTTCTTACCACTCCTATCCCACACAACCTCACAGAGACTTCCCATGCTCGCATTCTTGACTTTGACCGAGTACACTGTGCCCATCCCGCCCATAGAATCTTCAAGCATTTTGGGTTTCAACACGCGTACTTCATCCGTGAAGCGAACACGCATTCCAACTTCAGGTGTACAACCTTGCTTTCCCACGACAAAATCTTGATCTTCTCGTAAAATACCACCATGATGTATGACGTTCTTCCACCCGATTGTACTGTACTGATTCGTCTTGATCCAGCAGATTCTGAGGATGAGCTGTTCTTCGCAGTGTTCAAGCAGGTCTACCACGATTCCTGGCCCATCTGCAGACTTCATAGCAAGATTCCTTCTGTTGGGATCCATGTATGAACGTTTGGAAACGAAAACTCGCATCCCCACGTGTGGTCGATCACCAGTCCTAAATCGCTTGTTCCCAAACTCGTCCCTTAACATCGCTTGGAGACGTGGAAGGGCATGTGCATAAACACTAGGGTCGACTAACGTGTTTCCTACAGTTGTTTCAACATCCAAACTATGATTCGATGAGCTGTTTGGCAGCCACCGAACTTTGAAAGACGCTTCCCCCTCGCGGCTGACAACTCTCCCATACTCATGCACAGATTCATTCACTCGAAGCACTAGCTGTCCAACCCTCAATCTGTTGCCATCCGTGTAAGCAAGTTGAACGTGACCAGCAGGCAGCCGTTGCTCAACTATCAGCCATGTCTCATGCCAGAAAATCTGTACAGAGGAAGCATGTACTGACAAAATCGTTCCCCAGCCTTGCCCTCTGCCGCTTGCTAATTTCTCTTCTCTACTTGCTTGATTGTTGTAACAGACAAGATGACCCACCTGATGCCAATTGTTAGATCTTAAAACGTTTGGTATTCTTCACCTGGAATGTCACATTGCTGGTTTCAGATTTCTTTGGAATGATTTTATCCGACGGGTGGCAACCAAGTTCCTTGCCATTTCTTGAAATCTCCTTGACGCAGGTAACTGCAGGGAAAGATGCCTTCCATTCATCCAACCTGTGAAAAAGAGGCAACCTTCCTTCAAACAAGGAGCCTTCCCCTCCTACCCCTGTGTAGAAGAAAAAAACCATCGCATTTGTGGACCCGGGCTCCACTGTGAAGAGTTCGACCACTCTTGACGAGATCTTCTCACTCTTGATATCCAGAAAGCGATCCACCTCATGTTCGACGGAGTGAATCCAATCTGTAACGTTTGATATCTCTATAGGGTCAGTATGGAGGGTAATCCAGAGGCCGATATAACATTCGTCACTACCCTGGCTCTCCCTCATCGCTTTTCAATGACAGGATGTTTTCTTCCCCAACTCTTTTCAGCGAAGCTGTTTGGAGGGTTCGTATCCCCTTTGCTACTATCTTCGCTCTTCTCTGTTACCTCCCCTTTCCCACCATGAAGCCCTCCGCCCATGTCGGGCGTTCAACTGTTGGGGTAAATCAACAGCGAACGGGTTCCCCTCAGAACAAATATGCTAAGTGAAGTTGGGACAGCATTTTGTTGACTGAGAGTACTATAGTTCTTTTTGAGCCTATTCGGGCGCAGCCGGCCGGGCCCGGGTGCCCGGCCGATCGGATCCCGGCGATCATCTCGAGTCCCGGTCCGGGACACTGTGCCAGTGACGGTGACCGTACAGTACGGTCTAGTATGCCGGATACGCGGGCGCATGGTGCCAAGTGACCGTGAATCCGAACAGAGATGATCATCGTCCGACCGAGGCTTGGCAACCGGCGCCAGTGAACTCGGAGTCATGCTGCTGATGATCGGATCGGATCACCTCAGCCTAGTCCAAGGGTCAATACTATTGAAATTACTTCACATTGAAGACACCCGGCACAGCTTCACTGTCACTGCCTGCTTCCGATAAGTTCCATACCGTGACTGAGTCACGAGTCGTGTTTCGGAACTTCGGAAGTTCACGGTTGTCCGACCGTCCTCAACAGTAGTAGTGAGCTTTGGCCCTTGCCGCCAGCCAGCACAGACTGTCCGATCACTCCCCCCACCCCGGCCCGGTGTGACCGGGGCGGGGGCAGAGGCCGATGGCCGCCGGGCCGGCCCGGTGCTCGGACCGTCGATTCCGGACTCAGACCCGGTGACCGGGGATCTGATACCTATACCCCGCCGGGATCTGATGGGGGCCAGCATGGGGGGTGGGGTACTTGTATGATGGGGCTATGTGCTCTTTCTATTTCGGACGAGTCCTCTAATTCGGGCGCCAGCAGTCCATGGCAGCGTCGAGTTCAGGTACGGCAAGCACGCTTAGACAGCTGGTGATGTTGGCGAAATGATAGAACAGTGCTGTGCTAGAAGTAGAAAATGAATGGAATGATGAGCAGATACTGTACGAAAGGCAGTAGCGCTAGTTCGTGTGTGGTAACTGATTGTGATGTGTTGCTTGTGTAGACAGCAACAAAGATGAAAGTTGATTCGAAAATTACATCTTGCAGTAGCCTGACCAAAACAAATTTTCTGCACAATTTTTCTGATCGATTGCTTTTTTAGGCCATCACTATGGCGCAAATCAAAGATGGGAAACTTTCGAAGTAGTGGTCATACTTGTTTTCTCCTGGTGTGCTCGTCTGATTTGTGAGTGCAGACTCGTCGAACAGGTCGGAAGGCAAATATGCAACAGGTTGCCATTGGCATCCTAGTCAGCACACTTGCTCTGGCAGCAGCTATCGTTTCCTTTAGTCCTGACTCGGGATCGAATTCTCAACGCCCAAAGCTGGCTGGTCACAGAGCTCCTCCGGGTGTGAAATCATTCGACTCTATGACTCATCTTTGACCAACTTTCTCAGGCTTGATATCACTTGGAAGGTTTCAGGGCCTTGCCGAAGTAAGCAGTTCAAACAGCAGTACAGGATCAAGCAATTCGTCTGCTCCAACAGTAGCGGCTGCTGCTCCTGCTGAAACCGCATCTCCTGCTGCTGCCACAAGTTCTGATGTCAAGAACAACTCAGAGGATGATCAAGCACCAAAAGAGAAGACCCAGATTCAGGATGAAAATGGTCTTAGCATCGCTGCCGGCATATGGGCACAAGGTCATCCACAAGGAGCAGCTATGGCCAACACATTGCAGTATGTCGGAGGCTTTCTCACGCTTGTTGGAGTGGCGTTCCTGCTTTACAGTGAGATCAATACTGTATTCTTTTATCGGGACAAGGATGCTGTCAAGGCTGCAGATTTACAGGGAATTCACGATTGTTTAAGTGCGCGCTACTTGGAGAGGGAGTTGTGGTGGGGAAAGGGATTGCAATCTCAGTGGCGCGTCACTCTTTCTGGGATCGGGATAGCAGGAATCCTCTTGGGCACTTACTTGTCGTTTTCGTCTGAATGTCCTATGGTTGCGTACTTGCAGGCCCATTATGACATGTCCCAGACTACTTACTCAGGGAATTGTCCTGTGTTGGCCATTCTTTTGGCTATTGCCAACGGCATCGGACTTTCTTGTTTGCTGGCTGGAGTCTCTTGGTCTTGCACTCGATTGACGTACTCCCTGTTTCTGATCTTCATATCTGTCACCGAGGATTTTGTGAGCAGCAGTGATAGTCCAGCTATCTTGATCACTTGGATTTTGATTGTGTGCGCGTTCTTGGCAGGACTCTGGCATTACATTGAAAATTCAGAAAGTGAATCGGATGAGTCGAATCAAGGACTGTTGGGATCCAAACCTCGTGAATTTTGCTAGATCACAATGCGACGTTTCTGACGGCATTGGAGGACGGTCCTCGTTCACAGAGTCTGAATAAGGAAAGTGTATTGTTTCCTTCTGACGAGTGTCAGAAGTCGCTGCTTCTGCATGCGTGCAGGCAGCGAAACCAATGACTCATGTAGATTTGCTATACCTTTAACGCACCAAAATAAAATTCTTCTTGACAAAAAGTACTAAGTGGTATTTCCTACAATTGAAATGAACCTTCTCTGGATGATCTATTCCTATTCTCATGATGGAACAGATATTCTCATCATGGAACAGCAGTTTTAGATTCCGACAGAACTCTGAACTTCCTTTGCTGTCAATGATGGGAGATTGAAGGTGTGTCATGCCGGAGCACGATCATGCGGATTGGAACTCACAGGCACGGCTGGTTTAATACCGACATCGCAAGATATGAGCAACTTTTGTACAACAGCAAGCAGATTTTGCGCTTGAAGAAGGAACCAAAAAGAACAGAAACGATGTTCACAAGGTAACCAGCAGTGGTATGGTGATTCTTGTCTTGATCTAGAGCATGTATGGCAGGACCTCGTAATTCAACGGGTAACTCGTTTCCTGAGAACTAGGGGAAAGTAGAGGTCGAGGGCATGGCGGTAGCTGAGAAGGCAGAGGATGCAGGCCCTGATACAGACGAAAAAACAGATCCAGGTTGGCGATATCTATCCCTCGCTTGTCATTAGAAGAAAGGAAAATAAATGATCAGGCATGTCAAAAAGGGTCTACGAAGCTGAAGCTGAAGGAGTAGGACGAGGAGAGAGGGAGAGGAGAAGAGAGGTCGAAGGAGATGTACAGGATGAGATGGACAGGAATGATGGAGCGGGCAGTCAAGGAATCACTTCGATGGTTTTCAGACAGCAAGCGCAAAGGCCTTGCCGGAGGAGGTTGCCGGAGTAAAAGAGACCTAAGACCAGTGAACGCATAAAGCAGCCTCTCATTTATACTGCCACCCCACCCCCTTGTATACCCCTTTCTTACATGCCTACCCACCCACATTCCCACTAATACTCCATCGACCACCCCCGCTTTCCCTTTCCCCACCCTCACCCACGTGCGACCCTCAACTACGGCTTCCTACACGATCATGCTGAGGTTAGCTATGTTGGGGATGGTGGTCGCCATGGGAGGAGCTCTTCGGGCACCACTTCCCCCTTCACGCCTTCCTTCCTCTTTCGTCACTTCCTCTCTCATCCCTCGGACCAGCTCTCCTCTTTCTTCTAAACCAGCGAATACGTATGCTAAGCCTGTGAATCTACGAATGGGGAAAGCAGTGTTGGAAGAGGTTGGGCAAGAGCTTGATGGGCAGGGAAGGGCAAAAGCGACGGACTATTTCAAACCCTTGGTCGAAGGAGATATTCTTGTGAGCACCAATGAACAGAAAGCAATTGTTGGGGTGTCATACTTTCTACTTGCTGCCCTCGCGGTCAAAGGCATTTGGATGCTTCCTGAACTAAGCGCATCAACCATGATAGCGACTCTGTCAGCTGTGGCTCTGGGATACGAGTTCGCAGATTTTGGATCTGGTGTTTACCATTGGGCCATGGACAACTATGGTACCAAGAACACACCTGTCTTCGGTACACAAATCGAAGCTTTTCAGGGTCACCATGAGCTTCCATGGACAATTACGTATCGTCAAGTCTGCAACAACATCTACAAGATTTGTCAAGCAACATCCCCGTTCTGTCTTGCTGGTATCCTTCTCCTGGACAACCCATACCTTATTCTCTGGATGACGACTGCAATATGCTTTATCAACCTATCGCAGGAGTTGCACAAGTGGAGCCACATGAGTCCGTCACAGGTTAGTGCATGGATCAACTTTTTGCAAGATTGGAATGTTATCGTCTCGCGTAAGAGCCACTTGGCACATCATCGACCTCCATTTGATGGAAATTATTGTATTGTTTCGGGACATTGCAATTCCTTGTTAGACAACTCGGGCTTCTTTCGGGGATTGGAATCGATTGTTTTCTCGATCACCGGCAACAAGCCTCGATGTGAAACAAATGAAAGACTCTTGCAGGACCGAGTTGAAAGTCTGGGCATCAAATCCAAAGGCGCACGCTGAGTTAAGAAGTGAAGAGAAGCAGATGTGAATACCTGGTGGGGAAGATGGAAGGACTAGAAATCATCCTTGTTGAGTTTGGAATATGAAGTGTAGATGAATTTAGATAGAAATATTTACTGTCATAAACCCACACATTTACTATCATGAGCACAGGCGCAACTTCGGCATACCGAAAATTGTAAGAGTTCTGATACAAGATTTCACGTTGGAACGAAGTCAGGGGTAAACCCTAAAGAAACACACAATCATTCCAGAATCAAAGGTTAACAAGACAGCAGGGTGAGAAACACTCAACAAATTCAAGATAAGATAAGAATATCTACCAAACCTGCATCGAGTAATGTTCCAGTTGGCATCATTTTCTTCCACCTTCCATCATCTCTGACTGAAAATGGCAGGTTCATCAGTGTCTTCGGATAAATCAGTGAATCAAGATTCCAAAAATGAGCATGAAAAAGAAACATGTAGAAACATATTCCAAACTCACCAAAGTCATCACACTTCACAACATCATATTCAATCGTTATTCCTCGATCAACCAAGTGCTGCAGCTCACACTGTGAGAAAACAAACTTTCCCGAAAACTTTCATCACTTGTGGGCTCTGATCTTCTGTGCGAACAATAGCCTGGCGAATCAAAAGTCAACACTTTCAGCGAGCGTACGGCTACAATATATGTTCGGAAAGAACCTCAATGGTAGGACTGCCATCTCGCGGAGTGAAGTCAGGTACAAGTGTCAGGTGCGGTTGTTGATGCTGTTCTTCTACAAAATGGTACGCTTTGCATCGTTCCACCCACTTGCAATTCACACAAATGCACATCTGCCCGATGAATATCAAAATACCGCGCAAACTACGGCCAACGAATGTTACATTGAGGCGGCCGACGTTGCTGAAGGTCGGTCGGCCTTTGCTAACTTGGTGCTTGTACAGAGAGGATGCTGAGTGGATGAAGGAAGTACATGCATGCGCTGCGGTGAGAATCGTGAGCATCCTTAGCAAACATGCCGATGTTGCTGCCATTCCTGGTACAAAGGTTCGCTTGTTCTCTGTCCTTTTATATTCGCCACTTCATTACATGCTGTCTCTTATTTGAATTAGACACAGCTCTGAGGCAGACTGGAGTTTTTGTCTCGCACTCACATGGCGGTTGTCGGGGCAGGTGATGGCGAGGGAGAGGGAGAGGGAGAAGGAGCAGAAGCAAGAGTATGAGGACGGAGAGGAGGGGCAGGTACAGGAGGAACTTTAAGGAGCAAGAGCAGCAGCAGCAGCAAGACAGACAGACAGAAAGAGAGCTTTTGCAGTACAACCTGTGGTGCAAAATGCTTTGAATTGCCGATGGGATACTCATCGGGTTTCAAAGACGGAGATTGATAGAGGCATCTCTCATGCAGCAGTGAGGGATGAGAATGCGTCCATATCGCTCGTCTTGAAAGTTGTTACTGTCCTTGCAATGTTACGTCTACTGAGGAATCGAAATTCACCGAGAGATGCTGGGAAGAAAGACCCGGGTAAGGGTCAGGGGACCAAGGAAGAAAACGAAGGAGATAAACATGCCGATGAAGAATGGAAAACTTTCGACTTCGAGAAGCTGCAACGGGAGCTCAACATATATGCTCCTTCTGCAGAATCACACACACAAGTCAGCAAGCACACTCATGCTCTGGAGGGCATGTCTGCACACCCTGATGATCAAGACCTGAGCTTCGATCAACTGATGTCAGAGTACAAAAAGTTTGAGATGGCAGTCGATTCTTCCTTGGGAGAGGAAGGAGTCAATTACAATGACACCGAGGACTTTTCAAACAAGATACCACCATCCATGAAGAGCGAGTACAAAGGGATCATGAAGAGCTCAGGTGCAGAAGCGAAGCGAGCCAAGGAGGTCAGGGTCGACACGGAAGACGAGAAGAAGCAGAAAGGTCAAGGCAAGGCAAAGGATCAGAAGAAGACAGTAGATGTCACTGCTCGTCCCTCTGCTATCCGCTGGGATCTCGATGGGGGTGGCAGGGCAGCAAAGGGCGACCAAGTTGCACATTCTCCCATGTATGATGACGAATTTCCATTGCCATCCAGCTTGCATCAGACTGCTATCAAGAGAGATCGAATCGACGTTGAGTTTGAAGCGATAGGTGATTCCAAAATGCTTGGTGCCGAGGGTTTGGCTAATTTCTCAAAAAAGAACTTGCTCTCTATCCCAATGGTGGTCTATAACGAGAGTGACTTTGGGGGGAAGTGTTTTGTTCTTTGGGCCCACCAGAATCGCATCAAATGGCTTCCTGAAGTGATTGGACGATTAACAGCTTTGACTGAGCTGAGACTTCATCATAACGAGATTGAACAAGTGCCCCCAGAATTCGCACAAATGCGAAGCCTCAGGAAGTTGTGGTTGAATGACAACAAACTAGTTGCATGTCCAACTGAGTTGGGAAGTCTGACATTGTTGGAAATGCTCTCGCTGTCTCGGAATCCCTTTGATGAGCTCTGCCTGGGCATCGGATACCTCACGAAGTTGAAAGACCTTCAGTTGGATCAGCTGAATCTCAAAGTCCCTCCGAGAGAGATCGTCATTCGAGGCCCGGTAAACATCGTGAAGTACTTGCGTCGCATTGATATTGCAGCGATGTCTTGCTTGAAGTATAGAGCCATGAAGGATCCTAGTTTGAAAGACCTGCCTCCTCCTTCTGAGTATCAGATTTTGAAACTTGAAGGTGACGAAGAACAGCAGAATGACAAACAAGCTTGGTTGAACTGCAAGCTTGCAATCACATTGGCAGGGTCAGCACATTTTCAACTGCTTTCAGGACCAACAGCAGATGCTTGGATTGAGATAGGCAACCTGCAGAATGTTGATATCAAGATCAAGAAGAACAAAATCAATTATCCATTTCAGATGTATGATCGGGTTTCCAAACGGACTTTTTCTTTCGCGCTTCCTGACAAGCGAAGCCGGGACAAACTGATTGACACGGTCAAAGACATGCAGGAGATTCCGTCTTGTTCGCTCTCTCTCAACAGCCATGGCTTGCTCAAACTTCCGATTGAAGTGAGTCGGATGGCAGAGCTCGAGTTTCTTGACTTGTCAAACAATACGTTGCAAACTCTGCCTGTGCTTAAGTTGGGCCTTTTGAAAACTTTGCTCCTAGATTTGAACAATTTCTCAAGCATCCCCAAGACAGTTTACCAAGACCTCACCGCCCTCACACACCTTTCCATCATCGACAACCCGATCCATCGGCTACCTACTGCTCTTGCTCAGATGAAATCATTACAGGAGATCAACATGAACTCCAACTTTCACCTTGAGACGCCCCCGCCTGTGGTAGTCGTTCAGGGTCAGCATCTGCGTTTCTTGCAGTCGCTGCTGGAGTGTGAGAGAAGCGGAGTGATGGATCTTTCTTCTTTCAACATGGACGAGGTACCTCGCGAGATCGGCAGGAGGTGGGATGAGCATCCGGAGTACCACAAGATGTCAGTCCTGAAGCTTGACAACAACGTCCTTGCTGAAGTTGATAGTGGTGTTGACAACTGGAAGAAAATTCGCTCCCTTGAGATTCGAGGAAACCGACTTTCTCGACTGCCGAGGACCATTGGGGGGCTGAACCTCCTGTCTGAGCTCCACCTTGATGACAACGAACTGCGTGAGTTGCCACAGAGTGCGAAGAACCTTCAGATGTTGGTTGCACTGCATATCAACAACAACCAGCTAGATATCTGGCCCCCGTGTCTGCAGTACCTGACAAGCATCACAGAATTGTTCATGAATCGCAACACGATCGAGTTCGTTCCTCCTGAATGCTCAACATTGGTCAATCTGAGACACCTCGAAGTCTCTGGAAATCGAATTTACGACCTTCCGCCGCAAGTCGGGGGGTGGACGAGCTTGACGACGCTCAAGATGGATAGCAATCGTCTCCCCGCCTTGCCGGAGACGTTGGGGCAGCTGTCCAAGGTGGAGAGTCTTTCCTTTGCAAACAACAACATCATCACCTTCCCTATGGAGGTCGGTAGCTGGCACAACCTGCGAACGCTGGACTTGTCCAAGAATGACATCCGATTTCTTCCCAGCTCTATCAGCAACTCAACCGCCATGCGGCAGCTCTTCCTTGAGGGTAATCCACTCATCCAACTCCCGCTCGGCATGGGCTCCATGCGCGGTCTGCGCAAGCTTTCGTACACCAAGTGGGACAAGTGGATTTCCCCGCCGAATGCGATCATGAAGCAGTCATACCATCAGGTCATCCAGTACCTGCAAGCCTTTCACAGCGCCAAGCAAAGCAACTCGCTCAACTTCAGCGACATGGGGATCGAAGTCATACATGCGGATGTCCTGGTTATGTCGAACTTGACCGAGCTTGACATCTCCAAGAATCGCCTCAAGACTTTGACCGCTGTGATGGGAGAGGCTGATGGCAGGGTAACCCACTTGAAAGGCGACTGCGACTTGTACATGTCCGATGAGGTTGCGGCGAAGAAGAGGCGAGCGAAAGCGGCGCTGCTGAGAGAGCTCGGGGATGGATTGAACGACAGGCAGCTGCGAGAGCGATCAGAGAAGATCTTCGCGGCTATCGACGAGGATGGGGGAGGAACACTGGGGATAGACGAGCTACTTAGATGCTTCCATCACCTCGGAGTCGACATTGACGAAGCCGTTGTCAACATCATGGTGAAGGAAGTGAGTAACGATGGGGACGATGAGATCGATATGGACGAGTGGGTGCGGTTAGTGAATAACATCTACAAGGGAGCAGGAGACGTGCAAGGGATCGGAGATCTCAAGAAACTGAAGCACCTCAACATCAGCGGCAATGAGTTAAAGAGATTGCCCTATGGTCTTGGATTTTGTACGAGTTTGAAGACATTGACGCTGGATGAGCCACATTTTGTGATTATCCCTTGCGACGATATTCTCTCAACGAGCAAGAAGGATGCTTCTATCCTGACGGACTACCTGCGACGGTTGCACGACGTAAGACCTTGCTTGCTGTCTGAACGCAGTCACTGACCGAGTTCCTCTCAGGCTGTTCTGTCTCGACGGCTCGATCTGTCGGGTTTTACCATCAGCGTGTTGCCAAAGGAGGTGATCGAGCTGACGTCTCTCACGGAGCTGACCATGAGAGACAACAACCTCAAGGTCGTCGTCTCAGAGATCGAGCAGCTACCCCAGCTCGAGTTGGTCGACTTGAGCAGCAACCGGATCAAGATGCTCCCTGCCACCCTCGGCAAGCTGAGCAGGTTGAGGCGTCTGGACGTGAGGAGGAACCGTCTCAAGCACTTGCCTGCCGTCCTCTGCAACTTGGAGCAGCTCGAGGAGATCGAGATAGAAGGAAATAAGGAGCTCGAGATCCCCGAAGAGATTCAGCGATCAGGCACTCCGACGCTCAAGTTGTTCCTCCAAGGGATCTTTCGCGGTTCAGCTGATTCTGTGGTCGACTGGTCCAAGGTCACCATGGTAGAGGACAACAAGCTCGTTGCTCTGCCGACGATCCTCTATTCGATGAACTGGATCACTGACCTCAACCTCGACAACAATCGTATCCGCAAGATTCCTAGTGAAATCAGCGTTTTGAAATCGATGAAGAGCTTCTCAGTCAGGAAGAATTTGTTGGAGAAGGTCTCTTCAGACATCAAAAGATGCAAGTCTTTGACAACCATCAACTTGGACTCCAACCTTCTCAGCAAGATTCCTGTACAGTTCTTCACGCATCTCTCTCTCACATCTCTTAATCTCAATCATAATCAGCTTGATTCAAGCCTATTGCCTGAACAGTTTGCTGAGTTTTCTGGAAGTCAGCTCAAGGTGTTGAGGATAGACTCGAATGCCCTCGGCAAGATTCCAAATTCTATCGAGCTCTTTCAATCCTTGACCGTCTTCACCGCGAATTTCAATGAAATCAAGATGATACCGCGGGAGATTTCCTTCTGCACTCTGTTGAAGGACCTGCAGCTCGACGGCAACCGCATCCAAGAGCTTCCGATAGAGATCACGAGGCTCTCCTCCCTCGCACGGCTCAAGCTCAATGACAACTGCGTCTCCGTCGTCCCCGAGTGGATCGGGAGGATGTCAAGTCTGCGTCATCTCTCGCTGGGGAACAACAGGCTGCAGCACGTCCCCTACTCCATCTCCCTCCTCAACCTCGCGGTCCTCACGTTGGATGGAAACCCTCTCGACTCCATCGAGACGGGCGTGTTGATGGGAGGAGCCAAGGGGTTGCTGGAGCATCTGCGGTACAACCACAACTACGACATCGCCGATCGAAACCTGCTCCCCGACGTGATTGAGCAGCGGCGACAGGTAGAGGCCTACCTGACAAGGACCGAGAAGGAGCTGCAGGAGATCGAGCAGAGCTCGCTGGAAGCTGAGCTCAAGGTGATCGGGGGCCTCGACCAACTGGAGATCGCCAGGAACAAGCGCATTGGTGAAGATCGGACGGCGACGGATGGGGCGGTGATCCTGGATCAGGAGATGCTGGATGAAGTCAGGGTAAGTCCAGCCCTCCTGCTCCCGTTGGGTTTGACCTTGTCGCAGATCCTCGCTGAGAGGGAGCGAGCGGGCGCTGTCATCTTCAGCTTCCTCGGGCCTGGGCTCACGGGCAACAAAGTGAGGGTAAGGAAGGAGGAGGAAGAGGAGGAGGAGGAGGAGGAGGAGGAGGAGGAGGAGGCAGACGCTGACGGTGATTAAGATGCGGGCCAAGACAATCTTCTACGAGCTAGACGAGGACAACTCGGGGACTCTCGACCTGTCGGAGTTCCGCAAGTGGCTGCTGAGGTGACAAGAGCGACTGACTTCAGCTAAGCTGACTTGATGGCAGTCTTGGAGCTGACATCAGCACGAGAGCGATCGAGAGCTTCATGGAAGGGATAGGAGGCGAAGGGGGAGGAGAACTTGAACTCGAGGACTTCCAACAGCTCGTCTATCTCGTCTACCAGGTCAAGTCATAGCAGAGGCCATGGACCCCTTCCGGCCCTTCCGCTTCTTTTCTCCTGCACGTGTTTCTTGTCATGTTTATTCAGTTGCCGCTTCTTGTACATGTTTTCCTTTGCTCTCCTCTCTTCTCGTGCTCATCTGCCTCCCGCGCTTCTGCATGTGGATCGTCCGTCGGATGTGATTCCACGTCCTCAGCACCTCCAGTAGCACCCGAGCTGTGCTCACGTATCCCACGTCTGCTGCCAGCTCTGCTGGGGTCACACCTGAGATGCTTGACAGCAGGTCAGCTCCCAGCTCGACCAGCCGCAGGGCTGCGACGCTTCGCCCGTTCATGGCAGCGCAGTGCAAAGGGGTGAGGCCGTTGGCCATGGCGACGTTGACGTCCTCCCCGAGCTCCAGGAGAAGTTCGATGAGCGCTGAGAGACAGTGAGGGAAGGCAACAGCAGTCTCCGCATCTTACCGCTGTCTCCCCTCGCCGCTGCCATGTGTATCGCTCCTCTTCCTGTTGGCCTTTGCTTCTGCAGAGGATCCTCTCCCGCTGCCACCATCCTACACGCCTGTCAGACACTTTGGCACGCCTCTTCAAACCTTGTCACCTCAAGAAGCGAACAATGTCTCCAGCCTGAACGGCTTCCCAGAAGTCCTCATCCTTCCCTGTCGCCGTCAGACTGTGCAGTGCAGAAAGCTGCGCAGCTTCGCCGTCGGGCAACGAGGGCAACGGACGTTTTCCGACAGGGGCATCATCGTTTGCGAGAGCTTCATCGCGGTCGGGCGGGCTGCCGCGGAGCTTCGAGTCTGAGTCAACGATGACGTCTTGACCTTGCGTAGCGTTGTCAGTCTGCAGAGGCATCTTCTTGCCGAGGTTTCGGAACAGATCCTCGACCAACTCGTCCGGCACTTTCTGCACGCTGATGATATCGGACTCGTTGAAAACAATCCGCGGCATCTGCCGTTCGGGCAGCCACCAGGTCACGACGGATGGGAGGGAGGTCAGTGGCTTCAGAGGACCGTCCACCCCGCTGTTTCTTCGATCCTCCTCGATCTCCCTGAGAGCTGCTTCTCGCTCCCGCCAGATTGCTTCCTCTAGCTCCGGCGGGATGAGCGATGTACCTGTATCCTCGGGGATCTCGACTTTCGAGTTGGCCTTGGGATCCTGCACGCGAGTTAGAGCATCATATGAGCACCCAATAAGGCAAGTATGACAGTCTGAGTGCCCTCACCTGAAGGCCCAGAAAGGCCGAGGGGTCGATCTTGATCTCATCCCAGTTCTTCATCGCTTCGTTCGCTTCAGCTTGTAACTCCTGGTCAGCATCTGATATGAGGTCCAGCTCGGACTCTCGCAGCTCGCTGGACGTCTCGTCCACTTTGGCCTCTGCCCTCTGCTGCATCTTGTGGAACTCAAGTAGAGCCTCCTCCTCCTCCTGCTTCACTTTCTTTTCCCTGGACGAGAGTTCCTCCCTCAAGGTTTTCAATCTCTTCACCATATCTTCATCTCGTTTCGCATCCCTTTCTATCTGCATGAATTCCTCAAAAATCCTTTGCCGAGCCATCTCCAGGCTTCGATCCGCATCAAAAAAATCGGTCAGAGATTGTGAACTGTCTATGCCCTTGTTTTCAGCCAGCAACAAGTGCTTGAGCTGTCGAGTTTGAAATCGAGCCTGGAAGGAGCGCATTACAAGTTCCAAGCGCATCTCCTTCCTCTTCTTTCTATCGCGTACAAGTCTGAGCGCCTCAAACTTCGCCTTCTTGGAATCTTCCGTCTCAGATTTTTCTTCTACCAACGACAACAATTCTTCTTCTGTTTGTACCATCGAGAGGCGCTGAAGAGTATAAAGAGGATAAAAGGATTTTTCTGTCACATTCATGAGCATTACATTTCTCCATCTTCTACATTGCTGCATCATACTCAATCTCCTCGACGACAGTTCAAGAGGCGCTGTCTCCCTTTCAACACTTGAAAACAACGAGAGATATTGATGAACTTTGCTGCGCACAAAGTCCAAATTTCCAATCAAACTGACCATATTATCCAAAGATGCGGAGCGATGAAAATAACCCTGCAAGAATCTGGAGAGATTGAAGAGAACGATTTCCATCATATGAATCTTGTCACACAATGGCAGGGAAAGAGATTTCTCCAATACAGATTGGATCGTGCTGGGAAAGAAAACAATCTCTTGTAGCGAGAGCTTTGATTTCATGGTTGTGTCAAACACAATCGATGCAACCTCAAGTAGCTTCTTCTCATAGTTCAGGTCTGATTCAAGAACGGGAAGCGAGCTACCAACAAGCTCCTTCGCAAGCGCACAGGCCTGCGAAACAACTTGGCCCTCCTGTATCTGCAACACAAACGACTCAACCGTACTTTCCCTGTCCGTCCCCGCCTGCCTGTACTGCTCCCGCGCCCGCTCGCATGCCGCCAGCGCCTCCTGCCAAGCCCCCGACGACACGCAGCCCTCTGCCTCCTTCAGCGCCTCGTCCCCGACCGCTACAAGCTCGCACGCTCGCGCCCCTTCCTTCGCCTGTAGCGCTAGAGCCTCGATAGCCTGCTCCTTGTCCGTCCCAGCCTGCCTGTACTGCTCCCGCGCCCGCTCGCATGCCGCCAGCGCCTCCTGCCAAGCCCCCGACGACACGCAGCCCTCTGCCTCCTTCAGCGCCTCGTCCCCGACCGCTACAAGCTCGCACGCTCGCGCCCCTTCCTTCGCCTGTAGCGCTAGAGCCTCGATAGCCTGCTCCTTGTCCGTCCCCGCCTGCCTGTACTGCTCCCGCGCCCGCTCGCATGCCGCCAGCGCCTCCTGCCAAGCCCCCGACGACACGCAGCCCTCTGCCTCCTTCAGCGCCTCGTCCCCGACCGCTACAAGCTCGCACGCTCGCGCCCCTTCCTTCGCCTGTAGCGCTAGAGCCTCGATAGCCTGCTCTTTATCCGTCCCCGCCTGCCTGAACTGCTCCCGCGCCCGCTCGCAGGCAGACAATGCCTTTTCCCATTGTCGATTTTTAAGATGTTTTGTTGCTTGCATCAAAGACTTTCGTGCCTGAAATGCGATGCGTTTGATTTCTTTTTTGTCGATTCTTTGATCTGATGGTGCAAGGTTCTTCGTAGATGTTGGGTTTGCATTTGGTCTTATTGTAACAGATACCGAGTCAGTGTGCATTGTTTCCAAAGTGTCTGAAATATTTGTTGAGGAAACGGCAATTTGCTCAGCAGATTGATCTCCTTGAAGCAACTTTTGAGAAACGTTCAAATACCCAGAAAAACGACTGACTGTCTCAGCCCGCTCTCCCCTCACCCTGGTATCCGCCGACACTCCCTGCCCGACACGCTGTGCTCCTTGCTTGCTGCTCGGGTACCACGTCACCACCGACGGCTTCCTCGGGCCCCCCTCTTCCCTCCGCCTCTCCCCTCCCTCCCCGGCCCTGCCTCCTGCCCTGCTCATCCGCCCTAGCCTGCCCGTAGCCTCCTGCCGCCACGTCACCACGCTCGGGGCTACCCGCCCGTCCCTCCTGGCCCCTGCCGTCCTGCTGCCCCCGCCCCCGCCTTGCTCCGCAATCAGCTGCCTCACGCTCCGTACCCGCTCGACCAGCCGTGACACAGTCTCCTGACCCAGCACTGACTGCCCGGCCTTGCCGCCCTCTCCCGCCAGCACCGCTGCTACCGCCTCCTGCAGCATGGCTGCGTGTCTCGTCACAAGCGCCAAGGCCTCGCTCCCTGTCCCTCCCCGTCTTGGTCTCCTCTTCCCTGCCTCCCACCAGCCGACCACAGACGGCATCGACTGCACAGCGATGCGCGCTTCTGCCTCCCCCTCTACCTCCGCCTCCCGCCTTCTCCAGCTCCCTAGACACGACCCCCCGGCCCATCGCCACGCTGCCCCGACTGCCTCCTGCCAGCTCTCCTGCTCTCCCCTGCCCTCCGCGGCCCTGGCTGTCTCAGCCCGCTCTCCCCTCACCCTGGTATCCGCCGACACTCCCTGCCCGACACGCTGTGCTCCTTGCTTGCTGCTCGGGTACCACGTCACCACCGACGGCTTCCTCGGGCCCCCCTCTTCCCTCCGCCTCTCCCCTCCCTCCCCGGCCCTGCCTCCTGCCCTGCTCATCCGCCCTAGCCTGCCCGTAGCCTCCTGCCGCCACGTCACCACGCTCGGGGCTACCCGCCCGTCCCTCCTGGCCCCTGCCGTCCTGCTGCCCCCGCCCCCGCCTTGCTCCGCAATCAGCTGCCTCACGCTCCGTACCCGCTCGACCAGCCGTGACACAGTCTCCTGACCCAGCACTGACTGCCCGGCCTTGCCGCCCTCTCCCGCCAGCACCGCTGCTACCGCCTCCTGCAGCATGGCTGCGTGTCTCGTCACAAGCGCCAAGGCCTCGCTCCCTGTCCCTCCCCGTCTTGGTCTCCTCTTCCCTGCCTCCCACCAGCCGACCACAGACGGCATCGACTGCACAGCGATGCGCGCTTCTGCCTCCCCCTCTACCTCCGCCTCCCGCCTTCTCCAGCTCCCTAGACACGACCCCCCGGCCCATCGCCACGCTGCCCCGACTGCCTCCTGCCAGCTCTCCTGCTCTCCCCTGCCCTCCGCGGCCCTGGCTGTCTCAGCCCGCTCTCCCCTCACCCTGGTATCCGCCGACACTCCCTGCCCGACACGCTGTGCTCCTTGCTTGCTGCTCGGGTACCACGTCACCACCGACGGCTTCCTCGGGCCCCCCTCTTCCCTCCGCCTCTCCCCTCCCTCCCCGGCCCTGCCTCCTGCCCTGCTCATCCGCCCTAGCCTGCCCGTAGCCTCCTGCCGCCACGTCACCACGCTCGGGGCTACCCGCCCGTCCCTCCTGGCCCCTGCCGTCCTGCTGCCCCCGCCCCCGCCTTGCTCCGCAATCAGCTGCCTCACGCTCCGTACCCGCTCGACCAGCCATGACACAGTCTCCTGACCCAGCACTGACTGCCCGGCCTTGCCGCCCTCTCCCGCCAGCACCGCTGCTACCGCCTCCTGCAGCATGGCTGCGTGTCTCGTCACAAGCGCCAAGGCCTCGCTCCCTGTCCCTCCCCGTCTTGGTCTCCTCTTCCCTGCCTCCCACCAGCCGACCACAGACGGCATCGACTGCACAGCGATGCGCGCTTCTGCCTCCCCCTCTACCTCCGCCTCCCGCCTTCTCCAGCTCCCTAGACATGACCCCAGAGCTGTTCGTATATTTGATGAGATTGTGGATAGGTTTATGTCCTGTATGATTGTTTTTGTTTTTTGTTGCGTTTTTGAGTTGTGGGCAAGCAATAGATGAGGTGTTTTTTGTACCTCTGTTTGGTTGATGTTGCTTTTTTGTGTTGTTTGCATGGTTTTCTTCGGTTCCTGTTTCGGTTTTGTCTCAAATATGCTTTCATCTCTCAGATGTTTTCGTTGAATGTATTGGATATATGTAGTGTTGCCTGCTTTCATTTCAACCCATGTCTGATTTTCATGTTGTAGGTCTCTCTCCTCTCCAAAAGGACTTTGAATTAAGTCCATGTAATTGTCACTGCGTGCATAGGTTGATTCGACGGCCCGTTTGCTATACCGTTTTATGGGCATCCAAGTCACAACAGAAGAAGAAGATTTGTACTGTTTACACAGGATGCAATTACATTCCAAAAACGATGTTTTGTCACCCTTCGCCTTGCCCACAAGACAGGATCTGATTGAATCGCGCAAATAAAGAGCCTGCTGCGCCGCCCAGTCCAGAAAGTTTGTTTCATTTGCCAAGTGTTCATCCCCATAGGTGCTGAGCAGGATCGGAGTCGCGTTGCAAGCTTGTGTCTTAGAGAATTCCACTTTTTGCTCTATTTCTTCTAATATCACCTCCAAGGGTGAGAAGAAATGTTTGATCTCTGAGAAATTACGAGATGGTCGGAAGTTATCTAAAGTCGCCTGCTCGGCGTTTGATTTGGGACATGTGTACGTTGATTTCAGATACCTGCGCTCAATGCCATCGTCCCCATTGCAAGAGAAAAATCCTGGAAATCCGATGCAAGATACTGAAGACCGAGTATCGGTGAGATTTAACATCAACAATGAAATTAGTATGAAAAGGTTCCATGCTTCAAGACAAGAACGTGAAAATGAATAATATCCAAAGCTCATAGCTCGTCTATTGATCACTGTTTTGTTATCAATCAACGCAATCAATAGTGACGAGAGTGTTGTGAATGAGATCCACGAGGAAGGATGGCTGTCTAAGGAGAAGGGGGAGGAGGAGGAGGAGGAGGAGGAGGAGAAGGAGGAGAAGAAGAAGCTTCAATCAACACGCGTGAGCTCTTTCTCCTACTCTTCCTCCTGACCTCCTTGCCTCTGCTGCGTCCTCTCAAGCATTGTAGGCGGCCGCACAGATCCCCGCCTTGTGAACATGAAAAAAAGAATCACCCACCCCACCCCACTCTTTCATTAGGCTCCTTTGACTCCTTCTCCCAATGTCACACCCCCACCTCGGCATCTCCCGAATGCCACCGAGGGTCCCATCTGATCTCGGGATACAAAAGGGTGGGGTAGTACAAGGTAAAAGAAGGGGTGCACGATTGATATCTAAAAACTGTGATCAGATCGTTCGCTCATAGATTTGCATGCGGATGGCGGGAAATCCGCAGCAGTTGGTGGAGGGAACGAGGGAAATGATAAGTGACAGAACAGAATCAGAGCCGATGGTTCCCGGTGATAGGAGATGTCTAATCTGATGTGACGTGCAAGGATCATCACTTGTGATCTCAGATGAATACTGATTTACTTGACAGGAAAGATACGAGATTTGTTGGTATTCGACACGATTTTAAAGACATTCGACACTTCTTCACACGATGCCACCTGAAGGTTGCCCTCATGTTATGATAAATTTTACACGCTCTTGTACATTTCACCTCTGCAGCTGTTTGCCCTCGTCTGTTCCTGTATGCTATCACAGCTTTCAGGATGTCATGATGAAACTTGACCGCTCCGACATACCCATGTCAAACTGTGCTTCCTTCATAAGATATTCGACCAAGGGAGCGTTTGTTGATCTTGCTGCCTATCTCTTCGATAATCAGCACTTTTTACACAACGCAGTGTCCTCGCCTTATGCAAACACGTCTCTCCATCGATGTCTACTAGCGCCAAGTTGGCGCCATTCTTCGCCAGCAGCTTGACTGTCTGTCCATGAGTCAAACATCCGCCATGTTGTCGCAGAGGAACTTTTACGACACAACAACTGAATATCAATCGCATCAGTCTCATCAAAAACGAATCTCACCGATATATGGCCGCCAATGCATGCTCGATGAAGCGGTGTCGCCTCACATTCCCCGGCACACGCGTTGACCGCCGCCTTGCGATCGAGCAGCAACTGACAGATCTGGTCTTTACCGCTTCTTGCGGCATAATGCAGTGCCGTATACCCGGACTTGTCGCAAGCGTTCACGTCCCTGCACTCATTGAACATGATCACGTTAAGAATCCTCCTTGTTAGTAGGAATCACCGCTGACGCTCCTCAAGAAGTGTTCGCATTCGCTCAAGGTCACCGAGAGCAGCAGCTCCCCATATGCCCCGCTCAAAATCCATCTCTTCCAGAGTCTGTTGCATGGGTTGCTTCCTAGCGCAACAAGAGCAAGCTGCATGAAAGGGGCCAGCACTCGAACTTGGATGGCTCACTTTGCAAATGATGTTAGGATCAAATGAAACAGCTTTCACAACCACCCATCACCTTGTGAATCACTTTGTGAAGTACAATCATGTACTATAGTCCATGAAACGTGTCCCCTCTCCTTGGGGGACGCGTGACATTCGCGTATCTTCCGCGTAGAGTTGGCATCTAGTCCATCTATCGACTTGTCGACAGTTTGCTCCGAGCAAAGTTCATCATTCTGCTGACGCTTCAAAGAGAAGAGGTTGAACATGACGGGCTGAACGTTCTTCTACGATGGCAAGAGGAGGACGAGGAGCTGTACCCTCCTCCTCCTCGTCCATCCTCCTCTCAATCCCCTGCTGCCCTTCCGTAGATGGATCATTCCATGCTCAGGCCCCCCTCAGCCGGTCAGTGCCTCCGACTCAGAGTCCGAGGCTGCAGTAGTCCGATCGGATCGGACGGTCGGGGGCCCCGGCGGGCCGCCGGCCCGCGGGGTCACTGCCGCAGTGCCGCGGCCCGGCCATTCAGTCGTGACGCGGGGTGACCGTGACCGGACTCCGTGACCCCCATAGTCACTGCTAATAAACTCACTGAGGCTGTTGCAGGTCAGTCACTCAGGAGCCTAAAAGGGAAAGATTCTCCGGGGGAGGGAGGGAACCTGGAGGGAGGGAGGGAGGGAGGGAGGGAGGGAGGGAGGGAGTCTGCCAGGAGGGAGCCGGGAGGGGGGCACTGAGTCGCTGACTCGTGAGCCGCAGTGCCGGTGGCCGCCGGGCCGGGCAATTCACCGCCCGGATCGTTATTGATATTTAACCGTTTTCCGTTGGCGATGTGAGGAGACTTACGATGGTCAGGCGATGGGGTCGGTAGCAGCAGAGGGAAAGAGGGAGGGAGGGAGGGAGGGAGGAAGAGAGAGGGAGGGAGGGAGGAGTAGAGAAGGGGGGGAAGGCGGGGGGGGATTGATCGAGGGGAGAGGGAGGGAGGGAGGGAGGGCTCCAGAGCGATCAAGAGAAGGCACGAGAGCGGACGAGAGTCGGGGAAAGGGTAATTCGGTGGGAGGTTAGGAGAAGGAATAAGATGGTAAGAATCACTGTGAAACCTTTTGGTCAAGATCCTAGCGAATATGCTCACTTCCTGCCATTCCTCTTGCGGTCTGAAAAAAGTGAAAGTTTGTCACGAGAAGAGATAAATAAATGAAGACTGAGGAAGATAGACATGTGCTTGAACAGACTTGTCTTCCAAACCTTGATCAACTTGAAAATCGTTGCCTTTCTCTTCTTCTCACGTGCATTTTCTGAATCAATTTTGAACAGCCAGTTGAGAACAAGAGATGATTAAGATATTTCCATGAGAATCTTCGAAACTAGACCAACTGATCTTTCGAATGAGTTGCCCTGCCTTATTGGCCGCGCATATCTACCGGGGTGTCAACAAAGAGGAAACCGGCTGGTGCTGGAACCAGCTCCCAGCTCTAGTGGTATATGGCGAGGAAGCTGCATCCCGACACAATCAGCACGAATAAAGAGAGGCCTTCCTCTGCGGCACTCGACTTCCAGCATCTCAAGCGTCCAGCGGGTAGAGAAACGCGAGACGGGGGATGCTGTTCAGGTTGTTGACAGTGTAGATATCGCGGGGGAGGAAAGCTGTGAGGTGCTGCCGGAGGTCTGTCTCAACAAGCAAGCCGAATACTGCGGTTTCAACACATGTTCCATTCCTGTCAGCCGCCTGGTCAAGGTAGACATGAAGGGATATCGGTTTCCCGTCTTTCGAAGGCCCTCAGTGAACGAATTCTTGGAGTTTCCCAGGCAAGAGCCGTATGAGAAGCTCTTGCTACGATCGTCGTCTCCTGCTCAACTCTTGCGCGTCAAGAAGCCCACAAGACTTTCACAAGTCCCTGGCGGACTCCATCCCTCGGAGTTCATCGTGAAGCAGATTTTACCGGAACCATCTCGTGAGTCGGCCAGCATGACAGGCGAAGGAAACGGCGATGTTGCCTCTCCGATTGATCAGGGATTTGAGTCGAAGCCAGATGGGGATGATGTTTGTTCCAACGGTGCTCCAAGTGATCGTCCTCCTAAGCATGAAGAGCTATTGAAACTTCTCAATGTCGTAGTGGAAGGTAGCAAGGTGGAGCCAAAGGTTGCTGAGATTTCAGACAAACTTCCTTGTCCAAGTGTACAGCCATCCGAATGCCAACCAGATCAAACCCAGGGAATTCAACGGAGGCTTTCGTCGCTGGTGAAAAAAACAGTTGTATCGCCGTCCAAATGTGTTGCGAACAAAGGGCAGCTTGCAAAGTCTTCGGAAGGTCAGGAACAGAATGAGTCAAGCCCTAACAGGAAGAAGAAAGCTGCTGAGAAGCTGCTGGACGAACCGGCACCGAGAACGAATATCTCAGCGAGCATAGAAGAGTTTATCCAAGCAACAGACCAGCAGTGGCTGAGGGCTCGCAAGCAGCTGTATGAACATTTCCGTGGAAGCTCGGAGGAGGAGCAAGAGTTCAAGGAATCGATGACAGCGTTCAAGAGGAGGAGAAACCTTGACCAGGACCGGCCGGTGGCAGTCGTGCTAGCAGGCAACAAGACGGTGCGGGAGACGTTGCTGGAGCGAGGGTTCCAAGAGTGTCCTGAGGGGGACGTGGAGGGGCCAAACTTTGACTTCAAGTGGACGATCAACCACGGTGACATCAACTTCGAGCAGCTGCGGCCCGGGCAGATAGTCAATCACTTCCCCAATTCCGGCCCAGAGATCGGCACGAAAGTCGGGCTGGCGAAGAACCTGCGATCGTTGCAGTGGCTGGACAAGGTCGACATGAACAGGTTCTTTCCTCGCATGTACAACCTGGCGAACCCCTGGGAGATGCAGGACTTCGTCGAGGATTTCGTCTTCGTTGCCTCCCACTGTGAGATCGTTCGATTCCTTCAGGGGCTGCCGGTCTCGGCATCGACCAAGGCTGGATGGGAGGACGACAAGGGCGGCAGGTCGAGGCGCATCCTCGAAGCCGCTTATCACGTGTGTGGGAAGTATCTTGACAACAAGCAGAAGTTGAGGAGCTTGGATCCCACCGGGAGCGTGCAAGGCGTGCTTACCATGGAGGATTATCTGCAGCTCCGGCCTGACTGTCGCACCCAACCGGAGAAGGAGCGCGAGTCAGCCCGCAAGGGCAGGTGGGATGAGGCAGATGATGCCAAGATGCGCTCCGACATGGAGGCGATGCTACAGCGGCTGCAAGAGGATCACATCCAACTGAAGATGGACGGGACGAGGAACGTATGGATCGTGAAGCCTGGGCATGGCTCGCGTGGGCGAGGGATCAAGTGTTTCGATGATCTCATCGCCATCATCAAGTACGCGACAAGCAGGAAGAAGAGCGCGATCGTGCAGAAGTACGTGGAGAACTGCCTGCTTCTGGACGACAAGAAGTTCGATATCCGTGCTTGGGTGCTGGTCTCGAACTGGAACCCTCTTACCGTCTGGATGTTCGAGCCCTACATCCGACTCTGCACTGACGATCACAGCCTGGAGCCCGAGAGCCTCGAGAACAAGTTCGCGCACCTCTGCAACCGATGCGTGCAGGAGCACTCAGACGAGTACGAGGAGGAGGACGGGGAAGGAGGGACAATGTGGAGCGTCGCCACCCTCACTGACTACCTGGACGCCAACTTCGGAGACGGGAAGGAGCTGTGGAAGAAGATCAGAGCTCAGTGCATGCAAATCGCGCTCTACGTGATGCACAGCTGCCAGGAGGCGATTGACAACAGACTTGGCTGCTTTGAGTGGTTCGGGCTTGACTTCATGGTCGACCTCGACTTCAACGTCTGGACCCTCGAGTGCAACATTAGCCCCGACCTCTCCAAGGGCACTGAAGTCCTGGAGCGACTTGTCCCTGCCGCCATGACATCAGCATGGGATATGCTCCTCGAGTTCCCCCCAAAGGTCCATGCCCTCCTCTCATTCCACTCGCCCGACTTTCAACCTCTCTGAACCCCATCCTTTTGCGTCCTGCTCCAGCTCCTGCCGTCCTCTGCTCCTCTCTTGTTTGCGTGCTCCTCCTCCTCCTCTCCTCTCCTCGCTCAGTCCTTGTGCACTCCCGCATGTTCGCTGACATGAGTGCAGGAGGAGGAACGAGACGTGGAGCATGGGTGGGACTTGATCTACCGCGGGAAGGAGATCAAGAGGGACGTCATTCAGAAGCGCTTCTGGCTCAAGAAGACTCTGCTCACCGAGCTCCGCGTCGGGCGTCCTTTCAGCATGAGGGATGCCCTCCAGGCAAGGGTTGCGGATTCCCCTTGCTCTGCGCTGAACCCCCGGCAGGTGAAGCTCGGCAGCTGGACCAATCTGTTCCTCAACACACAAGATCGTGTGAAGGTGGTGAAAAAGGTAAGAATAGGGTAGAGGAGAGAAGAAGAGGTGAGGCGAGGAGTGGAGCGGAAACGAGGAGGGGAGGAGAGGGGAGGAGAGGAGAGGACAAGAGAGAGAGAGCGGAAAAAAGGGGAAGGGGGGGAGGAGAAATGGAGAGGAGGAGTCACAGTCCGCTCCAGGTAAGTCTCAAGTCCAAGTCTGCTAGGAGAGACTCAACAAAGAGCAAAGGTGATGCTCTCCTACACCCTCTGCTCCTTACTCCTCCTGCTCTCCGCCCCTCTGGCTCCCCCTCCTCCTGCTCCTCCCCGCCCTTCCTGCTTCTCCTGTCCTAGTCTTGGGGTCGCTCCTCTACTTTCACCGCTCACTCATTGCTTCTTCTCGGCTAGTGTCATCCTCACTTCTTTCTCTTTCTTTCAGACGGAAGCTCGTCGGACTCGGAGGCAGACTCGTAGCCTTGCGTGTATCATAGAGTTTCATCTACATTCACATGTACAAGATAGCTTTGACATGTTACCCCTCCAACTACCTCCCTTACCTCCCTCTGACCCCCTTCGTCCCCTTCGTCACCCTCCCCCACCCCCGATCCTCCTTCCTCCCCTTGCCGCTTCTTCTGCCGACTACCGACTACCACATAGCTCTGTTGGCGATGGTTCCAAACACGAAGATCGGCTCCCTCTGCCCCGCAGCGTCAGGAAAGGAAGGGTTCAAGCAAAGAGGAGGGGTGCATAAAGGAACGAGGAGCTGAGGAAGGGAAGGACGGAGAGAGGCGAGAGGAGGAAGGTCACCGGGCCCTTGAAGTTCCATCCTATCTCCTGCAGCCCGTCGAGGAAAGACGGCATGCGTGATGCTGCTGCGTCTCTGCCGCACGAGTCAAGCTTGAGCTCATCCTCTTAGTGCTTCACCTGGCGTCAGCCTTGAGCTGCAGGACCTCCTCGAAGTCAAGAGAATCGCTGGAGACGAGGAGACGTCAAGGGCTCGGGAGAGAGGAAGCAGAGCAGGAAAGAGCAGGAGAGGACCTCTGCCTCGAGGAGAGGTGGAGCCTGAAGTGCTCGAGCGCGAGAAGCGACTGCAGGATGTCGAGATCCTTCGCGCTCTGTTTCAAGACCACACACTGGAGGAATAGCGGTGAGAGGAACAGGAGCAGCAGGGAGGAGGGAGGAGGGAGGACGTACAGGATGGTCTCCCCTCCCGGTATAGACGAGCATGAAAGCCTGATCACGAAAGAGGTGGACAAGACGCCCAAGCTCCTGCGGCCTGAGGCGAGTCTGCTCCGAGATTAGATGGCAATAGAGATGGTGAGAGCACCAGAAAGGAGACCAAAGATCATGAGAAAGAAAGGAGGGAGAGAGGAAGGGAGAGGTTGGAGAGGGAGGAGAGGGAGAGAGGGAGAGAGGGAGAGAGGGAGGAGAGGGAGGAGAGGGAAGAAGAAGAACAAAGTCTACCTGACTGATGCTCCTGAAGGTCGACGCCCAGTAGCCTTTGAAAGTTTCTCTGAGCTTGTCTGAAAGAACAATCAACGAAAAGAAGCGTGTGTATGGGAAAAGGAGGAAGCAGCAGGAAAGGGTGTTGGAAGAGAACATTAGGAGAAGGTGGATGTGGTAGAAGGAGATAAATGGGAGAAAGGAAAGAGAGAAGAGGGGTGGGAGGAGGAAGGGCTTGATACTTTGAGGGACTGCACGTCTCGGGCGGCTAAGGACGGGCTCTGATCTGGAGATGTCTGCAGGAGACTTGATGATTCCCTCCTGTTCAAAATAGCATCATTCATTTGCTTCCGGCTGTCCCCTCCTCCTCCTCCTTCTCTCATCCAATTCCTTCTTAATTCTCTCATGACTTTCCAACATGCTCTGCCCCTTTCCTACATTTTCCCTCCCCCTCCCCCACCTCCTTCCCTTTGCCTGCCCCCACCCTCCTCCCTTTACCCTCATCTCCCATTCTTTTAGCCCAAACTGCTCGCAGGACTTACCGACACAAAGGCACTTGCAAGCATGGTCGCTCGTTCAAGGTTGAGGAAGCGGAAGACGATGGTGTCGAGGCTCTGCAGACAAGTCAACTGCTGCTGCTGCTCCCCTCTAGAGGACGAGACGAGGATGGAGGAGACTGCAGGGAGGCATGAAAGGACCTTTAGGATGAAGATAAAGTCCAAGGCCGATAGCACCACGTACGAGCCCCACACGCAGAGAGCGTTTGTTCCTGCGTCCGTGTCATCCTCCTCCGTCCCTCTCGTTTCCGTCCTCAACTTCGCTTTCAAGATACTAAACCTCACCTCCACTCATTCGACCACCCTCTCGTTTTCCTACCATCTTCCCTCCTCCTCCTCCTCCTGCTCCCCTCCTCCTCCTCCTCCTCCTCCTCCTCCTCCTCCTCGTCTCCCCACCCTTTCTTCCTCCTCCTCCTCCTCCTCGTCTCCCCACCCTTTCTTCCTCCTCCTCCTCTTCCTCCTCGTCGTCGTCTCCCCACCCTTTCCTCCTTCTCCTCCCCTTCTCCTCCTCCTACCAGCCAGCCGCGCAAGTTCGATCCCCACGACAAGCCCGACGAGGTCGGCGACAGCCACCTGAGGCAGAAAGTGAGAAGGCAAAGTTTGTAGTCAAGTTTTGGAGCTAAAGTCAATGTTCTCAGTTCACCTGGGCATCTCCTTTGGCTGTGATGTCGCCGAGATTCTCGTTCCTTGCGCTTCACGTCAGCGACTCATCCGACAAGTTTCTCGTCACCTCCCGGCGAACTGCTTGTAGAACGTTCCTCTTGTTGCAGACCTGCAGGGTTGTCAGGAGGAGTCGACAACAATGTTAGCAACGTTGTCAAAATAGACACTTGCTTCAAACAAACTGAAATGGCAACCAGGACGGTAAACGCCTAAGTTAAAGAAAGAGGACACACATGATCAGTCGAAACATCCAGGCAACGATCATACACTTACATTTGTAAAGATCTCTTGGATCACAAAGGTTAAAATTTCCATCCCATTGGCAAAAACCCACCTGATACCGTCACCATCACCTCCTCTAATAGGTTGCAAGAAGAAGCAAACATCAGCGCTGCTCGAAACCTCCACCTCTTCGCATCAGAGTCAAAGTCTCGACCCCATCTTGCAGCAAAAATCTGACAGGTAACAAGAGACGTCAGCACTAGACATCCTCTGCTATCATCATCCTGCTCAACAAACATCTCACCATCTTTCCAAACTTCCCGAAAGCATTAGCGAACACCCAGCCAGAGGCGGCGGCGACGCCAACCTGGAGCAGAGCGAAGGTCATTTAGCATGTGCAGCCCTCAACGACTCCCTCTGACTTTGTTCGTCTTCACCCCGAGGGCAAGCAGAAGCGATTGTGTGCCGAAAACGCTCACGGTCGAGGAAACGATGCGCTGCAGCACTATCAGACCTCCTTCGCATGTGCCATGACATCAAACCTGCAGGATTCTCCAGATGGTGAAAGAGTAGTAGTCCTCTGACACTCCTCTAGGCAGGAAAGACTGCTTCACTTTGAATGCAACATTCGACGCCTTGATAAATCTAGTCAACGTAGAGGCAAAAGCAACTCATATCTCTCACCTTACGAACAAACTTGCGCACAGTCCCCTTTGCACTTATCCTCCATCTCAACGAAGTGATCTCTCCCAGTCGGATCTCTTCCACCACATCGCTAACAATTTCAACATTCTTTGCATCTGCAATGAACTTCCCGCTTCGCGCATCCCATCGGAGTCGTTTTTGTTGAGAGCCGTCAAGCCTGACGTCATAGACCTCAGGCCCTTCACGCTCCTCCGAGTCCAAAGTTCCAGAAGCATCAAGATTCCTTGAACTCCTCATGGCAGTGCTGCTACCGAAACAGTTAAGATTACATGCTCTCTGTTCGAGAGAGCAGCGCTGGATTCCAAGCGCTCTTGCATCCTTGTAGCTGAAGGCTTGTCTCACACCTTGAGCAGTGAAACCGATTTTGATGGCGCCTCTTGAACGTTCAGCAGCAAAACTGACTCGTGCTTTTGGCAGGAAAGAGGGAAAGCAAGGAAAGCAATCTCCCACACGTATTAACAAAACCATGATACATGTTCTAACAACAAAACCGCGTATATACATCGTCCTTCTGTTCGTCCAATCCTGCCATCGATTTATTTGTATTGCATCTTCCGATTCTGTTTCGCCGTTGAAAAGATGGCGTGACATGATCAACTAGTCGCTTCTAAGACATTTCACGAGTGCAAAGAGCCTGAGCCAAAAAAGTAAGCGAACCATCGAATCAATAAGAAGGTTCCAGACAATATAGCACAGTGGGTGATGGTAGTTGAATGTGAGAAAATGGAGGGGAAGGGACGAGCAGAGGATGACGTTGAGCAGAATCGAACGGAAGCAAGGAGGGGGTGGGGAGGGGCGCGTGTCGACTTGAGTGTTGTTGGATACAACACAGTGGATCATTTCTATCCAGAAAGAGAATAGGAGAAGGATGGATCGGGATGATGAAAGATTCATGGTAGAAAGCGGAAGAATCGACAGGAAGAAGCAACAGTACACAAGACAGATGATCAAGAAGGGTAGAAGAAAGTGCAAGAATTGAGCATACGTGGGCTGAAGGAAGCAGTATGATAGGCAACGCAAGAGACAAAGGGCGAGGACGAGGAGAGGAGCGGAGCAAGGGAGGAGTAGCACAACGAGACAGGTGCATGTGGAGGTAGGGAGGATTCTGAGGACTAGGAGAGGAGCTTCAAGTCGACGAAGGCTACCTTCGGCCGCCTGCATGCCTTCACTAGTGAACTACCCCACCTCCAGACATACCCCTACCCCCTTACCCCCACACAGCAATGACAACTCTTATTAGAGAACAAAGCGGTATGCGTACCACCTCACCGAGAGAAACACCTATTTACTGCAAGGAGTGGGTGGGGTAGGTCTGCAGTTGGGGGATGAGGGCCCTGTAGTTTTGTGTAGACTGTGATGCTCTGAGGCAGGCTCTCTAAGTAGGTTGTGTTGTTGGGGGATGAGGGCCATCCGGAGGAGGCACCGGAAAATGGCTCCCAAACCCCGACTGATCTCCTCCTGCGCTCTCCCCCGCCCCGCCCCCGCCTCTTCCCTTGATCCCCTAGCTGATCTCCTCTCTATCACTATTTCCCCTGATTCTCGCTTTTTATTGTCACCTCTTGGTACAATCAATGACTTGACCTTGCTTGCTACATTGCTGCAACGTCAGGATTTGAACGAGATGAATGAGGAAGGAGCATTTGTTTGCTACATGGAGAGAGACAGACAGACAGACAGACAGAGACTTCGAAGTTTCTACCTGATCTTACACTGTTTCACAGTTATCGTGAAGATCTGTCCCTGAGCAGGAGAAAAGAAGAGCAGCAGGCAACATGAACTGTTGTTGTGCAAGGAAGCCGTCAGTCAGGGAAGCGACTCAAACTCAAGCTCCAGTCAGACGAGGCGTTCCTCCCCAGTCAGCCATTCCAGCGCACACCACAAGACAGAATCTTGGAGGTCTCGTCCAACTACCTGCTTCCTCGTTGTTCTTGGTTGCTTCTTTGTCGCTGATTCTTGTTCATTTCGGATTGCTTTGTTCGATGCTCGTCCGAGTGAGACTGACTCGAGTACCTCTCAGGGGTTGGGATTGTGTTTCAAGCCGGCCCCAGCGGTGAAGGGCTGATGGTGGCATCCCTCGCTGTGGATGGGCCAGCAGAGCAGAGCAAGAAGGTACTTGAACTTGAGTGAGATTCGATTCCTATCTGACCTCTGCCTGATCTGTTCTCCTTACTTGTCTCTTGGTGCAGGTGAGGGCAGGAGACATTCTTGTCTCCATCGATCAAGTTGACGTCCGAGGGATGAGCCCCGAGGATCTCGCGCAATATATCCTCGGACCTCCGGGCTCAAGGGTTCGGCTCGGGTTTATACGCGACGGCAGCGAGGTGCAAGCCATTGCGTTTCCTCCTCTCTCGTCTGACCTGCTTATCTCTTTTCAGCTCCTCTACGTTGAGCTCACTCGGGGTTGGACGATGAAGAGAAGCGTCGACTCTAAGTGGTCCAACCCGCTGCCTCCCAACCACTCGCTGGTCTCTGGTCCCATCGGATTTCCCTAGCTCCAAGAGGAGCAAGTCAAGAGATCAGGAGATCAGGATCGTAGGCTGCAGCTGTTGGGGAGGGGGGGAGATAACGTCCAGCAAGGGTCGAGCTAGCTGAGCAAGTTGTTGCTAGTCTCAGTTCATTACACAGTCCTCTCGTCCCCTCCATTGACTGGCAGCTGAGCGCCAGTGACCTTGTAGAAGTCGGGCCCTGCCAGCGAGCGAACCACCCGAGCCACGTCATGTGACGTGATCTCTGCCTGCCACCCATGCCCGTCATTCCTCCACACTCCAACCCACCCAACCTCCTGCTCCCCCTCCCTCCCCCCCCCACCCCCCGCAACCTGCACTCTTTTCCTTTCCCCCCAACATCCTCCTCTCCCATCCTCCCTCTCGCCTGGCCTGCCCCACCTTGAGGAGGTTTCTGCGCTTGTACTGGTCAACCGTGAGGTTGTAGGCGGCAGCGCGGGTCTTGAGCACTTCCTCGCTCCACAAGCCGGTGTCGAAGACAGCGTCCGGATGGACCGTGTTGACGCGCACGCCGTGAGGAGCGAGCTCAAGAGCAGCGATGCGGCCCAGCTGGGTGAGAGCTGCCTTGGCAACCTGAGCAGGCACTGTGAGAGGAGGAAGACAAGTTGCATGAGGCTCACGGAGTAGCACGACATGCCTCGCCCTGGTGCGGGAGCATTCTTAGTGCCGACGATGATGAGGCAGGGGTCGACGCCGAGCTTCAGGTAGGGGATGGTGGCGGTGAGGAGCCTCTGGGAGGCAGTGAGGTTGACCTGCATGGACCGATCCCACTGCTCGGGCTCGATCTCCTCAATGGGTGCAGACTTAGGAAGGATTCCAGCGTTGAGGACAAGGATGTCCACACCACCGAAGCTGAGGAAAAGAACGTCAAGGGAAGGAAGAACGAAGAACGAAGTACTAGGAGACAAGAGGAGCTGGGATGGGAAGGGCAGGGTAGAAGGAGGGAGGAAGAAGGGAGAGGGGTTAAGGAGAAGAGAAGAGGATCTTCACCAGTGAGCACAGGTTGAAAGCGCGTCCTTTACAGCCTCTGCATCAGTCAGGTCACACTTGATCCCGAGGAAGGCCGGGCTCTTGAAGACTGTCGACACCTGCTAGTCCTCAGCTGGGGTTGCTCTTCATCTCGCCCTTTTCACCTCTGGGTTGATGTCAAGAGCCACCACACAAGCGCCGGCGTCAAGAAAGGCCTTGACAACAGCCTTGCCAATGCCACTTGCTCCTCCGGTCACCACAGCCACCTTGCCGTCAAAGTCCTTCCTTCCTCCTCCCTTCCTCAACTTCGCTTGCTCGAGCTCCCAGTACCTAACGGTCCCAGTCATGCGAGCAAGAGGAGGACGAGGAAGATCGCACTCGACATCGAAGAGGTCCTTCTCCCCCAGGCAGCAGTAGCAGCTGAACTTGCCAGCCCACATGATGGCACGAGAGCTGTATAAGGATGAGACGTGAGAAGGAGGAGGAGGAGGAGGAAGAGGAGGAGGGAGCCTTACGTGTGCTTTGCAATGTCATCGTTGATCTTCGTCTGCTTTACTCCGATGCCTGCTGTGCACCATCCCTTGCCTGGCAGAAGAATCCACCTGTTCGCACGTCAGCTCCTCCTCCGTTCCCATGATCTTCTAACTCTAGTGCGCCCCCCTCCCTTCTCTAACAACATCAACCACACCAAAACATCCTCTTCCACTTCCTCCCTCGAGCATCAGACCTGGGAGCAGGGTCCAGCATCTTGTGCTCAGGCTTGCGGTTGCGGTTGAAGTACGCCTCGTACTCGGACACGTAGCTCTTCACGTCCTGCTCGGCTCCCGTCTGGTAGTCGTGGATGATGGCAGGGACTCTCTTGGTCTGGATGATGTGGTCCGGAGTCAACGTCCCGACTTGCGACACCTGCAACCCCACGGTCAGCTGCTGGAGCATCACCCGTCTGCCCTCACCTTTGACAAGTCCGGAAGGGACGCGAAAGTTTTGGCTGCGTAGCCATTGTTGGCCTTGACCACCATCGGGACGCCGGCAGCAGTACTGACCTCCTTCCTGATCTTTGCGATGGCCACCTGGCGAGCCGCTCAATGATGTGCAAGGGGAGGATGAGGAGAAGAGAATCAGAGCAGGAGGAGGAGGGAGAGTACCGGGTCAAGCTTCTCACAGGCTTCACTTCCGCTCTCAAGAGACTCGAAGTACGCCTGCTTGGACTTGAGAAAGTCCTCCGCCTTCTTCACATTGGCGATCATGTTCTCGTACGAGGTCTTGGCGTCGTTGCCCCAGGTGAAGATGCCGTGGTTGAGAAGGATAATGCAATCGAGTTTGGCCCAGTCAACCCCGACCGTCATCTCTTTGACCTTCTTTGCGAGCACGAAGCCAGGCATGCAGTAGGGGACGATTAGTGCCTTGTCGCCATATATCTCCTTGATGAACTTCTCTCCCTCGGGCGTATTGGTCACCAGGCAAACGGTGTCGGAGTGCGAGTGATCGACAAACGTATAGGGGATAAGAGCATGGAGAATCGTCTCAATCGAAGGCCCAGGCGCGTTGGGGTCGAGCATCGCCTGCTTCTGGATGGTAACGAGATCAGTATCCGAGAGTGTCGCCAAGTCTGGAAGCTTGAGCAGAATGTCCATGCGAACAGGAGCGAAGCCTTGCTTCTCGATGGTCTGACAAAGACAAGCACCATGTCACTAGAGAACAGCAAAACGTCGAAACATTTTCAAAAAGTCAGGCAGACGTTCTACTCTTACCGCAAGATCCCATCCGCTTCCCTTGACGTAGAGCGCAGGAATCTCGTTGCCGAAGATGTCCTTGTACGGAGCCTTCACCGAAGTGTTGCCTCCACCATGAAGCACAAGATCATCGTCCGACCCACTGCCGCTCCCATCAGCATGCACAAGTTGAAGTTAGGATGGAGGTTACATGAGACGGGAGGTGTAGACGCGAAGGGCGAAAAGCTCTCCATTGCATTTAGCAGCTTCCTCGTCGTTCCACCGGCTGTAGACCATCTGCCAACAAAGTCAATCAGATCGCCAGCATGACCAACGTCTTCTCCTCCTCTTGCTCACTTCCAGCGTTGAAACACACAGAGAAGCTTATCAACGCCTTAGACCTCATCGATGAGACTTTTACAACATATCTCCTCAAACCTTCCTTTCACACCATGTCACATGGCATATCCCCTCTAGTGATGATCATAGTACGGCTGGCACAAACCTACCCTAGCTTGCTTCTTCGCACCATTCTGCTTCCTCTACAAAATGCCGGCTCGCTCCAACTAAAATCCTGAATTCTTGCCTCTCATCGTGAAATTTCAGAACTTTGCACTCTTCGTGCTATCCTGCCCCTGCCTCTGCTCCTGTTCCTGCTCTTCCTGCTCCTCCTGCTCCTGCTCCTGCTCCTGCTCCTGCTCCTGCTCCTGCTCCTGCTCCTGATCCTGATCCTGCTCCTGCTCCTGCTCCTGCTCCTGCTCCTGCTCCTGCTCCTGCTCCTGATCCTGCTCCTGCTCCTGCTCCTGATCCTGCTCCTGATCCTGATCCTGATCCTGCTCCTGATCCTGATCCTGATCATGATCGTGATCATGATCATGATCATGATCATGATCCTGATCCTGATCATGATCATGATCCCGCTCCCGCTCCTGCTACAAAGCGTTCTCTTGGTAGCATTCGTCTGTCGCACATCCCGGCCCCCACGAGTGATCCACCCCCACCCCCTCTGACTACGCCTTGTGGGAAAGCTATCCCACCCCCACTGTTCCCTCAAAGACTACCCGTATCCGGGAGACAATTCCCTACCCCTGACCCCTTGCTTGGAACGAGTCGGAGCGGGGAGGAGGGCAAAATTGCACGAGCCTCCGAGTCCTGGCAACGGGTGACGGCGTACTACTACCCGGCGTACCGTCGACGGTCCGAGTACGGTCCGAAGCGGCTTCAGTGGCGGGACTCGTTAGGCCGGGGTGACCGTCCGACGATCCGATGATGGCCGCTGAGGCCCCTGGCACTGGTCCCGGCGACTCATCTCAGGCTCGGGGCGGCAGCCAGGCGACACCAGTGGTATCATCGGCCCGGCCATGATAGTAACTTCAGTGGCGCCCGGCGCCGCACGGCCGGCTCAGCGGCTCCTCGGCTGAGGGCCAAGTACTCTGGCAACCGTACGTTAGTACTATCAGTCACGTATCCGAGTCCGGAGCCTGGAGTCCGCCGGACTGGCCGGGTGGGCCCGGCCGGGCCGCCCCACGCCGGGTCTCAGTCTGCTGACTCGCCGGACGGCCCGGCGGCCGGGCGGCGGCCCGGGCCCCGGCGGGCCTGACTCGAAGTTTTCCGACGTGGCCAGGGGGCAGGCCCAGCTCTGATGATATTGGTGACGGAATCATGGTGCAGGAGTGACATCAAGTCAGGGGAGCAAGAGGAGAGCGGAATCAGGAGAGGAGGAGGACGAGGACGAGGACGAGGACGAGGAGGAGGAGGAGAAGAAGAAGAAGAAGATCAGGGTGAACGAGAGGCACTGGGTGAGAGAGAGGATATGAGGAAAAGGACAAAGGTGAGAAGAGGACGGAGAAGAAGGGCCCAGAGAGGATGCGGAGAAGATTTGAGGTTGAGAATAGAGGAGCAGGGGGATAATGAGAGGAGGGTGATGATGATGATCAAGGAGACGAGAAGAGAAGGAGGAGTAGGAGCAATAGCTGCCGCAGGTGAGCAAGCTGGGGGGAAACATGATGTGTCTTGTCTATTCCAGGGATTAGTGGATTCATCTTTCTAGACATGTATTATCTCGTCAGGTTTGGAATTCTGTTACCACAAGTCTCGAACTCTAACTGAATGTTGACAGATTACTTGTCACCTTCGCTTTATTATCAAACGTCTGCTCGGTGGACATCGACCCTGATGACCTTCACGTAGGAGTTTGTTTTTACAAGAACTCTCAAGTTGATCTCTTTTGATTACAGTCAGAGCCCATCGAAGAGGATGTAGTTCAATCGAGGTTCGGAATAGAGCTAGACAGGCACGTCGACCCGTCTGCTTCGCTCTTGTGATCTGACAGTTCTGGCAGCATCCATTCACAATTGCTCAAGTCGCCATCATGCAGCTACGAGGACAGGACATGCTTGAGCTCAGCGTTGAAGGAGATGAGCCAGCACTCAGATGCGTTGGAGCAATGTTACGAACATCTAGAAGATAGCAGAAACTCAGTTCGTGATGGAATGAATTCATGCAGAGCATGACTTGTGCACGCAGCTCAAGACTATGGAGAAGACTATGAACGACCACGACGATTTTTTCGCGTCAAAGCGATCAAACCTCAATGCTCAAGTGATGAATCTCCGGGCACAGAACGAGAAACTCGTTTACGAGGTGAGGAGGTAGGCAGGCAAGCAGAGAGAATCTCTGACCTTGTATGATCAACAGCTCAGTAGATATCAAAACCTTGGGACAGACAACATGAACCTCCAGCATTCGATGAGGCGAATGACAACGGAACATGATAAACTTCGTCGCGAGGTCTGAGAGAGGTGCTTGTATTATCTCCCTTGAGCATCATGTACAGGTCAGCACTCTGCAGAAAGAGGTGGATGACCTTGAGATGATGGTCAACTCCATTGACACCAAGGTGAGCTTGCAAAGTCTATTATGAAACTATGTCATCGAGTTTTGAAGTGCCATGATGACTATGATCACCTTGTGCTCCCTGCTTCCTGTTTGATCACTGAGCGGCTCAATGGAAATCTCTTCCATCTGGTTAATGACATCCACTGTTTCTCAGTTCGATATGGAGTTCCAAAAGTGTGGGAGAAATATCCTTCAGCTTCAAGAAACGTACAAGAGCAGAGACATTCGTCTGCCATGATCCAGATGATTTCTAGGGAAGCAATCGATCTGCCATGATAGAAAACCTTCTGATGAGACCTCAACTTTATTGCTTTGTTAAATCGTTTTGCCGAGGGGATAGAACCCGGCTATTTGATGTTGCATTCCATGCAACAGCGATAGTATGGAGAAAGTGAAGACACCCACATGCGTCAATCCCTTCCTTGGGTATCAACACAACAAGGAATTGATGCGCTTCTTCTTCCCCTGGAGCATATCGCGAGCAGCTTCGATCATGAACCTCGGGTTCATGGCGATCTTTTCGGGGATCTGAGTAGAATTGATGACGTGGACACCTCTCTTCTTGAGCGACTCAACCATCTTCTTCTGGCTGTCCTCCGCCACTGCGCGAGTGCAGTCTTCCAGAACATACACGACAAACCCACAGTCCACCGCATCCAGCGCTGTGAATCCAACACAATAATCATACGCCAGGCCCACGACAAAAACTTCACTGACGTTGCGAGATCGCAGCTCCGCCCTCAGCCTTGTCTCGAAACTTCTGCAGTTGTCAAAGAATCCGCTATAGCTATCAACGCGAGAGTCTAATCCCTTGGACACCACAAAGTCTTCGTTTGTAACCGTCAGCTCATTGTGAAACTCTGCTCCTTCGGTGTACTGAACACAGTGTCTGGGCCACATCACTTGTTCACCGGACGTTCCATCAGGAAGATTAACTCGCTTGCTGGAGAAGACTTGAGCGCCTGGATGATTGTCTACAAAGGAGATGTGATCGTGGGGGTGCCAGTCTCTGGTCAAGCCGACGATGTCAAACTTTTGACGCAAATCGTTGACAGCATGAACTACATCGATCCCTTCCTTCACTGCAAGAGACCCATGCACGAAATCGTTCTGCAGATCAATAATGATCAGAGCCCTGTTTCCCACAACCTTAGGCATGAGCTCACGCATCTTGTGCGTAAAGGTGGAGAAGCTGACAAATCCCGTTCGTTCTGGATCAAAGACAGAAATCATGACGTCCTTGTCCTCTCCTGTCGCCACAAAGTTGGGGTTGATCTCGTGAAACAGCTGATCCAAGAACTCATTGAAGGCTTTTGGATCCATTGCGGCATCTCGTGTAAAGAAATTGAAGTTCCTTGCCAACTCAGCATCGGACAACCCGTCAACCAAACTGTAAGGCGGCTTCTGCTGGTAGTTCGAATGGATGACGACATCTCTTTTGTTGTTCTGTGGCTCTGCTTCGCTGACTGGTTGAAGCTGCTGCCGTGACGGGCTTGCACAAGCATTCTCGAAGAAGCTCACCAAGTCCCCGAAGAAGTTCGAACCCTGTAGAAAGTGCAGCTTCAGTGTTGTTCTCTATCTAATTTAGAATAGAGCCTTCAAAGAGGAACATACCGAACTTGAGTCATTGGTGTTCTGCTGTTTTGAGGGATGGCAAGGAATCCACGAAGACATCGCCGCCTTACCTTTTCACAAGTACATGTACACCTCTGTCCTGCGCAAACAAGACGTCATGATCCCTCCACCGTCTCTGCATGCTCGGTAAAAATAAAATATCTTTGGAACAGCATCCTTGGAGAGTAGAATCACCGGGATAGAATAAATTTCATCTAGCTAATTGAGCAGAGACGAAGAAGAGATGAAGCGTGGAGGGATAGGTTGCAACATGGAACAAAAATGGGCGATAATCGATTACAAGGAAATGAGGGAGAGTCACAGTCCAGACGACCAGGGATCAATCAATCGATCAGGAGAGATCAAAGTTTGGGACAACAGGAAGAGGCAGACTTTGAACGAGAAGAGGTCAAAGGCGAAATAAGGGGGGAGACAGTTTCTGGCGGGGGAAAGAGCAGAGAGACATGAGAAAAGCAAATATAAGAGGGAGGAGAGGGGGAACATGGCCGGAAGATCATCCCAGCGCGAGGAAAATACGATTTTTCCAAAGCGCCTGTCTCCATTGCTGTATGGTTCAGTGCGGTTTCCTGGCCGATCGTACCCCTGTACGCTCACACCCCCACACCCCTGGATACTACTACCATCTACCGGAATACCCCGCTAGTAGGACTTATTGTACCCCACCCCCTATTTTACACCGAGATGAACCTGTATCACACCCCTGTTTGTTGACTCCACAACCAGGTGTCAACTTCCATCCAACCTTCCACCCTACCTGTGTTTGAACCACTTGACCCCACCCTACCCACCCTCGGCAGACGACGCAGAAAACTATTATAGCACCGTTACGGGTGCGCATATTTCGAGCCTTCTTGCTAAATTTGATGGAAACTAATTGAAAATTCAGCGATGAATTGAATCTCATTTTGCCCATACATACACACACACAAGGAATGAAGGCAATGGTGCCTGCCCTCCTGTTGACCATGCAGGCGCGAGCGATGGGCCGAAGCGTCATATCCTCCCTCGCGGGTTTCTCACAGTGCAGCACTTTTATCTTGCCCTCTCCCTCCGCTACCGTCTCCTCTCTTAGGCCTGATCCATGGTATCAAAGGGCTAGGTTGGGAACGGACTGGTTGATACTTCGGAGACGAGCAAAGACGTTGAACGATGGCAGAAGGCACGTTCATCATGACTTTACGATGAATTCAGTTAGGACGTCGTCTGAGGAGCAACAAACTTCCGCGCCGTATACACCAATTGCTACACGCCCTCTCGTAATCAGCTTTGATCTCGACGACACCCTATGGCCTACTGTGGATGTGAGTCAGTGGGAAGCGAAATGTGTTGTAACGGTTGTGCCGAAGGTCGTGATGTCAGCAAACAGAGCGATGGAGAGTTGGCTCAACCTCAACTATCCAGGAACGCCGAATGCAACGGCAATACAAGGGATAATGAAAGCTGAGAGGGAGAGAGCAAGGAAGGAATGCGAGGAACTTGGAGTTGAAGAGGTTAAGACCTGGGGGGTAGAGGAGGCAGCAGCGATAACTTGATAGCAGAAGCCGATGTCTTACACTGAGATGAGAATCACTGCTCTGCGTCTCGCAACTGAAGCAGCGGGATATTCGCGGGATGAGGCTGAAGCAGCTTCGAAGAATGCCTTTGACGTCTGGCTGCAAGAGAGAAATGTGATGCTTCTACTTCTTGTGATGATGACAATGATGACATCAGATCAAACCTTTCATCAGATGATGATGATGATGATGATGATGATGATATGACATTGATGATGATAATTGCAGATATGGTGATGATGTTGATAATATTGATGGATCCGAATGGATGTTTCAGGCCGCAGGAGAAAGGCTTCTGTTTCCTGGTGCCGTCAGCGCCCTGCAGGAGATCAAGAGCATGTATCCGGGTGAGGGGAGGAGAGGAGGACAAGTTCGAGGAAGTTCTCACACTTGAGGATGAAAGATGTTCTTTTCGGAGCGATCACGAATGGGCGGGCCAACGTCACAGAGATGGGGAGCTTAAGGTCGCTCTTTGACTTTAGTGTGTCTGCAGAAGAACCGGAGGTGATGACTGTGGAGGCATGGCACTATGAATGATGGGCATTCTCCAGGTGTTCCCTGACAGGAAACCCTCCACTCGTATATTCTGGGAGGCTGTGACACGTGCGGAAAAGAGGTTGAAAGATCGATCGCGGAGGAAGGATATTGATAGCCTAGTGCCGCATCTCTCACGATGGATCCACGTTGGAGATGATCTGGTCAATGACATCCTGCCAGCTGGACAGATAGGAATGCGGACAGTATGGATAGAGGGGGCACAAGACAGGTATTAGATTTCTTTTACCAGAGTTGTACCTTTTGAGATTGTGACAGATCCCAAGCTTTTTATTCCACCATGTCGGCTGATGAGAAGGCCAAGAAAGGTGAAGTCGAGCTGTTTGTAGTCAGACTTTGCTGTTTCCTTAAGACTATTTTCTGCTTGCTCTGACATGGATTGTAGACACGTTGATCGCAACCTGCAACCCAGACTTTGCAATCTCTGCGGTGAACTTCACATGTTGATGTCGTTCCTTTGATGGCAGCAAAAACAGGTGACGCTCTTGCCCTCCTTGTTTGAGAGAGTTCAATGAACGATTTCATTGAGGAGGAGGGGCTGTCTTGGTGTCAGAGAAGACGAAAAGGAAGAGGTCAGGGAGATCAGTGGAGAGCTCCAGGCTTTGAGAGCACTCCTTCTCCTCAACGCCAGGGCAGATCATATTAGTTCCAAGAGCAACGCTTCTGTGCTTATCACGAATCATCGAGCACCAGCAGCGCCTTGTCCTTCTCTCCTCAACTTGGCGATCCTTTTTCGTGCCTTGGGATTCTTCCTCTGCAGGTCAGTCAACCCCAGGAGAAAGAGTCTAGCGCTCGTGGACCTTCTTGTTGGGATCGAAGGCAGCTCGCACTTCGTTCGGCAAGTCCTGGACCCCTCCAGCAAACATCATGCTGTCGCTAGCGTTGCTCTCGAGCCATCCCTTGACTTTCTCTGTGTGCTTCCCGCACTGGCAAATCCGGTCATGGATGTGCCGATGGATGAGAGGAGGTGTAGTCAACTCACATGGATGTACCAAAAGCTCGGGAAGGGTGAAGTAGAAACGCCGAACTGAGAAGAATGGAGCCAGGGAGGAGTCCAATAGGTGTACCTGCTGACGAGTGAGCGCCAACAAGCTGTCACTCTTCCTCTACCGTTTTTTGGGAATGTAGTAGAAGGGCGGGTTGCTACTGCAGGCCTTGTTGAGGATCAGGTCCTTGTAGTAATCTTTGGTGTATACCCAATTGGGCATGAGAAGGAACCATGGCGATTTCTGCCTTGCTCGTCAGAATGTCTCGACTTGAGCAAGGGCTCACTGTTCTTGAGATGAAGTTCATCAGACGTTCAGGATGGTCTCCAGAGTAGGGAGGATTCGTGAGCAGGATGTCGTGGGAGGGAATTCTCTTGTCTTCGATTGCCTGTCGTTTCGTGTCAAAAATTTTGACATGCTGCTGCCTGCAGTCTGGGGGACAGCTTTGCACCTTGTAGAAGTCTTCTCGCTCGTTATAAACGTTTGGAAAGCCTTGGCGCATCAATCTCTTTTTGACGCTTCCGTTGCAGTAGTAACTAGACAAATACATGAGACAACATCATCAAGTTTTGAATCTCACGGATCATAAATCTTGACTGTGTTGTTGTCTTTCTTAAGAATACCTTATCGTGTTGTGAGAAATTCGAGATATCACGAACATGAAACAGAACAACAAGAGTACCAGCAACATATTCCAAAACATGTGAAATATCTGCATAGGCCTCGGCTGGAGTTTCAGCATGATCAGCATCATCGATTTCGTATGGAAAATTCCCTGCTTGTGGTTCTGCTGGATCCTCTTCTGCATTCGAATTTTAGACGATAGTTCGAAACCAGTGCAATGACCACATAAGCACCTGTCTTCTTTTGACAAGTCACTTTGCCTTTCTTTGTTGGCCTCGGAATATGAAATTCCTTATCTTTTCGTAGCATAGCTTTTACTGTCTTTTCCCTGCCCGCGTCTGAAATCGAATCAAGCTTTCTCTTATTCGATTCCTTTTTCTGGTCAGAAATCTGCTTATTCGGTGCTTGCTCTGCCGGCGGATTCTTCTGACTTTCTACTCCCACGTGCTTCTTTGGGCTTCGTGTATCTTTCTTGTAGAGCTGTGAACGCGATGCTGTCTCGTCTTTTGACTTTCCTTGCAGTGCAGCCCCGCCCTTCGAATATTTCAAAACGTGCGAAGATCAAAGCAGAATTTACCTTTTTCTTCTTTGGGGTTTTTGACGCTTTGGCTTGACACGTTCGTTTATCATCGTGTTCTACTGTCTTGTTGTTCGTGGTTTCAATCCTCTGTTGATTGCTTGCACACGTTTTCTCTTTCTTCAACGCTCCTATTTTTTTAAGATAACGCTCTTTCAGTGACGGAGTGCTTGAATTGGCTTGATCGTTGAATTCGGATTTGTTCTTCTCTGATGTCTCTCGCATCCTGAATGCATGATCATATTCCAACCACGTGTGTTATTGTCCCGTCCTTTTCTCTTGCCATCTTCCTCCTACCTTCCCTTGTTTCATTGCTTGAGCTTGTTTGCCTCATCCTATGTCAAAGTTTCTTGAACTTTATCTCTTGTGTCTCTCTCCAAGCCGGGCTCTAACTCTATGTTCGCCTCCTTTCCTCCCGCCCTCTCGCCCTGCCTGCCTCTCTGCCTACCTCCCTACCTACCTCCATCTATCCATCCACCCACCCATCCACCCATTCACCCATCCACCCATCCCTTCCCTGCGGCCTAGTCGCATTATTTTCAGGGTCGTTACTCCGTAGAAACCATTTCATGCAACGGCTGTGGTGTCTATAACGGTTTTGATTTCCTTACGGTTGTTTAACGTAACCGACACGACACCTGTCCGAGGGCATGTCCCAGGAGAGGGCAGAAGGGAGACAGGGAGAGATGGAGAGATAGGAGAGAGGAAGACGAGGGAATGAAGAGCTCTAAGACAATCGATTGAACAAGAAGCTCGAGTAGATACGAATGATGGAGATATGGGGAAGGGAGGAGAAGAAGATCTTGCTAACTCCTTTCGGTACTGTCCTTTTGACTGAACTAGAGTATAAGCAGGAAATGTAGAGGGAATGGAAGGTTTATTCTACTGCATCGAAAAGTTGGATTCTATCGCATGAATGATTTAAGATCATTAGCCTATACTAGAGTGAGAGTGAGTTAAGGCAGATATTTTATGATAGAACAACTAGTTGCTCAGGTTTCCGAGCACAACCTGGGAGGATGAAGTGAAATTGGAAATATTTTTATGATGCGACTAAACTGTATCGTCTTCAGCAGGCTTTGTCGTTTTGGGAAAGTTCTAGCTGTCCAATATGCCAAGTTACATGCCTGGCCCTGGTGTCGATGTGTCCGACCCAGCACTTGGAGTAAGAATCGCGAAATGTATTGGAAGAATACTTAAATTTACCTGCAGACAACGATCATGGCCGTAGAATTCGATGGCGGAGTTGTATTGGGGGCTGATTCCAGGACATCTTCCGGCTCCTACGTGGCCAACCGAGTCTCGGACAAGATTACCTATGTTTCGGACAAGATTTATGTTTGTCGTTCTGGATCTGCAGCAGACACCCAGGCAGTAGCCGACATGATGAGGATGTATCTTGGGATGCATAGGTATCTTAAATAATGTGTTTCACGGGTTCTGACATGACTGTCACCTAGCCTGGAAATTGGGAAAGACCCTGAAGTCCCCACCGCGGCAAACATTTTGAACCAAGTTTGCTACGAGAATAAGAACTATCTTATGGCTGGAATGATCTGTGCTGGATGGGATGAGAGGAATGGTGGTGTCGTGTACAGTATCCCCCTTGGTGGAGGACTTTTCCGTGAGTCTTACACGATTGGAGGCTCTGGCTCTGGATACATTTATGGCTATTGTGATGCTAACTTCCGTAAGGGAATGAGCAAACATGAAGCCCAAGAGTTTGTGAAGAATGCTATATCTCTCGCTATCTGGAGAGACGGATCATCTGGAGGAGTTATTCGTACTGTAACTATAACCAAGGATGGTGTTGAGCGTGAAATGGTTCTCGGTGACAAGCTGCCGCATTTGGCCAAGGGATGGTGTCCATAAACTTTCTTGCATGAGATGAATGAATTTCTATGTGTGGAAACTTTAGATATAAAGTTTGCATGACAAAGTGTGCTCTGACCGTGCGCTTCCTGACACAATCCATTCAATTTCGTGGGGCAATTAAGGTTTGTGATTCACAACATTTATAGCTGAAACGTAAAGATGCCCAGGTCAGGATTCAAGTCTCCTCTTCCAGACTGAAATCTTTACTATAATTACAAGAATAGCCATGACATGATCATTCACTCTTGACCCTCTTATTTCTCTTGTTGTCCGGCTGAGAGTTGTCCCTCTTATGTTTCTTGCCACTGTTCCGAATATCATTTTCGCTGCTAGTGTTCTTGCTACCCTTCCCACTCCTGGCAGCCTTTTGACCCACTCCCCAAGTTTTTTTTGGCTTCTTTGACTTCTTGCGGATCAGCTCGTGGTCTGATGAAGACTCCCCTGTGACAGCAGCTCCCGAGTACAAGGTTTCCTCTTCTCGGAGATACTCGCCGACATCAGCCTGGTGAAAAACAACCACATCGGTTGCAGGCAACTTTCTACAATCTTGAGTAGACCTTGCAGTAACTCCAAATCCTAGCGGAATGTCCGACATAGAGTAGACGACAACGCCTTGATGCTGAGGAGTGTTTTCTGTAATTCTACCCAGGCCAGCTTTGAGAACGTTATTTCCATACACGAAGGAAAGTTCCGATGAAGGTTTGACCCATACCTTATACTTCGCAAACTGTGCAAGATAGTCCAGAGCGGTGACGTGCAGCCTAAACTTCATCGATTTTGTGAATTTACCGAAGCAAGTGCCCATGTGAACTAAGAGCTTCTTGTCGGCATGCTGTGCCTTGTTTGCTAGGGCAACGCTGAGGTAGTAGACTCTCTCTTTCTGCAGCCTGAAGCAGTATTCTTCATCGGGTCTATCAATGAGGTGCTTTATGTTCCTTCCGATGTAAGTCGACAGCTTCTCAAACACGATCTTCGTCTCCTCTTCGGTCAGCCCCCGCATCCTGCACGTGAAGTCTTCCGGGCGCTTCCACCCCCAACCCAGCAGTACCCCTGCCTTTCCCTTTGAGTACCCCGCCCTAATTCGTTCAAAAGGTGGGTTGATTTTTCAGTGTAAAACAAACAAAAACCGTCTCCGATCGACGACTGGCCTGAAAAGGACTGGATAGAGCTGCTGATTTTTTAAGTAGGTCCTTGAAAACAGCAACCGGCAAACGCCTGGCCCGTCCTGCGGGGAGGGCCAAGCGAGAAGAGAGGAGAGTTATCGTGAGCACGAAGAGAAGCTGCTGCTTGCTCGTACGAAAATTTGAGGCCCAAGAGTTGAAAAGGAGGGGGAAGGGTGCAAGTACTTGTTTCGATTATGCAGGGCTGACTTGCAAGACTCATAACTTCAACTCCTTCTCAAAGATCAACATTGGGAAACGTCAAGTCTGTGCCTAAAATTCGATCGAATTGTTTTGTTTCATGCTGCTGCTTTATTGAGAGAATCGTATACCCTCAAGTGGTTGCCCGGTTATTTGTCGCCGTGCAATCAGCGACTGCATGCCAAGCTCATTTGGTACCTACGCTGCCATCCTGAAACCGGTGTACTGGTAAACGCAAAAGTAGAAGCGATGAGGGCTGAATGAGCGTCTCATCAACTGAGATGTCCAGATCTTCGAGCATGAAGCATCGTCACCCCTCCCTGGCTGCTCAAGACAGAGAGAACAGATCCTTCGCATCAAATGGCACCGCAAGCCCCAAGTCGACCTCCTCACCAAAAGGATTCACATTGGAGCCGGAGAAGGAAGAAGAGCCTGACAGGTGCGCGCGCGATATGGTGATATATGTCTGCACGTCTGGAGACAACCGAAAGCGGATGATCAACCTCTCCAGAGGAGACACCTGGACAGACTTCTTCAAGAAAGCGCAGAAGAAACTCGAGGTTCCAATCGCTAGAGTTTTCAATTTACACGACGAAGTGAAGAGGCTGGTCGATGTGGTACAGGGAGATATTCTGCGGGTGAAACCAGCTCAGCACAAGCCCTTTGAAAATCGGAGCATGACCTCGAAGAACTTGTTGAAGACTAGAACGTTGCTGACCTTTCACTGGATGCGCTTCATGCGACTGATTTCGCTGCAATGTGTAAAGGGATACTTTATACATGAGTGCATTGTGCGGAACAAACGAAGCGAGACTTTGAAAGCGAAAAAAAGACAGAACTCTGCAGAAGTCATTATCAAACGATACTCTTCTTGCCCTTCACGAAGCCCAACAACTCTCTTGTCATATATTCTGCTTTGTTGGCAAGTAAGACATCCTCAGTTTGCTCGCTACCACGAAGCTTATCTGCAAACTGAACCAAGGAGACAATTTCCAGTGTCGACCAAGTCAAAGCAGAGCGGAAGAGCTTTCAGAGCAGAGATCCTGGTGCTGGTGATGCCTCGCTTTCCTCACAACCTCGAAGGTCTGGTAGAGGAGAATTCTAAGACCGAGCTGAGTTTCAAATTTGAAGACATTGTAACCTGGATTGCTCAAATTTTGAACTTTCTGGTGCATCTTCATGGCGACTTGAAAATGTCACATGGCAACTTGAAGTTGTCGAACATCCTGATCGACAACGAACGGAATGCTCGGGTGAGTGACATCGCCATGGCTCATGCTGACCCCAACTCCAGCTGTTTTAGCATGAGGCATTCCTCTAGCTTTGGGGGCTGTAGAGGCAAGAGCTCGCTCCTGAGGATACTCTCTCCCTATTCCAGTCCGGAGGCGTACACACACGGATTTGCTGGGGAGAAAGGAGACATCTGGGCGGTTGGATGTATCCTCATAGAGTTGGTGACGGTCAGAAGGATCTCAGATCGCGTGAACAACAACATTCCTTTTGGATTGAGTCAGGGTACAGTCACTCAGGCCATCGGAGAAGTGACCATGAAGTATGAGGCCCTCGGATCCCTTGCAGAGTTTCTCCTCGAGTTTGATGTGTCCAAAAGGCCGAGTGCCTCGGAGGCTCTTGGGAAGTTGAAGAAAGACATTAATGTCGACCTCAACGTCCAAGATTTCATTCCTGTGTACGATGAGCAAGACGTTGCAAACGCTAAGTTTCTAGCAAGGAGCAATGACCTTCCATCGCTGGTGACCTCAATCACTAACGATCAATTGTTGCTGGGAAAGGAGTATGCAGCAGGAAAACTGAACGAAGTTTTAGCTCAAGAAAGAACCAAACGATTGAGCATGACAAATCTCTACTCTACATACAGGGGCAAAATTTCTGGAGTGTCAGCTTTGTGTGATTGTCTGTTGAGAGGTAACGCAAATGCACAACATCATGCTGCGGCAGCTGTTCGTACGACTCTCCTCGAGGACGGAATAGAAAATCATCTCAGCTTCTCTGACTTTCAAATTATCGTTGCGGCACTAACGATGGGCTCTGCCCACACTCAGATGCATGCAGCTGCTGCGATTTCCAACGCTTGTTTCCGGAGCGACGACTGCCGGGAGCATCTCTTCCGGGCACACGGCATCGGGTCTCTCTGCGCGCTCATCTCGAACTCAGTGGCGTCGAGGTCGCATGTGGCTCATCTGCTGGTGATCGAGGCTTGCTCGGCCCTCCGAAACGCCTGCATCAATCACAAGGGAAACCAAGATGAGCTGACGCACTGTGAGGGAGTAGAACTGCTGATCAGAGTCATTCATGCTGAAGCTCAAGCATCTCACAGCAAAGACAAGAAGATCTTGTTGTATGAGAGCGTCGCCGGGGCTCTACGAAATGCTTGCAATCAGCATAGTGGGAACTGTATGACGTTTGCGAGAAACATGGGAATGCATGCTGTGATGAACGTGATATTCTCTGCTCGGAGTGTTCAGCTTGAAGCAATCTGTGTCATCAGAAATGCATGTGTGGGTTACTATGAGAACAAGAATCATCTTTCGTCATGCGGTGCTTTCTGGAACTTCGCTCAGATCCTGAACTCTCATCCCGACAATCAAGTTATTTGCGAGGAAGTCGTCTCTGCGATCAGGTATGGCATCGTTGGCCACAACGCGAACAAGAATGCGGCAGGAGAAGCTGGGCTCATACGGTTGGTGGCTGCGACGCTTCTACCGGGGCCCTTGGAAGGGACTGAGCGGTGCAAGGAAGATGCGGCTGCTTGTCTGAGGATTCTTTGCGAAGAGTCTCCTGACAGAAGCTCCGAGCTAATGAAATGCTCGGGGATCCCAGGACTGATGCTGCTCGTCACGACCGGCTCGGCCTCCTCGCGTGAAGAAGGGATTGCAGCTCTCGCCAACGCCTGCAACGCCTACAGTATGAACATCGACCTCCTCACAAAGGAGGACATCGACGAGGTACACAAGCTCGACACGTCATCACAGGCAAGTACTGCAATGACTAGGATGTACGCCAAGAGCTTGAAGATCATGATCAGAAACAGAGACTTGAACCCATGCGGCAACCTGTGCAGTGCGCAAGAGACGTCATATCTGCTGAGAGATTCTTTTACCACCTGGTGCCCTCGAAGCTCTGTGGTCAAGGAGATAGTCGAGAGTCCTCTGCTCGGAAGAAGAAAATTGCTGAAAGGACGGTCTTTGACCAACAAGCCAAAGGAACTTCCCACTTTCAACCAGAAATTCCGCTTAATTGACAATGACGATGGTCAGAAAAGACGGAGCAAGTCTCGAGCTGATATTCCAGAGAGAACATCAAGCTACGAGGATTTCAGGGGTGTTTTCTTACTTGCGCGAGGACAATCTGTCCTTTAACTCTACTGTTTATGTAATGGAGGCGAAAAAAATGTTCTTTTTTCTTGTCCACCTTCAATGCTATCATCAACAATTGATTAACCTCAGGCTGCCTTTAATCTCTGACATCATGAAAAACAAAATGGATTACGGTAGGGAAATCCTCGGTCGAAACGGTCGAAGACAACCATGATGCTAATGACAATCCATTCTGAGTTTCAACATGTGCTTTCGTCTTGTTGACCACTCATTTCCTATGTCTCGGATTTGTCCAAGCTGTTAAGCTGCTCATACTTCCACTGTATCCCTGCAGCTAGCGCCACCTAGAAGTTCGTTCCCTTGCTCCCTTATAGCCTCTCACTTTCCCTCACTTTCTGTTCTAAACGCTATGTATTTCAAGCCTGCATTCTTTCGTGCTCTTGTACTGTTTCATTCATTTGAGCTTCACTGCATTTCCTGGCTGCTGTCCTTCTCTTCTCAGCAGATCTGCTTTTTTTGACCCTTCTCACTGCTCATTTCTGTCATCCTTGATATCTAAACCCTCAGGCCCCAACTAGTTAAAATTAATTTTGCAGATATACTGTCTGCGCCCCCCTCCCTCTATCAAAACTCAGATCATATTGGGATGGCTCGCCAATATGATTTAAACCTTTTTCCGGTCTCCTCAGATCTTGCAGCCGCATCTGCTGTACCTCTGGTGCTCCCTCCCTCCTCCCTCCCTTCACTCGTTCTCAGCCAACCCGTCTCCACAATTCACGTTTCCCCATCTATTCCCCGTCGCGCCCTGCTTCAGGTTTTCCTCTCTGCATCCATCATTCTTCTTGTGTTTTGCTACAAGGCAATCACTCTTCCATGGAGCATGCCTTCAGCTGAAATATAAGCCTTTCATCCCTTCCGGTTCTAACCTTTCTGATCTTATGAGTCATCTTCCACATCACTCTCATTCTCTTTTCTTTGAGTTGATCGACGTGTTTGCTTTCACAGACTGAAATATTTTTTGACCATCATCTGATTGTTCTTACGCAGGAAAGTTCAATTGCATGTTTGGGATGACTATATGCAAGATAACCATGCTCTGCCTCCTTGGACTTCCCTATGTCACTAGTTTTGGAACTTTCAGGGTGCCAACGCTGTTCGGAAAGGAAGCTCGATCCTCCCTGACAGTCGTCATGGCATCAGAAATGCGAACATCCAGCGGCGACAGGATTCCTCGTCAGGACGCAACGAGAATACAGAAATTGAAGGGAATCAGCTCCCATTTGATTGTCCAGTTGATATCAAAGACTAAGATGACGATAATTAGCATGGTTCAAAGAATGGGGCAGTGTGCACTTGCATTCCTCACAATGCTGATGATGATGATGCCTGTAACTGCTGCTGCAATGGGAGGGAGCAGTCCCAGCGGGGCACCCCGAACACAACCAACTGGGTTTGTGAAGATGACAAGACGTGACATCATGAGGCAAGTCACTCGACGGAGTAGATTCAGTGGCAGCAAGAGCTGGGGATGTATACAGCTTTTGAAGGGATGCGCATGGTAGGACTTTTCATAGGTTGTTAGTGCTAACTTGATTGGCAGCATTCTTCTCCCACTGACACAAGTCAAGATGATCATGATGCTGATACAAGACAGTGAGCAAAAGATAGATTGGATATGAATGAAACAAGATTACAATGCATGCATATGTACGAACTAGGAGACAAACTACCCGCGAGGACTTGAACCTCGTTGTACGCCATGCGTAAAGGTAGAGTTTGGTGTGCATGACACCAGTTACAAGGGTTGCTTGCGACGTCAACTTAGTACTCCTGGCTCTTAGACTCTTGGCTGCCCTTGCCTCCCTTTCCGCTCTTTTTGGGAAGAAGGACAGAGTGAATGTTGGGGAGAACTCCACCAGCAGCGATAGTGACTCCTCCGAGAAGCTTGTTCAACTCCTCGTCATTGCGAACGGCCAACTGGATGTGACGAGGAATGATGCGAGACTTCTTGTTGTCACGAGCAGCGTTGCCAGCCAACTCGAGAACCTCAGCAGAAAGGTACTCAAGAACGGCAGCGAGATAGACGGGTGCACCAGCTCCGATCCTCTCAGCATACTTGCCCGACTTAAGGTAGCGGTGGACACGTCCGACAGGGAACTGAAGTCCTGCCTTCTTGGAGCGGGAAACGGCCTTGCCTCCCTTGCTCTTTCCACGACCTGCTGCTCCTTTGCCTGCCTTGCCCGACATTTTCGATGGCCGGAGGAGTGAGCCCCTTCCCCTTAAATTTCCTTCACCCCCACCCCCACCCCTTCATTTCAAGTCTGTAGCCTGCATGTTTCTACTACCCTACAAATTAGTGCCATGCTATCACCCTGATATACTCTAAGTATAGACTTATTTCATAGGCAATATAACCCGTACCCCTTGTATGTCAAGTAGTACCCCTACCTGTTGACTGTCCCTCCATCGAAGCTCCTCAACCATACCCCTCCTTACAACCATAGAACTACCCTACCATCTGGACCCACGAGAAACACAGGCGGCTTTTCATTCATCCAACCGCGCGAGGATCCTCAGGTCTCCAGAAATATGGTGGACAAAAAAGAGAAAGAAAGAAAAAACCGCGTCGTTGCGTGTAAAAGCCAACCTGCGCTTTTTTATTAGTCAGTTTACTAGCCTAAGTTCCGACGTTTCCACTACTGAAACCACCGTGACTGACTCACTAAGTACGGTAGTGGCGTTGGCACCTTCGCCGCGGCTAGCCGGCACAGTCCCGGCCTGGCGGTCGCTGCCGCTGTCACGGTGGCCGGGCACTGCGCCGCGCCTTCCCGAAATCAGGCCGGCCTCCCGGAGTCCGAGCCGCGCCCTGGCAGTCACTGGCTGGGTGCCGGCGCCGCACAGCGGCATTGAACCTCAGTGAAAACTAAGTTCTGGGTACCGGGCCGCCGGCCCGGGGCCGCAGCATTAGTATGCCGGGCCGGGCCCGGCGTGTGCGGCCCCCGCCGGACCCAGCGCGCCGCCCGGGCCGAGGCGCTGAGCACGGTGACGCCGGGTATGGCCGGCCCGGGTGGGCCCGGGCCAGGCTTCCGGGCCGGGCCGGGGCGCCCACAGGTACGGTACGGCCGCCGCGCCCAGGCGGGCCGGGCGCCGCACTGGGCCCCGGCCGGGCCCGGCCGGGCCGGGCGCGGCGCACGGTCCGAGCCGGGCGGCGGCGTACGGTACTCACTCGGCCCAGGGCCCGTCACCAGTGTGCCGGGCAGCGGGACTGGTTGACGGGCCAGGCCCTCAGTTGCTCAAAGTTAACGGTTAAAAATTCTGCTCCGGTTCTGATTAACTCCTGAGCCTTTGAGTTTTACTTGAAGCGGCAGCCACGGTAGGCGGCGGCCCGGCTCAGTGCGCCATCTTTTGTCTTCCTGCCCCTCGGAGTCCGCCGGGGCATAGGCTACTTAACTTTGAGTAAGGCTACCAGTGGTCTGTGACGTGACGGTGCTATTCGGAAACCGGGCGGCGGCACTAAAGCCAGGCTGTTCTACCCGATGACTGCCATCCGATCATTGATGGCTTGGCTACCGTAAAATAATGCCACGGTGCAGCGGTCTCTCAGGATGGCTGTCGGAGAACATTTGATCTCCCTCTCCGTCTTTCTCAGTGTTTCCCTCTTCCTCTCGCTCTTTCTTTCCAAGCTCTCTCTCCCTCTCCCCTCTCCTTGTACTAGTCCCCCTCCTTATCCCTCTCCCTCTCCTCATCCCTCTCCCTCCCCCCGCCTCTGCCTCAGGCTCGCTTTTCCCCTCAATCCCTCTCTGCCTTTGCCTCCCCTTCTCCCTCTTCCACTCTCTCCCTCTGCTGCTCTCACTCTCTGGAGGAAGGGGGAGAGGGGAAGAGGAAGAGATGGAGAGAGGGAGGAGAGGGAGAGGGAGGCAAGGAGAGGTTGAGGGGAAAAGGGGGCCTGAGGCAGAGGCGGGGGGGGGGGAGAGGGATGAGGGGAGGGAGAGGGATCTGGGGGGGGACTAGTGCAAGGAGAGGGGAGAGGGAGAGAGAGCTTGGAAAGAA